CACAATCAACACGGAATTTAAATTTCTCTAATATATTGCTATTTGCCAGGGTGTTTCTCGGCCATGTGTTATTTCCATTGTGCTCATTAGGCTCTGGATATGGTAATTAGGGCCGAGCCAATCATTGAGCTCCAAACCGAAGGCCTGAACTATTCATTAAGCTGAATCGCTGGCCAAATTATCCTTGGTTCAATGGCAAACTCCTTCACTAATTCTCATCATCGTCATTGTTGGGTCTATTCTATACATTGCTCGGCTTCGAAATTCAACCATGAATTGCATTATAAATTGTATGCCAGATTCAAATTGCTCTAATGCTCTATGAACAGGTACTTGTACTTAGGCCAAAAGGGATTTCCGAGAAGTGCGAGGTGGTTATTAAATGCTTAAGTACATCGAAGCATTAAGTTATTAGTTGCCAAAGAGTCAATACTAAATTAATGTTAAATTTGATTATTAATTAAACAAATATTTGTTAGCATTTATTTAATTCTACATTTTTGAGCTTACTTAATTTAATATTACAAATTCCATTTAACTCAATAAATTAGTTCATGAATTAGATGTTACTAGAAATTATTATATAAGTGAATTAAATATTTAGCTTATAAGCTTACAGTATGCTATAAGTATCTACAATTCATACAAAGATATAAAGCTAACTTTATATCTTAAATTGTAATAAAAATAAATTCTTACACATTGTTCGTATTTTTCCTATAAATAAGTCAAGTTCAGACAATGCCTAGCTATCTATTCCAAACTATTCCAACTGTAGAAAAATACAATAAAACCCTCTGTTTGTTTACCACTGAGCAGTGAAAAATGCGCAGATTTATATTGTTTTAGTCAACGTCAGCAGGAACTCGACAGGTCGGCCGACAGTTCAGACATTCCGGATAAATACATACAGATAGGGGCGAAATGCAGTTAGTAACTGTCCCCCTTTTCGCCCCTTTGCCCACCGGAAAGGAAAGTCACATCCCATGGGATCCTAAGCCCACTGACAGCAGCACGTTATTGGCATTCAGTTGTGGGCAGATTTCATTTACTTTCTTGCATTACTCGAATGGCAGAATTTTCCGGCAGAATTTTCCAGCAGAATTTTCCTGGACCAGCAGCCAGTTTGGGTGTGGAAAAATGACCGTAGACTGTCCTCGTTATCTATCACCTGTCCGGTCTGTCATTCTTGAAGCCCTCATCTCGGGACGGAGTCAAAACAATTTTACAGTAGTTGCGGCTGTGTCTATTGTTTGGTCTCTGAGCCTGGGGAAAGTAATTGATGCCTCACTGAGTCTGAAAATATTTCTCCGGAAACGACGAGATGCCCATTTTTTATTGTCTTCAAGGAGGATCTATTATTTTTGGCCAGATGCGTGACGTGATGCATTCTGTGTAGTCTCAAAAAGACAAAGTCAATTTTTAGAGATGCTATCCATTTTGACCATTAATATTTTTAAAAGCTCTTAAATTTTTTTTGCAATTTTTTTTTAACGGCTTACAGCTTAGCCTAAGTACTTTGCACTTTACATTTACCAATAGGTAACAAAAGTGAAACAGCTTTTGCAATTAGCTTGAGGTTGCACTCGAAGATAAGCCGCTCATACAAATTTTTTTTGAATTTCTAACTGACTCCTGCCTGCTAACCGCTCGTTAGACATTGTGTGGGTGGCAAAATACACCATGTTTACGCCCTGTAAAGTAACCAGGTCCCCAAACCCAACCAAAACTCAACCAAACCGAACCGAGCCGCCTCACAAATCTTCAGTTGGGCTAGAAAAGGGGGAAATATTTACACGCCACACACGACTCCATTAAAACTAAACAAGAGCGTGGAAAGAAAGGACTCTGTGTTCGGTCCTGGCAAAAAAAAAATATAAAAGAGGGTCCATGGTTTTCACCATGTTCCATAACCAACGGCAACATTTCTTCATGCTGCTCGGCTCAACTTTGAAAATTCCCATTCTCCTTTCCGTGCGGATGTTTTGTAATTTTTTGTGCTCAAGCATACGGAGTATGTGAACACAAATCCGATAAACACACAAACTGCGGGAGTGGGAATTGGGATTTTCGTAGGACCAAGATAGAGGACAGAGGACCGGGGACCGAGCATCATGCCACATTTTGCGGCAAGTCAAGCGCACATCTGCTGGCCAAAAGCGCTGACCAAACGAGGCTGCTGCCCAAACATTGTAAAATTTTAATGGGGCTCATGGTGTGAATTGGACACCACCTCCAACTCCACCACTTGCTCCTCCACTCCACTTTAGAAAAATGCACCCTTTTTTCTTACAACTATATTAAATTTCCTTCTATTAAAATGCAAGTGGACCGACCCAAAAAAAAAAGATACCACACTTGTCCAGTACTTGACCAGAAGTTAACCCATCCCGAAATGAGTTCCGGTTCAAGCTGTTCTAGTTAAACCTTTTATACACCCAGACCTCTTGTTGTAACCCAAAAAATGCATATGAAATGTATAAAAACTATTACGAGTTTTAAGCCTAGGATTTTATTATTATTTTCGAATAAATACCTAATGAGATAGCTCATAAAAAACAATTAAATATTTATATCTCTAGATTAAGTTAAAGTTTATTAAAAAATACTACATAAAGTTCCTCTTACATGTTCTGTTAATATCTAAATATGCAAACTAAATTATTTTCCAACTTCCATAAATGAAATTTATAACTGAACATCAAGTTGAAACATTGCTCCTTTCTGGCTTCATAAATTTTAACTGAATGCTAAAAGTTTGGTTCGCCACTCCGAGCGCCTTCTAAAAATAAATGGACGAATAAAGTGAAAACAAGCCCTCAAGGCCTGACATTGAACACGTGCCGGATGAAAACATTGGTCAACTAAAAATAAAAGTTGAGAAACCTTACAGTCGAAACTCGAAATGCCCTTCAACTCAAGTTTTATATAAGGCTTTCGTCACTTTGAAATGTAGCCAATAAGTTATACTTCAAAATTAGATTTGTTTATATTTTTTGTACAATAAAAAATATAGTTTTCTCAGGCTTCAGAAACGAGTAGCATTTTTTTGGGAAGAGCAGAATCAAACATTTTAGCACGCATCACTGAAATTTATTCGGACAATTGGGATTGTGTTTGTGTGAATGTATTTTTTGAGTATGTCCTTGAGTCCTGTCTACGCTTGAGTGTCGTTTTCAATCAAGTGGACAGAACAACTTAAATAACTGTTTTGTTATTTTCGGATTTTTAGTCGGCCTGGCCTCTTTCTGTGGACAAACAGCAATTGTTTTTCCTTCTTTCACAAAATATTTTGATAACTAACCCAAGTTGTTTGTTTTTATTTTCTCATTTGCAGAACTAATGATGGCTTCATTCGACTGCGAGGAACCCAATAATGCTGAAAAGCTAATGTACGATTTAAACTAGTCGTGTACTATAGGATATTTGTAGACCTAACTGAATAATAGCGACTAAGAAAACATTAAATGTTAAATCAAAAAGGAGCTGTAAATACATCTTAGGTCAAGCACTTAGAAAAATAAGTTGTTAAATGATAAGTAGCTAACAATAAACAAATTAGATGTAAAAACTATTTAACATAAACAATACGTGTGTACATGGAATATGTGTAAAATAATTGAATAAATATTATAATATTTGGCATACAAGTTAAGGTTGGTTTTTCTGAAAATTAAATATGTTTCTTTTACGTAAATATGGTAAGAATTTAATTTATTTTTATTATAATCGATGAACAACTGCTAAAGGGTCAACACAATATTAAAGGGTAACCAGCAGTTAAACAATTATAGCCCGCCTTTATCAATAACACCTGAGCAAAAATATTGAAAATTTTGGACTTGAATAAATAAACATCGTCTACTGAGTAAGTAAATAAATAATAAAATCAATAAACCAATAAAATAAATATAAAGGTCATTGAAAGAAAAATAAAATTGTTTTTAATAAATATATAGGTCATTGAAGTAAAAATAAAATTGTTTTTTTTTTCCATTAACGAATGTACAAAAAAGGAAAAATTCACAGTGTTAAAAATTAATATTTAAATAAGTATTCTTTCTGAAGCATCTAAATTAATAGTATTTATTTTAATTTCTTTAGATCATTAAGGGAATGTTAAGTTTTCATTTTAGAAAGTTTTACAACTAAAAACTGCGGTAAAATGTCAGGAAAAACAAGAGAGAACGCTATAGTCGAGAGCTTCGACTATTAGATACCCGTTACTCAGGTGAAGGGAGAGCGAGGGAAATGGATTTATGCAGTCATCAAAGCTACTGGAGCCATCTATCGGCTGTTGAAATTGTTGATGGCTCCATCTAATGGCAGTCTCACTTTTTGCTCAAAATTGAATTTAAACTTTCCCAAAATTTTTAAAAATGTGGGCTCCATTCAAAATGGTTGTTCCCTAAAGAAAGCAAGAGAGAACGATTTAAAAAATTTCTTCTACATTTCGATAGGTATTAATAAACAAAACAAAACTGCATTTTTACTTTTCCGAAATATTGAAATTTTTAAAATCGTATATAAGCGATTGTGGGCGTTTTTGAAACAAACTTGCGCTGCGTTGGAACTCCTAGAATCTGCATGCAAAATGTCAATCTTCTAGCTTTTATAGTTTCCGAGATCTCAGCATTTATACGGACGGACAGACGGACAAGCGGACATGGCTATATCGACTTGGCTAGTGACCCTGATCAAGAATATATATACTTTATAGGGGCGGAAATGCTTCCTTCTAGCTGTTACATACTTTTGCACGAATACAATATACCCTTTTACTCTACGAGTAACGGGTATAAAAAACTTTCGCAGCGTAGAAACCTTAAGAATCTGCAAATTCGTAGTATTTGAATCTTTTTACTAAAAAAAACATTCAAAAGTTAACATTTAATTTATTAAATCTATTATTCGATAAACCAAAAATCCTAAATCGAAACAAGTCCAAATTATAAAAATACAAAATCATTTTTATCCAACAGTTAGGTACATATATTTATTTAGAAACACATATCTTTAACATTAGCTTGGCAGAACAAGTTGCAGCAATTTGGATGCTTGTGCGTGTTGATATTAATACCCAGACATTCATTATGATTCCGATTGGGCAATCTCAAGAGAACTGCAAGAAAAGTATACTTTTATATGGAATACTTAAACGAGGATATAAGAATACTTACTTAATTTATTCTTCCTGCTGCGAACCTCGTTTATTGCGTCAATCTCTTCCTCACAACTAAGGACCCAATTGCAGGGCTTATCCCATTCGGAGCAGGTGAAATCGCAGACGCATTGATACTGTGCTTTTCCCTTGCACTTGTTATTTTTCAGCACCGGACAGAGGTTTTTCTGGGAACATTGGACCAAAACCAATTCGGAGACAATGAAAAGGAGCAGCAAGCTCAGCAGAATCTTGGCAGCCATTTCGAAAAATTCTAAGTTGAAGTGATACGAATACCGAGCCTTTTATAGGTCTTCCCTGAGGGTAAAAGTGAGTTATTTTTAATCCGACTTGTTAAGCAATTGTGTAAATATAAGAAGAGATCAGGGCTTGGTCGGGGGTATAAAAGCAGGTTGTTTTCGGGGGCCATCATTTGAGTGCCCCGTTTATCAAGATGAAGTCCACACGAGTTCTGCTGACTTTCCAATTGCTGGCTTCTTTGATGGCCGCAATTTTGGGCTGTCAGACCTGTCAACAGTCCTCTCAGAAGGCCTGTCAGCCCTTTGTAGGCCTAAACAAGTGCTTCGATTGTGGCTGCAAAGAGCCCAAACTGCCGCCCCGGGATAACACCTGTTGTGGTCCCCACTGCGTCTACACGGGTCCAAGTTCTGCTCCAGTTGGTCGTTGCAATTGCACCGCCCAAAGTCGATGCCTCCTGGACACACATTGTGGCGCCGGAATGCCCTTCACCTTTGTCTGTCTATCCGGTTGCGATCTGAACAAGCTAAATGCCGACAGGCAAAAAACCGGCCATGCTCGTGAGTATTAAGGTTCTAAAATAACACTGTGCAGCATTTTTAGTGCTTTTTAAATTTACCTAGATGGATGCTATATTTTTGGATTCATTACGAATTCCCAAGTTAAACTGCGTTTTCCAAAAAGTTCCCCGACGCAAGGATTCTTAGCAAAAGGACCTCAAAGTTCGAAAAATGCTGAAATTGGCCAACTTTGCGGAGCTCTCAGAGGCAAATGGATGCATGGTTTGATTCGATGTTAAAGTTTTTTAAAAGATACACACTTTATCTTTTAAACCCCATACTTAAAAAATTTTTAAGATTTTTTTAAGGCAGAAACAAATTCTAGAAAACATAGTCAAAAAACATAAAAGTATACAGCTGCGGTCAAAATGGTAGTGGTGTTGCCGCCCTGTGTATTTAAAAGTTTGTTGTTGTAATTGATCTTTTCCTGGTAATATTGTATTGATTATAATTTTACTATTAGACTTATTGGATAAGAAAAAATTACAACATCAAACTTTTAAAAACACAAGGCGGCAACACTGCTACTATTTTGACCGCAGCTGTTTGTTTTTTTAGTTTTTTGACTATGTTTTTTGGAATTTATTTCTGCCTTAAAAAAAATCCTAAAATTATTTTATGTATGGGGTTTGAAAGATAAAGGGTGTATCTTTTAAAAAACTTTAACTTCGAACCAAGCCATGCATCCATTTGCCTCTGAGAGCTCCGCAAAGTTGGTCAATTTCAGCATTTTTCGAACTTTGAGGTCCTTTTGCTAAGAATCCTTGCGTCGGGGAACTCTTTGGAAAACGCAGTTTAACTTGGGAATTCGTAACGAATCCAAAAATATAGCATTCATCGAGGTTAATTTTTGATGCTGCATAGTGTAATTTTAAAAAATATTTTCCATAACCTTATTTCTTTGATCGCCACAGGTCTTCTTTCCTTCCCGTGGGACAAGAAAAAGTGCCTGGGCATGAACACCATGTGCGGCATCAATTGCTGCTGCCGAGAGAATTGTCCTAGACGGTTTTGTAAATTTTAATGCGTTCAATAAATGATTATAAAAAAGTGAAATAAAAATTGAAACTACAAATATTTTCTTTCAAAAGTTAAAAATTAAAGAGAAAAGTAGACAGGCTCTAAATAAAAAGAGATCATTACTCAAAGAAAAAGTTGGCTAACCAATTTTACATAAGCAATACAATTAAAAGTAAATTAATTAAAATAACATCTGGCGCGCAAATTTAAAAAGAGTAGTGTTGTAAAATGTCGAAATTCCCGTCCAATCTATCTCTGGCCTTTCCAATCGGCACTAGTTGCCACATTGCCCAACGAAGCCAACAGCAGTCGTGGCCGAGCGGTTAAGGCGTCTGACTAGAAATCAGATTCCCTCTGGGAGCGTAGGTTCGAATCCTACCGACTGCGAATGAGTTTCATACTTTTTTTATTATTTTTTTTTTTGATTGCACATTTTTATTTTTTATTTCAAATAACTTTAAATAATCACAAGCAAATGGTTCATTGAAAAATTGTCACATTGTAATTATTTTATGCATATTATTTATTTTTTTAAAAATAATATTCTCTGTGGATGATTATGTGATGAAAATATGATTAAATAATAAATGGCAGGCTTGATTAAACTTTCAATTTAAGGGTATAGAGTTGAGACGCCTCTTCATCTCTCCCATTTTGTACTTCTGACCTATACTAAAATTATGTTCGTAACCATTTATAATATTTATATGTTATTCCTCGTGTGGATGCGGACGTGAGACCGAAGGCTTGAGGGATCCGCGAAAGCAATGTGGCAGTGGGAACACTTGTAGGGTCGTTCGCCCGTGTGGTTCCTTATGTGGACCCTGAGAGATTTGCGCTCCTTGTAGGTTTTTTCGCAATAATCGCATTTATAGGGTCTTTCTCCGGTGTGGACACGAATGTGGACCTTCAGACCCTGGCGTTCCCTGAAAGTCTTATCGCAATAATCGCATTTGTAGGGCTTTTCGCCAGTGTGAATCCGATTGTGCAGCCTCAGATCCGCGGCAGTTCGGCAGGATTTGGGGCAATAGTCGCACTTAAAGGGCCATCGGCCAACGTGAGTTCGTTCGTGCACCTGAAGACTCCATTCGCGACGAAAGCTCTCGGGGCACAAGGGACATTTGAAGGTGGGCTCATCAGTACCGAAGTCCTCATCATCATCTTCATCGATATTATCAGTTGAGTGACCATAAAAAGGTTGGGATTCACTCTCCCCAGATGATTCCTGCTTTTTGACTGGGTAGTCGATATCGATCTCCTGCTCACTCCGATAGTCCGATACCTCCTCCAGTAGATCCTCCTCCAGGAACTCCTGCTTCACTTGGCAGTCTAGCATCTGATTGACCTCCTCATCCTTCAGCAGCACCGCCTCAAAGGCCCCTCTTTCTGTCTTCACTGGAGTGTTGATTGATCCAACAATCCCGTATGAATTCCGAGCATCCTGCAGGCACATTAAGCAAATTATCTCAGGAAATGAGTCTCCCCGTTTGACTTCCAATCCCGTGTAGTGCGATATAATCTCCACCATCGAAACTCCCGATTCCGGTGCTCCATCGAATATATTTATCATGTCTTGGGAGTTCAGCATGCAAACGCGACACAACTCAGTCATTGTTCTGAAATATAGTTATTGATTACAAAGGCTATGTTGCGATAATCAATCTTACGGTTTAATTGGGTTTACTATAAAAATTTCCTAGATAGTTTGTTTACACTCGAGATTTCATTCATTCTTTAAGTACTCTTGGCACACTGTTTTCATTACATAGGGCTGTTAAGCGCAGGAACATATGTTTTGTCATCGAATGCCTATCGATATGCGCTTAACAGCACAATGTAGCGGCCACAGGGTGCCCGATGTTAGTTTACAAAATATCAAGAAAAGATAAACAATCTATTTTGGGATATAGCATTTACGATTATAATCTATTAAACGTGCATCCGTAAGTATGTGTATCTTATAAATATGGGTAGCTTCTGAAGTCCTCTTCGATTACAGCGCAATGAAGGAAGTATGCCGGGCTTGCCTGCGAAACTCTGCATGTTTGGTCAACATTTTCGAGGGGAAGCACGATCGTCGTGGGGTTTCTATAGCGCATATGCTATCCGAATGCACGGGTTTCAAGATCGAAAAAGGGGACTCACTACCGGAACTGATATGCCCGCCCTGTCTGGAGGATGCACAAAATGCATATGATATTATAAAAACCTACGAGCGCAGCTACTTGATATTTTGTGAAGCGAGGGACGCGATCCTGGAGGACGATTTACCGGAGGAGGAAGTCTGTCTGATTTCAGATAGCGAAAGTGAGGAAACGAATGTGCAATCAAATGAAATTTTTGAGATATCAGAAAGTGAATGTGATAAATCGGAAAATGAAGATTCAAATAATAATCCAAAGATCCAGGACCTGGAAGAGAATACATCTAAGGAAGATGACGATATATCTAGAGATGAAAGTGAGCCATTCGATGAAGACGATACCAATGATAGTGATTATGTTGAAAGCAATCACAGAAAGTCCTATGCCAGACCTCGCAAAATAAGCCAAACGGGAAATCGACCGTTCAAGTGTGATTATTGTGAAAAGGGTTTTAAGGATCGCACATCTCTAGGAAAGCACGTAAGGACTCACACGGGGGAACGACCCTACAAGTGCACCCAGTGTCTCTCGGCCTTTTCGGATGCATCAAATCTCATACACCACTTAAAGATTCACTCAGATAAAAACCGCTTTAAATGTAATTTTTGCGAAAAGAGTTTTAGGACACGCCTGAGTCTTAGGAATCACATAAGGACGCACACCGGGGAACGACCTTTCAAGTGCACCATCTGCATGTCAGCCTTTTCGGATGCATCAAATCTCATTCACCACTTAAAGATTCACTCAGATAAAGATACGTTTAAGTGTAACTATTGCGAAAAGAGTTATAAGTATCGCGCAAGTCTTAGGGATCACATGAGGACTCACACGGGGGAACGACCCTACAAGTGCAGCATCTGCCAAAGAACTTTTTCGAATAGATCCTCCCTCTACCAGCACAAAAATATTCACAGGAACAAGTTAATCTTTAAGTGCGATCATTGCGAAAAGGGCTTTTCGGATAGGGATTGTCTTGAGAGACATGCACGGAATTACCGAAAGTGTGAATGGGGTTGCGAAAGAAAAAAAAACAAAGAGATCGACTCGGAAGTTAAACCGCTCAAGTGCTCGCAGTGCCCGAAATCCTATCAGTTTCAGTCTCAGCTTGAACGCCACGCTAATAGCCACTCAGAAGAACGACCGTTTAAGTGTAATCTTTGCGAAAAGAGTTTTAAGAAACGCCTAGCTCTTGAAAATCATATAAGGACGCACACGGGGGAACGACCCTTCAAGTGCAACATCTGCAAGAAATCTTTTTCGGGTCCATCAAACCTCAGCCATCACAAAACGATTCACAGGAAACAACGACCCTTCAAGTGCAACATTTGCCTGAAAGCTTTTACGGATTCATCAAATCTCAGCCATCACAAAAGGATTCACAGGAATGAACGAAAGTTTAAGTGCGAATATTGCGAAAAGAGTTTTTTGGATAAGGCCCATCTGGAGAGACATGAACTGACTCACACGGGCGAAAAACCCTTCAAGTGTCCCCACTGCCAGTCCTGTTTTGCGAGTTCAGCAAATCTTTGCCAGCACAGTTGGGTTCACAAGAAAGAAAAACGCTCTTCTTCTGAAAGCATTTAAGTAAAATTTTTAAATTCTAAAAAGATAGCATGATAAATTGCAATTCAAACTCGCATTTTCTACTACTTTTAGCTCTATGATTTATCAATCTGTTTCAAAAATGATGGTTTTGTTTAAAAATCCATACTCAATAGATCTAAGGAGATATCAAATCTCAAAATAAATTCTGATGCCTTAAAAAAATGATCTCTGTAGTTTTTTAAATGTTTTTTGAAAATCGATTACCAGCGACTCAACATATGTTTATGTCACTGTTAAGTGCGCTGTAATCGTAACAGGGTGCTCACAGCAGCTGCATGCTCAATAAAAGGTCGAGGATGTAAACAAACTATTTTACCTAAAATTTAAATTATTACTGAAAATAAAACCGCAGGTAAGTTTATTTGATTGGCCATTGACGTTTTCAAAGTCATGTTTGTTTTATTTTAGTATAATGAAGGAACTATGTCGCGTTTGCCTTGGATCCTCCAAAAACATGGTCAAAATTTTCCAAGGAACAGGAAGGCAAAATTCTGGGACTTCTATAGCTTATATGATATCGGAAGTCACCTGTTTTAAGGTTGAAAAAGGGGACTCATTTTCGGAATCCATTTGCACAACATGCCTAGAGGATGCCCAAAATGCATTTGATATTATAAAAACCTACGAGCGCAGCTACAGGACGTTTTGTGAAGTGAAGGACGCGGTCCTGGAGGACGAATTACTGGAGGATGACGTCAAGCAAATAATACCAAGTGATGGATCGAGCTGTGTTGAGGTAACACAGAAGATCATCAAGAAAAAGAAAGATAAGAGGGTAGAGAGTAGACCCTTTAAATCCGAAGAAGACTCCAATGACAAGGATTATGTACACTCAAAGAAGTCTCACGATTGTTCCCAGTGCAACAGGTCTTTTATCTCCCCATCACTTCTCAAGCGGCACATCCGGCGCTTCCACAATGACGAACGACCATTCAAGTGTAGTCACTGTCCAAAGTCCTTTGGGGACAAACACACTTTGAAGATTCACATCAGGTCGCACACGGGCGAAAAGCCCTACAAGTGTTCCCGCTGCCCGATGGCATTTACGAAACATTCCGGATTGCAGAAGCACTTCAGCCATCACACTGGAAATCTTCCGCACAAGTGCTCCCTCTGCCCGAAGGCCTTCTACGATCGATGTAGTCTTAGCCAGCATATTGCAACTCACTCGGAAGAGCGGCCCTTTAAATGCGATCAATGCGAAAGGTCCTATCCAAATGAGAGTTTCCTGAGGAGGCATATGAAGACACACACGTCTGAACGTCCTTTCAAATGTTCGCACTGCCCGAAAACCTTCAAGAGCAAGTTCAATCTTGACCAGCACAATATGAGTCACACGGGCGAACGTCCGTTTCAATGCAAGCAATGCGAAAAGTCCTTTAAAGCTGTCACTACCCTGAGCAGACATATTATGACACACACGGGCGAACGACCCCACAAATGTTCCTTCTGCCACTCTGCTTTTTCGGATAAATCGGCCCTAAAAATACACACCCGGATTCACACGGACGAAAGACCCTTTAAATGTGATCATTGCGATAGATCTTTTTCGAGTTCTTCGGATTGTAATAGGCATATCAGGACTCACACGCGGGAGAAGACGTTCAAGTGTTCCTACTGTGCGGAGGTTTTTGGGCAGCAAGCTGGTCTGCGAAAGCACAAACAACTCAATCATTAGCTTATTTAATATTTTACCCTAAAATAAATAGAGATGGGTATAACACAAATATAGGTCAAATAATCTGACCAATTAAGAAGTTCAAGTTTTCAACCAAAATAAGGTTATTTTTGAGTTTTATTTGAAGTCAAATAAGGAAAAATTAAAAAAAAAAATATTAAAAAAAGAAACCAATGTTTTTCGCAGTCGGTAGGATTCGAACCTACGCTCCCAGAGGGAATCTGATTTCTAGTCAGACGCCTTAACCGCTCGGCCACGACTGCTCATGCAACGAGTGATGTCAAAACCCATAATACGTTAGATGTAGACAAAATGTAAAGTAGAACCGATAACCGATTATATACAAATGTCGATATCATTTGAATAAAAGCGGGAAACAAACATATTTGGAATTTAAAAAATAATAAAACTTGACATATAAATCGTTTTAATCAACTGTTGTTTATTCGCTTTAATATACATTTATAAATACTTTTACAAATACATTTATAAATATTTCTCCATACTCCACTATATCGGTAAACAAATCGCGTATCCATCTGACTATCAACTTGGTAAAGATCAGAAAGTGTATACAAAATTGAAGCCATCGTTGGGCAAATTTCATTTGGTTTCTCTTTGATTTCCGTGAAATGCATCGTAGTACAAACTGAATCATTACTAAAATCATATACACACTTACAAAACGAGGTCTACATTAAGGCATTTTTCTTGCTATATTATTTGTGGTGCGGCCGGTTACTTATAATTTATAATTACTGTCAGTTAGCGTATATTGTGTGCGGTGCCTGGTGTACATTTTTGACATATAAAAATATACATAATTAAAACCTGTTAGATCACAAAGTAAAATGCTAATAAATAGGAATTTGCTTAGACATAAGTACATGGAATCATGTGGTTCGCGTTAACTAACTAAGGTACAAGTTTAACTGATACATTTTGTATGTTTGGCTCTTCGAAAATTCATTAAAAAAAGCATAAAAACGTTTGTCGAAAACTGCAATTTCTCTGTTTTAAATGCACTTTGCAAAAGTATACATCAATTTATGTTTTCCTGCTTGCGCGGCTGATAATTTTTACTTGCTGCACGTCGATATTATATGTTAGAACTATATGTATGGGGTCTTTCGGGCTCTGTACCGCGATGTTCCTTCAAAGATTCATATCCGTCAGCGACAACCAATTTTGATAGTTGTGTGTGCCTTTTGGGATTAGCGTCACGGGCCTAAGAAGGCACCTTGCCGACGTCTTGCATCATGACCAGCGATCCAACCATGGCCACCAGGGTGCGATCCAGCCAAGTCACCGGATTGGGGTATAGGAAACCGCCCTCGTAAAAGCCCAGGTGTCCGCCATGGGCCACCTCCACATAGGCAGTGTTTTGTCTAGTGGCTGAAAGAGCAAATGGAAAGATAAGCAACCGAGTATCTAATCAATTATTCATCTACTCACTGGCATACTCCTTGATGGGATGCAGCAAATCCTCTGGAATCAAGGGATCATCCTTGGCATTGATGAAGATCATGGGCTTCTGAATCGTATCGAAGTAGAACAGCGACGAGCTCCACTTGTACAGTTCCTGGGTGGAGGGGAAGTTGTACACGCGCCTCGTATAGGCCTCATCCAATTCGGGTAGCGTGGCAGCGGCGATGATCTCGCGCTCGTTGAGATTATGCCGAGCCTTCACCTCGTCGGATAGCAGGACATGTCGATGCCTCAGGATAATGCTCTTCACGTTCTCAGTCATGATGTACAGGTAGAATCGCCGGAAGTTCTGCCAGTTGAGCAGCCATTTGGTGCCCCTAAAATAGAAGAACAATTAGTTAAGAATACAAATCAATAAATAAGTTAAAATAGCTACTAACTCGACGGCATTGTAGCCTTGGCAAATGGATATGCCCCCAATAACGCTGACGGGCTTTGTCTTTTGGTCCTCGCCCATGTACTTGGTGACCAAATTACCGCCCAGACTGAAACCAACCGCCACTATTCGACTTTGACGGTACTTCTGGTGCAAATGCTCCACCATGGCGGCGAAATCCTCCGTGTGGCCGTAGGTAAAAATGCGTGTGGAGGTCACCTGGACGCTGCGCAAGGCTCCAATGTGATTTAGGACCGCACAGCGGTATCCGTTGCACTGGGCCAAATGCACAAAGGTGCGAATGTAAACCGATTCCGAGCTGTTGGCGATGCCCGGGCAAATGGCCACCGTGATGTCATCTGTGGGAGAAAGTTAAGAAATGTTATTTAAATGGTTTTTAAGGCTAAATTGTGTGGCCTACCCTCCTGTTCGTTGAGTGGCTGGTACAGGTCGTAGGTTAAAGTGGAGCCATCCTCAAGCGACAAATACAAACGCTGTCCCAGAGGCCAAGGACAACGGACTCTGCCCACAATGCTGTGCAAAACTGTCTGCACATGACCGCTAAATCCCCAAAGACGCGGAGGAATGTAACTGAAAATGGTATACAAATTTATTTATTAAAATGTATAAATAAAAGAGTTTGCAAATTAGGCAAGCAAATGCCATATTTTATTTTTATAAAACTTTCTTATCAACCATTAAATTGTTCAAAAATGTGTACAAACAAAAACTCAAATCCTTTTTATCAGCAAACTTCTTATCAGTCAAAAAACCATGATTATTATTTTGCCAGACTGCTTGTGAATTTTTTATTTATTTTTCCTTGGCCTCGTATATTTGAAATAATAGAACTTTTGATGCCCTTGACATTGCACTTTGAATTATGATAGCAATAATGAATCTGCACACAATTGCTTCCAGTTCGTTAGCAGGCAATTTGCCAAATTTGACCAAATATAATTCATACACATTGAATTTTGATTTGCTTTCAAGTTTTTCAATGGGATGGCTTTCAAATGCGAGAGAGAATGGAAGTAAATGCACAAAGGGGCAATTCTGAAAACAGCATTAGAACCAATTGAACCTAATTGAGCACACGCAACAACACCAGAATTAGGTGGAGAAAGTCGGATGTGCACAGAGATAAAATCATGAAACACCTAAATATGAGATTAATTCTAATGTATACTATTTTAAAGATTTTTAAAGTAGAATCCTGGCAAGCCAAATTTACATATATCCTTTTTTATTAGTTTTAGTTTTATAATTCAGTTTCCATTTCTTCTCGTGTATCAAAAATCATGTTAGGCGTGCAAAAACGTGATACAGTTTTGTGTATCCACTTGCGAGAGCCCAGCAACAGTAGCCTTTCAATTAGTATCAATCAAAGTAAAATTGTGGAAAAAGTTGGTGGAGGGGCGTGGTCACTTTGGGAACTGGCACAAATGCCGGCGTATCTACCTGTTCAATTTTTAATCACCTTCAAACATGAATTTACGAACACTAATCAATATATGCCAGCAGATATTAAATGAATAATGCAAGGGCATACATATTAAAATCGTCGTTATTGCGTTGTATAAGGTAAATGTGTCATGAAAAAGTTCTCTCCCCTAAAAAGGGAAAACAGCTGCAACTCTTTCCCACCTTTAAAGCAAAACTGTCACAGCTACGAGAACCGCAAAAAAATAAAAGCATGCAAAAAAGCGAACGACAAAAATGTGCTAATGACTCATCCTAGAAATTTTCAATGTGCCATCCCCTTAAGGTAAACATCTTATATCATTGTTTTCTTGGAAATTAGAAACCTCCTAAGCTCTTTGGCATTTGATCTTTACGTAGTTAAATTCACTTGACAGGTATGAGAACGTTATATCATTATGGTAATATAATCTCTCGGTTTATTAGCCTGTTTTCAGAAAACCGCTTGTCAAAAAGTTATACCTAAGAGTAATATCAGGACTACTCAGTAATTATAAAATGTACTGCTTAACTTCATGACAAGATGAAATATTAAAATTAAAAAATGTTGCCAAAAATTTAAAACAAAAAGCTAAACGTTTTAAATATTTTAAAAAAGGAGGTTATTAAATATTTTTTGTAAAATACGGAGTTCAATTACTTTCATTGCTAAATATGCAAGTAAGTTTCTAAAATTAAAAAAAAGAAACTAAATTTAATTTTAAATTTAAAAATTAAATTTTATAAAATCCATTTTTAATTAATTCTATTGCTAAACATGCAAAAAAATTGCTAGATATTAAAGCTTAGAATCTCTTCTAAGTAGCTACAAAATAAAACGAATTAACATCCCCTCGAGCTTTTAACCTGAGTAAATCTCACCTTTCAACCGGTTTTGTTAGCAGATAATAAACTCAGGTGAGAGGGGAAGAAAGCTATAGAGCAGTCGAGAGAATTTTGCTTACGCAATCTTTGTTGTTAAACAAAAGCGGCAGACGACGACTACTGGGCAAAGCGCCAAAACAAAAACAAAATGAAAACATTCACAGGTCTTGCCGGCATTTGAATGAGCCAAAGTGCTACCAAAAGAAACTGCGCAAACATTTTGCCGGCACTTTTTCATTATCATCCATAATCACCCCATATTTCCATATATTTATAAAGTAGTATGTATATATCTTGAGGAAACTCCCACGCCATTATCGACGTGACAGTCAAGTTTGTGGCCAAAATCGGGTTGCTAGGCGTTAGTCGCCGTCTTTATTTTCTCTGGCCCACTGCGTAATTGCGGGGCGAACTTTGAGCTATACATATTATTACTTCTTATCGCCCCGTTCTGGCAGACATACGGAAAAAGTAAATTGAAAAATAAAAAGATTATACAAAATAACATTTAATTATGCGGTTGGTCGCAAAAGAGAAACGCCAAAAAGTAATGAAAATCGTAAGAAAATTTTCCAGGCGCGTGGACAGAGCCAAAGAAAAATGTTCGTCAAGATGGAATTTAAATAAAAATGTCTTACTAATTATTATTAGTAATCTGTATTAGTAATACTTTCTTATAGGTTCCTATGGGCTAAAACAATTTCCTGCCCCCTCGATAACCTCCAACAAACTGGCAAAATAAAATAATTAATTTAAAACAATTTTTTATGCTCGATAACCTATTTCAACTCGTAAAATATTTTTAGCCTGTGACCGCAAAAGCCACCATGCTGTGAGTAAGGGTTTATTATTTCACCGATAACAAACAGAGTCTATATAGAGTCTATATTGAACACACATGTGTCACACAATCTGTATTATTATGTATTGAAATAAAAGCTGATAGTGCAAATAAAACTTGTAAAATTGCATTTAATCAATTAGCTTGTAAATGCATTTTATAGATAGCGAGTGAAAAGTTTGACTAATTTTTGAATTATTTAGACAGCGACATGAGGTTTATTGACTAATTGCCATTAATGATTCATTCAGCACTGTTTGTTTTCACATGCCAGCAAATTGATCATTTTAAGTAATTTGAGGTAATTGCAGATTTGTTTATCAGCAAATGTGATGGAAAACCGTCTGGTATAATTATGACATTCGAGAAACATTTTGGCTCGACTGTGATGCTGTAAAAAGCTAGTTTTTATAGTAGTGATTAAGGGAGTAGCATTAAAAATAAAAGCTTACTTTAACACTAAAGTAAAATAATCATAGTAACCCAAATAATATAGTGATATTTATAAAAAAAAGAAGATCTATAAATTTAAAATCGGTTTTCTTATAGTTAAAATATAAAATAGTTACTCGAAAAGTATTCCTAAAAGTATTTTTTATAATATTTATATATATTGATTAATAAAAGGACCTTTTAAAAAAAATTATAAAATATAATTTTTTTGCAATTTGGGAATATGCTATTTTTCTGAACACAGGTGTAATGAATTACAAGATTTTTGCAATGTATAGCCATGTATAACTATAATCTTGGCCACACCTGTGCTTTCGGATATACATATACATGCATATGTACCGCCAATTGAAGTACTCAAACATAAGTCGCACCCCGTAATCCCGTAAAACTTACGGCTCCCTCAGCACGGGTGCTATTTTGTAGAGGCAATCCAGGAACTGGGCGTCCAGGCACCAAACACTCGGCTTCAGCGGCTGACTGTGGACATTGAGGATGCGGAAAAGGATGCACACGATGACGGCGATTAAGGTCAGGAAGGCGGTGGACATGGTGGCGCAGTGTCCTCCGATTTTCTACCCAGGACCCGAGGAAAAGGCCTGTCTTATCATCCAATCACTGTCCCACTTATCCTTCGATTTTTCCGCCTTTCCTTTCGGATTTTCTGTCTGTTTCGGTGTTCGGTGTGTGGCGTTTTATGTGTTCGTCTTGATTTCCGCTCGGTTGCTACTTTTCGGCTGGCCAATATATGTTAACACTTCCCAAGGGGACCGGATTTGAATTGTGCTCGAAAAAGTCTTCGCCTTCTGTGTGATTTTTTTTTAACTGATAGATTTGGTGTGGCTGCAGGCGGGGCTATCAAAAAATACCAAGTGCGTGGGCGGTGCTCGGGGACTATCGATAGTTTTGTACCTTCGGTATTTCTACTTTTGGCGCCAACAAATTTACATCTTAAAATATTTTCTGCATTTTTTACTGTGATTACTGATGGATCAGTAATATGTGATCAAGTCTATTATACTTATTATCATAGATCACGAAGTCCTAAAATAATAAAGCGGACTATACTGAATATTTGTGCCGGGACATATTTTGGTATTTTTTTGATGGTATATCGATCAGCTGTCACTATAAAACGTCCACCTCTAATAGAATAGAAATTTTGTTAATTTGTTTACAAAATGCGAAACTACAAGAGGAAAACGCCGAAGAGAGATCCCGATATTCTTCGTGGAGCAGTTGCAGCTATGAAATCGGGAATTTCCCTACGAGCGGCATCCATTACTTTCGGGATACCAAGAAGTACGCTCTTGCTCCATCGCAGAAATAACGAGACTATATTGCCAGACGATTCGGTACCATCAGAGGTGGATATAAATGATGTGGAGATAACCTTAGTGGGATACAAAGGAGTAAGTTTTCAATCATTTCCTTAGGTTACAATAATTCTACATACTCCACTACCTTTATAGGTTTTCACCACAGAACAGGAAGCTGTTTTGGAAGACTTTCTCTTTATAGCCAACGATTATTTTGGATTGACGGCGAAACAAGCTCGATCCCTGGCCTATCAATATGTTAAGAAAGCTGATGTCCTCTGTCCCTTTTCCTGGCATCGTGATCAAATGGCCGGTTTGGAATGGTTTCGCAGCTTTAAGGCCCGACACCCAAAATTGATCCTAACTAAACCCGAACAAAATGTGGAACCAATGAATTTATCTGAATTCTTTGAAAATTACTTTTCGGTAGAGAAAACGGAGTAAATTCGATGGTTTTTTACGAGCACTAGAGTTTGCCGTAACTGAAGTACAAATATGATATGAATTTCGGGGCACTGGAATGGAGCCTGCAATGGAAATCAGTCGCGTTGATTGTGTTTTAGCAATCCAAATGATGATATATAGGGGGGTATGACAAGAATGAAAACATCCCGAAGAAAGCCATCTGAAACCAAAAGGTGGAAAAGCAGGCTGATTTAAATAAATAAACATTTAAAACAAATCTAAAAATAACTCTTTTGATCCTAAGCGGTTGTTTGTCTATAGCAAATTCTAAAGCCTATAGTCTTTTTTAGATAATACAAATTTGGTAATCGTTTCCAGCGAGTTTATTTTACTTAGAAACTATACTACGAAAGAGACCCAATGTTTTCCAGTAAACTTAAGCGATAAATAAACATAAATACGAAGAGAAGTGAACAAAGAAACAAGTAATTCCAGTTCGAAATTTGAGTAACTTTAAGTAATAAAGAGTAGACAACTCAGTCTCAACCCTGTAGGTAATCCATTAGGAAGGGCTTATCATCTGGAGCATAAGGCGTCAATGGAACATCGTAGGGCAATGGAAAAGCGGGCACGCCATCGCGATGATTTCCCAAAGGAAAGGTGTCCTCGCCAGTCTGAAAATAAAGTAACGATTACCAAACACTTCTGTTAAATATTCCCCTAACTAACTAACCACAAATCTGGGCAGAAATAAGACACCAACTTCATAGTTGGCGATCCTCAGGCAGGGCTGAATATTGGAGTTCTTGTTAAAGCAGCCCCAGGCGGCCTTCGAAAGATTCGCCGAGGTCAGGACGAACCAATAGACCGACTGATCCTCTAGGTTAAAGCGCGTATAGCTCTTAATGTGCGGCATGGCCCGCGAACGATAGCGATCGCTGGATTTCCACTGCTGCAGATGCTCCTTCAACCAGGGCTGTTTGTCATTTGTGTTCTTGCCATAGGGCAAACAACCGCCGCCCAGCATTCCATCATGACTGCCGGACACGTTGCCGAAACTGGGATAGATCATCTTGAAGGCCGGCATCTGGCGGAGCTTTCCCACGGGCGTCGAGTCCTTCTTCAGGCTGTTCACAAAATCCTGCTGTATCCAGGCCTGTACATTGGCGCCCAGGCTGCCGATACTCGAGCTCTGGCAGATCACAGGGATGCGATCGTCGATGGGAGCCGCATGTTTGGCCAGCAGCGAAGCCAGGCGAGCGTGACCCCAGGGATGACCACGCACGGTGCTCTCGCGATGGCCTCCAGGCACAGAGCCCAGGAAGAAGACGCTATCGGATGGATGGATTGATTAATTTAACAAGAGAGAACGCTATAGTCGACTATCTAATACCCGTTACTCATATAAACAATTTTGATTGCGCACAACTTTTGAATGGATGGTCCGATTTGAAAAACTTCTTCTACATTTCGATAGATATAAATATACACAACAAAATTGCATTTATACTTCTCGGAAATCTTTAAAGTTGTGGGCGCCAGACACATTTTAAAATCGTTAGTGGGCGTTAGAGGGGGCGTGGCGCTCGGCTGAAATAAACTTGCGCTGCGTAGGAAGCTTAAGAATATGTGTGGGAAATCTCAACCTTCTAGCTTTTGCAGTTTCCGAGATCTCAGTGCTCATACAGACAGACAGACTCTACGAGTAACGGGTGAAATTAAATGTAAGCCTCTTAAAAGTCAACCCACTTGATGGCACTGAAGTCGCTCTTGCGGATCCTCGCAATCCAAGGCTGCAGCTGAGTGATCTTGTACTCCACCAAATACAGCATTAGATCCTGTTTGAAGCCCGTTGCGCTTTCACCTGCTCCCGTATCCGCATCCTCTGGCAGGGCAGGAAGTTTGGGACTTATCCACAGACCCTGTGTGCGATTGTGCCAGTCATCCTCGTACAGATTCGCCGTGGAGATGACCACCCGCATGGAACCATCCGCGTAGCCCAGGAACATCATTTTGGTGTGCGAGGTGGCAAAGGGCGTGGGCATCCGCACCCGAATGGCCGTCACCTGAGGCTTCAATTTGCCGATGCTCAGCAGCTCCGGGGATTCGTCGCCATAGAGCAACAAAAGGGGTTTGTCCCTGGGAATTTGGAGTTACCATTAGAAAGATATATGATATATGATATAAAGTAGTGACTAACAGTATGCCGGCAAAGTAGTAATGCCCCAGTAGCCAGCCAATGTCCACCATAAAGTTGATCTGCACGGTGCTCTCGATCTCGCCCAGACTTTCGTCGAGGATCTCCTGGAGGGTTATGCTTAAGGGTTCCGAGTGGGTGGGCTTTGAGTCCGTGATGGCGGTGAGGAACATGTTATAGGGAGCAGCGCGCTCCAGTTTCTTGGCCATTCCGCCCTTTTCCACCACCACGGGAATATAGTCCCTGATGTTCTTGGGATTCAGCCTTTGCTTCTTGGCCAAATTGGAGGTGTCCGGCGGGGCAGCTGGTCGGGTGGAAGTTGAGGAACCACTGGGATTGTTACTCGAGGAAGAACCACTGGCAATCGGAGCAGTAACAGGTGCTTTTGAGCCCGAAACATTCGGCTCCTTCTCCTTTTTAACTCCTGCCTTGGGAAACAGCTTCTCCAGCAGCTTCAATTGGGTCTGTATCATTTCACTGGAGTACTTGTCTGGAATATCGTAGTCCCCCGATCCATTTCCCTTCTCATAGATGGCATCCACTAAGTAATAACCCATTTTAAATGAGATATCGTGTTAATTTGTGTTAATTTTACTTACAATGCGCATGGGAAAACTCGCCAAAGTGAATGGGATTCTTTCTGTAGCACTTTTCGCCATATGGACACTCCTTCATTTTGTTAGATATATTATTTTTTATAGCTCCCAACTCAAATGACAACAAAATCAATTAATTTAACACAAAACGAATTTCGCAAATACTATGCCAAAAAAGAAAAAAACAAAGCGCGCTCAGCTGGCGATGACAATTTATCGATTGCAAAAATACCATTAATATTACTAAAAACTAACTGTTAAAATTTTTAAATATATTTATAACGGGTTAGAATTTAACAACTACATAATAGTATACTCTTTTTAAAAAATGCATAAAATCTATTTTCTTTTAGATGTTTTTATTTGTTAGTAAGTTACTTTTTGTTTTTTTTATTTTTTATTTAATACAAATTAAATAACTAATTTCCCAAACGCACTGAACATGTTATTATTTTATATCTATTTTTTTTTAATTTAGAACATATAGCTATGATTTCACTTTATCCTTTTGCCTTCATAAAATACATATTAAGGTATTAAATATTAGTTAAATAAACAATATTCTATTGACAGCTTCTAGAACTTAATAAAATCGTTAAAACTTATTAATTTTCATTAAAATAGGCTTCATAAAATACATTTTAAGTTATTACATATTACACAAGTAAAAAATAAACTATTGACAGCTTCTAGAACATTATAAAAATCTTTAAAATTCATTATTATTCACTTTCATTAAAATAATTAAAGTCGACAGTTGTGCAATTTGCTGGCCTTGGAAATCGGGGCGTACGTGGATTTGTTCTTTTCCGCCACTCACTTTGGTGCATCCACTCCAGTGATTTAGCTCCCAAACAAAGCGTGGGCACGGCTCCCGGTTTCAACCTGGATCCTTGAAAGCAATCCTGCTCGAAATGTAACGCACAGATGCGAATATTGGGCCAGTGCTCCTCGCCCACCTTTATTTGCGTATTGTGCAGCCACTTCTCGGAGGTTTCATCGGAATCGGGCAGTTTGTGGAGCCGGAATTTTCGGTTTACGTCCTTAGAAGTCATCCGGCATCCCGGAACGGCGCAGCGATTCGCATTAAACTTCTTCGGTTTGGAGAGGATTTGCTCAGTGGTCTGTTCTGGGTAGGATCTCTGATTGGGCGCCACTTCGAGGACCACTTCCAGGGTCTGATCCTTGAGCTCCTCCTCCCCCATTCCAAGGCTGCCTTCCCCGTCAATGGAATTCGAATCCGAGCACTGAACTTCCTCCTCTTCCTTCACCTCACTCGGTTTCGCCGCCTGACTGTAGATCATCCACTGCTCCTCGGTGATATTCTGATGGATTGCCTCGCCCGGCAGATGCAGCGTGGGCACACTCCATCCTTGTAGACGACGACTCTTGAAACATTTCGCTTCAAAGTGCTTGCTACACACCCGAACGCGACCTCTTGGGTTCATCTCTATTTGACCGTTTTCCAGCCACATCTTCTGAATTTCCTGCACATTTTTCATGCTGTGCAGCGTGTAACCGTCTCTGGGAATAAAGGTATCGCATCCCTTGACGGAACAACTGATGGCCTGCATGGTGTATTTATTCCGGATCAACTTGTATTTGGTGTCTAGAATTTGATTGGGCACATGTTCGGGAAAGTTCTTCACACTGTGCTCGTACATGATGATAAAGTGGATGTCACACAGCTGCGGCGCTTTATTGGGGTCATCTGAGATGTGTTTCAGGTTCATGTGCTTCACCCAAACCTTTTTCAGCTCTTCCATCGGCGGCAGATCGTAAACAATCTTCTCATGCCGCCCGCAACCTGGATGACAGCACCTGACCCTCTTCTTTCTCATCCAACCATATGGGGATTTGGTTGTCGTCGAATATTCGGACTCAACCAAATCGCTGTGGGAATGACCCAGCTTCCTGGTTGGCACGGCGCCATAGCGCAGGTACTTTGCGCCACCTGTAAAGCAGCTCTCCTCGAAGTGTTCATGGCAAACCAGCAGGCCGTCCACCTCCTTGAAGCTGACCTCCAGTCGCAGGTTGTGTATCCACTTTCTCACGAGACCCCTGTCCCTGGGGAACGAGGAGAACGTGCGGTCCCTCGTCATCCGGCGGCGTAAACAGCCGGGCACACAGCAGGGAATGCCTTCAGTTTGAAAACGTATCTTCTCCGGATTTTGCAGGACTTCGTGGTCATGACCGAGGAATAGCGTAGGCCGCGAGCCCCAGCGAAGTGATTTCTTGTTTTCCGTAAAGCAGGCCTCCTCGAAGTGCCGCTCGCAAACGCGTTGCGTAGCCCGGTTGATGGCGGTCAAGGGGATGTACAGGTTGTAACTCCAAGCCTCCGCTTCAACGGAGTTGCGGGGCAATCTGTAGTAGCCAAGAGGAGTGCGCGCTGCATCGCGCACACATCCCGGTACCAGGCAGGGGAACAGCTCCCTCGTTGGCTGCGAACCGGCAAACAAGTCGCCCGTCTCCGGATCAAAGCAGTCGGCGGAAAAGTGCGACGAGCACAAGCGAAAGCCGAATCTTTTTATCTGCCCAGGGTCATGAAGGCATCTTCGCCTCCATTTTTCCAAGGTTTCCGCATCGTCTGGATACTCGTACAGCCGGAAGCCCTCTCCTTTGGCCCGGAAGCAGCTGAGCACGGAGCAGTAGTGCTCGCGGATGTAGCGCATGATTGGTTCAGAATTCTGAACTGTATCCGTAATCAGATAATCCTCGTGGCCCAGGCGTAAAGTGGGCAAAGCCCAGACAGCAAGCTGGGTTTCGCCTATAACCTCCGGTTCAAAGTGGAGCTGGCACACGTAAAGATCTGTGGGATTCACCAGGCGAGGCTTCACCTGGGTGTTTACCAGCCACTGAATAAGGAACTCCTCGTCGCTGGGAAAGCGGAACAAACGGATGTCGCTGGTCTCCTTTTGCCCGCAATTGGGTATGCAACAGATCGCATTCCTCAGGTGGAGGAGGCCAGTTGAAAGTTCTGGCTCTAGTTTAATGTTACCCTGAAATGGAGGATACTCTTTATCAGAGGATTCCTCTTCCTCCATCGAAGAGTCCTCCTCTTTTATCAGAGGCTCCATTTTAATTTGCACCTCCTCCTGCATAGAGAAATCCTCTTCTGATGGGACTTCCTCATTCATCAGGGGCTCCATTTTTATTTGAATCTCCTCCTGCTCCATTTGAAAGTCCTCGTCCTCCGATTTAGGTTCATCTTTCACCTGAATATTTTCCATTCTGCGGTTTACCACTACAGATGTTCTATTTGAGCATGTCCTGCAATTTCCAGAGATTGATCTACATGTGTGCGAACTGCAAAGCATTATAAATTAATATAAATACTTTATTCGTTTCTTTAAAAATTACCTTTTCACCTGCTTTAAACAAGCTAGGAGCAAATAAACCTGTTAAATCTTGTTCCTTTTGCGGGTAAACATATTAGCGTCCGTGTTAAAACCAGCTGATACCCCTGCCAACTTGTTTTTATTCATATTTAAATATGTTAAAAAACGGTCTTCCTAATTTTTAGGCCTATTGGTCCGCTAGTAGTGGAGACACACTCCTGTCACAGAAGTCCGATTTTAAACAAAAAATGATGTTTTTTTTAATGAAAATAATAAGAGTTAATAAGAGACCTTTTTAAATATGCACTAAGATTTTTTCCCATGTTTATTAAATAATTAAATAGGAACTTAACTTAACACTTCTAGCCGAAAAAAACAGACTTCAAACAAGCTGTTTTCAAACCCAAAAAAATTTTATCAGATTATTAACATTAAATAAAATTTAAAATTAAGATTAAATATATATAACTGAGTAGTACATAATACCTACATAAAAATCTTATATATTATAATCATATTAAAAATAAAACTCGCATAAGAATGTATTTTATTTAAGATTTTTTAATTAATTTATAGCTAAATAACAATCTTCTATTCTTTGTTTCTTAATTTATTTAAAATGCAAATTTCACAACGAATATATGTTAATTTTATTTGTTTTCCAAAAAAATATATTATTTAACTTCTTGCATTTTGTCACTTTTATTTTTTGTTTAATACCAAATAATGTTTATAAAGACAATGGATTGCTTAAACAATTAAAGAGGAGCTCAATGGAATAACTTAGTTTTATTGTAGCCTTCGTCAAATAAATAGTGGGGTATTACATATTAGTTAACTAAGAACATCGAATTGGAATCATCTAAAATAGGTTTCTTTTTCTTTTTCCTCCACTCGCTTTGCATTCCTCTGATTTGCTGCCCGAACAAATCGTGGGCACGGCTTCAGGCCTCAATGCAAATCCTCTATAGCAATTCCTCTCGAAATGTAGGGCACATACGCGAATGTTGGGCCACTGGTCCTTGGTTGTCTTTATCTGCATGTTGTGCAGCCACTTCGCAACGATCTCCTCGGAATCTGGCAGTTTGAGGAGCCGGAATTTTCTGCTTACGTCCTTAGAAGTCATCCGGCATCCCTTAGCGGCGCAACGGAAGACAGTGAGGTTCTGCTTCGGCTTGGATTTTTGAATCGGTTTTCCGTCAATCGAATTTGGATCCGAATTTTCAACATTCATTCGCTCCTTCCGTCCATTCAGTTTCTCTGCCTCCCTGTAAATTTTCCACTGCTCCGCGGTGATATTCTGATGGATTGCCTCGCCCGGCAGATGCAGGGTGGGCACACTCCATGGATGCAGTCGACGATCCTTGAAACATTTCGGCTCAAAGTGCTTGCTACACACCCGAAGGAGATCCAGTCGCCGGTTCATCTCGATCTGACCGTTCTCCACCCACATCTTCTGAAGCTCCTCGTTCTTCTTCATGTCATGGATACTGTAGTCATCTCTGGGCTCAAAGGTATCGCATCCTTTGATGGAACAACTCAATATCTGCACAATTCTCTTGCTCCGGGCCACCAGGTAATTGTTGTCTAGAATTTCGTCGGCAGAGTGCTCGGAAAAGTTCTTGGCACTGTGCTCGTACATGATGACAAAGTGAATGGCACACAGTTGTGGCGCCTTCTTGAGGTCATCTGAGATCTGTTTGAGGTTCATGTGCTTCGCCCAAACCTTCAGCAGGTCTTCCATCCGCGGTAGTTCGTAAACCATCGTGTCAAACCGCCCACACCTGGGATGGCAGCATTTGTATCTTCTCTTTTTGAAGACATTCGTTTTGGATTTGCCTTGAAAAATATTCCAATCGGACTCGAACAGTCCGAAGAGGTCGTAACTAGAATGACCAAGCTTCCGTGTGGGCATGGAACCCGTGCGCAGGAACTTCATCTGGTTCTTTGTCCGTTTAAAGCAGCTCTCCTCGAAGTGTTCATGGCACACCAACAGGCCTTCGACTTCCTTGTGGCTCATCTCCAGCTGAATGTTGTGGATCCACTTCTTGACCAGCCGGCAGTCGGTGGGAAACCCGGAAAACATGTGGTCCTTTGCCGTCCGGCGGCGACCACAGCCGGGCACACAGCAGGGAATGCCCTCGGCATGGACTCTTATTGCCTCCGGATTGGGCCGCACTTCGCCGTCATGACCAAGGCGTATGGTGGGCAGTGAACCCGTGCGGAGGTTCTTGAATTCCGTAAGACAGGCGTCCTCGAAGTGTCGACTGCAAACGCGTTCCAAATTCCGATTGATGGCGGACAAGGGAATGCGCAGATTGTGGCTCCAATTCTCTGCATCTTCGGTGTTCTTGGGCACTTTAAAGTAGTTGATTGAAGCGCCTTCCTCGCGCACACATCCCGGAACCAGGCAGGGGAACAGCTCCCTATTTGGCTGCACTCCCGCAAACAAGTCGCCCGTCTCCGGATCAAAGCAGTCGGTGGAAAAGTGCGACGAGCACAAGCGAAAGCCGTATCTATTTATCTGGGCAGGATCATGACGGCACTTGCGCCGCCATTTGAGGAAAGTTTCCGGATCATCGGGGTATTCGAATAGCCGCAATCCATCGTCTTTGGAGCGAAAGCAGTTGATCAGGGAGCAGTACTGCCCGCAGATGTAGGCCATCACCTGATCCGACTGCTTCAGGCAATCGAGTACCAGGTAATCCTCGTGGCCCAGGCGTAAAGTGGGCAGCGACCAGAATTCCAGCTGATTTCCGTGCACAACATCGGGATCAAAGTGAAGTTGGCACACATAAAGGTCGGGGGGATTCACTAGGCGAGGCTTCACTTGGGTGTTCACCAGCCACTGGGCGAGGATAATCTCGTCTCTGGGAAAGCGGAACAGTCGGATTTCATGGGTATCCTTCTGCCCACAGTTGCGTATACAACAGGTGGCCTTTTTCATGTCCGGCGGCTCTTGCTTAACTTTACCCGGAAACGGTGTGTCCGCTGTACTAGAGAATTCCACCTCGTCCTCGTCGGAATCGTCTTCATCCATCATTAGGGGCTCCATTTTAAAATCCATCTCATCCGCCTCTTCATCCATTATTAGAGGCTCCATTTTAATTACCATCTCCTCTGCCTCCTCCTCCATTTCAAAGTCCTCGTCCTCCGATTGCGGTTCATCTTTAACCCTAACTTTATCCATTTTGCGGTTTACTCTCCAGAGAGTTGCAGAGTTGGGGCTGATGATTATCAATGAAAAGATATACAAAACGTACATTAATTGTTTTCATTTTGATCCTCTTACCAACTTTAAACAAGTTACTACCAAATAATCCTGTAAAGTCCTGCTTGTTTTGGGCGGCAAAAAAATAATAGCGGCGGTATGAAATTCAGCTGTTCCCCCTGCCAACTTGTTTTTATTCACTTTAATATATTTAAAACTGTCACACTTAAATGTCAGGAGGGTGTCCTTGCTAGCGTAGTGGAGACACCAATCAGACATGACAATCCAATTTTAAAAAAAATTTATTTTTTAAAGAATAAATATAAATTAAGTTATAAGAGTTTTTAAATATACATTCAATATAAAAATGTTAGGTTACACATTCCACCCAAATAAACCTAGAAATTAAAACAACTTCAAGCTATTTACAAACCGGATAAAATTGAATAAATGTCCAAATATCTGTGTAATTTTAAAGAACATCTAAATTTGTGTTCCTGGTTTGATTTAAAATTATTATTTATTCTGCTTTCCTCACTTTTATCGGGTTTATAAAAGCTTTTAAAAATATTTACTTTTTTATGCATTTAATGATTTTTATAACATTTTTACTGTCGGCTATTTGACTTTCAAGCTAAAAGGATTATTGAGCATTTGGATTTTAAGCTACATTTAGTTTAACTGTTGCTGCTGGTTGGCTATTTTAAACAATTAGAGCAAAAATGTACGTTACTTTAACATTAATAAATATATTTGTTATATGCTTATAGGTTTTCATAATGTTTCTGTTCTTGAGTTGCTGCCTTTTGATTTATTGCATAGCGAACTTTCAGTTTTGTCTATTTTCGGGTTGGATTTCGTGGAGTCCAAAAGGTAATGAAAATAAAAACTATTTCTCAATCCGTATTCTTCCATTCTCGTTACTTAATGTTAAAAATTTTGTATGCCAAAATATATACTTCTTTGTTGTTTTGTTAGTTTCAGTATCTAGTTTACATTTTCATATAACTGTAGTTCAACATTTAACATTTAGTTGTTGCGGTCTGCAAATCTACATAATTAAATAGTTTGTTTTGATTTCATTTGTTTGTATTTGCTTTTAGTCTGCTAATGTTATATATGAGGAATAAAACACCTTACATTTGATTAGTAATATTGTTGATCAGTTTTGTGTGTTGTCTCGGGCTCTCCGCTCACCACAATTATCTTCTCCTTTGCCTCCTCTAAACATTATTATTAATCACAGATGCTCTACGCACAAATCAAATTAAATTCAATGCAATTATTATCATCATTTAACAATTTGTTACAAGCTCCGATTTTGTCCATGTCTGTAGCTCTAAATGGGGCGACAAGTTGGGATCGAGATATATTGGACCTGACTATCCCTAGACAAGTGTTAAGTTAATTGTGTGGAGAGTGGTTAATTCTATTTAGTTTTATAAGATAATATGAAAGCTTTTCTAGAAAAAGTGTTGTATCACATATAGAGGAAGTGTTAAATATGTATTCATTTGTTTACCATTGGGTTCTGCAAACTGTTTGGTTTCTTCGAGTCAACAGTTCGTAACAAAGTTTTGAATTCTTAAATATTACAGGATATATATGTAAAGGAGTAAAATTAAACAGCTTAGCCTCAAAAAAATGCTTTAAAGTAAATACATCATCATTAAGAGCAGTCGGTAACCATTTTTGAATTTGACCAACTTTATGGGTAATCCAAATCAAATATAGAACCGATTTGTCTGCTTTCGATTTCGAAGAAGAGCACCAATTAAGTTACGCTTAAACAATAATAATAAAAAAAGTTCATGCTGGAGGGGAAAACACATAGTTGTAGCAATAAATATATAAGAGAAAAAATATAACAGCTAAAAATACGTTATAAATACTTAGCATAACTTAGAGTTTCGTGTGCCTGTTTTTGTTTAGTTTGTTTCTTGGGACATTTTTTCTGTGTGTGTTTCACTTCTTATATTTGTTTTTAAAACGCTAGGCGTTCTATAACGACTTCAATTTTTTTTTTCGTTTCGTCACGCGCTTACAAACTACATAAATACACACATTGAACATCAAAAATATGATAGCATATATATACTATATGCACGGTTACTGGGGTGGCTCGATTTTTTACGGCTACAAATTTTACGAAAATTATAATTTAAAATTAGAAGTAGTTTTCTTTTCAAATTTCTGAAAAATGGTGTTGAATTTAAATTTTACTTAAATGAATCTCATCAAAATATTTTAAATGATTTTACTTAAGAACAAAAATCGAACCACCTAATGTTGCACAATAAAAAATGTTCCAATACTTAATACACAACAATGAGAATTACTCGCGACGCGTTCTCTTCGGGCGTGAGGCGGCTATTGAATCCCCTCCCGGCGACGATGATGCCAAAGATGCTCCTCCGATTCCGCCCGATCCACTGCCTCCTCCACCACCGCCGACTGCACTTAGGACACTGTCTGCGGAACTCGACGAAATTGCCGTGATGGTGGCGGAAATTGTGGCCGATTGTTGCTTCTCCACCCCGCGAACCTTTCGGGAGGCCACCGACTGGGCGGTGACTTGCAGGGAAATCGCATGTGTGTTGAGCTTCTCGGCCAGCAGGAGATCCTTCAGGCCCTTCATCTTTTGGCTGTACAAAGTGATCACTGGCCTCTTGAGCATTATCTCGAAGGGATCGTAGTCGTCGCTGGTCTCCTCTTTTTTAGCTTCTTTGTGCTGTGGTTTTCCCTGTTGGGAACTTGCTTGATTTTGGGATTGCGCTTGCGCTTGGGCGGCACTGTTAGCCTCACTAGAAACAACTGGCAACTGGACAGAAGTTCCACTGCCATTGCTTGCGGCAGTAGTTGTGGTCGATGGAGCCTCCTTTTTGTCTAAACTATGGTTGTTGTTGTTATTGCTGTTGCTATTATTGTTGTTATTGTGGAGCGCTGTAATATCGGATTCGCCGGCGCCACCAGGAGCTTGTTGCTTCTGATCGGCAAACGGTTGACCGCCGCCCTGTAGCAGGAAATCCGGATTGAGAATCTTCTCGCCGCAGGCAGCTGTTAAGTCAGCCAAAGTAGTCGGCATCTCCGAATGTTTTGTTTTCTGGTAAAAAAAGAGGAAAGGAAAATTAAATTAAATTTAATAAAAAATAAATATTTGTTATTTTATTTATTTTGGTTTTATTTTATTTTTATTCTGTTTATTTATTTTATTATTGTTTACTTTTTTTATTATTTATTTTTCCATTATTTATTTTTTTATTATCCATTTGTTATATTAATATTTTTGTTAATACACATGGTATCCAAAATTCAAAACACTGATAGAACACACAATCTGCGTATGTTGTGATCCTACTTTCAACTATCTGTAAAAGTTCTATAAAATATAACTTAAACTCAAAACTATCTGCAACCCAAAATAACATCTTCCAAAACAAAGAATAGGTAAGAAAGTGTTTTACTCAGGGAACGAAAATAACTGTTATTGTAAATTTTTCATACAAAAAAATCACGCACTTAGAAGGGTCCTAAAAATTTTTTAAATACACCACAATTTTTATTAGCCATTGTAGTTTACAAATCCGTAATGATTTTTATTTTTTGATTTTTATAATAAAACTCAAAAAATAACTGTTATTTTTTGATTTTTATGAATAACAGTTATTCCCTTGACATTTTTGAAAAAATGAAATAATTAAAAAAAACATAATACCCGTGCTTTTTATAACTTACTAAAAATTTGTTAAAAAAGGCAACCGCGCATATTTTATACCTATATTTTTTTAAAATTTTGTTTACCCACAAAATCGCCATAAATCAATTTTGAGTTTTATTTTGATCACGACGAATAACTGTTATTTGTCAACTTTTATTATAAAACTCAAAAAATAACAGTTATTCTTTGAGTTTTACTTTACAAATCAGAGAATAACTGTTAAAGTGTGATTTTTAAAATAAAACTTATAACAGTTACGTTCCCTGGTTTTACTTAATTTATATCTCCTTTTAAAAAATGTCAACGAATGTATGATAGAGTCTTTATTATAGATCAACTTACTGATATACGCTGTTTCAACAGAAGAGTAACCCCTGAAAGTACAGCATACCCAGTGCCCTACAGATTCAATGCATCTGTGATAATCGATTATAACCGGAACAATGGCACCTGTGGGAAAAAAACTCAATACACTTTCGACTCCAAAGGCGAAAAATGTTCTAGTTCAGAAATGCGAAACGGTCTCCATAAGAGCGCTGCTGGTGTTCTTGAACGACACCTTGGATTGCGATTTGCGAAGCATGGACGAGTTAAAAACTGGAGCAGTGTACTGCCAAATAATGCACAGACTCTTCCCCACGACTATCCAAATTCAGAAAGTCAAGTTTTATACGAACTACAAGAGCGACTTTGAGATCAATTTCCGACTGCTGCACAACTGCATGACCAAACTGAATATAAAGCGCTATATGCCGGTAGAAGAATTAATTGTGGGCCATAATCACGTGGACTTTTGCAACTGGTTATACAAGTTCTATAGGTTCAACGACGATGGGAAGGAATACGATGCGAGAAAGGTGAGAAAAGATATGCCTATTGGCCTGAGCAAAACTCCAGAGCTGGCTAGTTTTGCAACTGGAAGCCATAATGCCATGTACAAATGCCAATCGATGATCTTTAACTACGCAAAAGAAACGTCCAGATTCCAAAGGAGTGGAAGTCTGGACGGTCGAAGCTGTAGACCGACCAAATCTAAAAAACCTGAGCCCGAAAAGCAAACCAAACCGCTGCTATTAAAGAAAGAACAACCACCTAAGGACTGTGAATTCCTTGCCGATTGTAGAAAAGTTTCTCTACCCCCGGAAACCGAGGATGAGAGGGAGGAACTGAGCGCAGAGCAATCTCAGCTGCAAAAGCTGTTCATGGAAAGGCTCAATGCGAAGAAGAAAGGTCTCTCCGCCGAAACATACACAATCAAAACTTCAAAGAACTCGACGAACTATTCAAAACCCAAGGAATTTACCTCTTTCAAAGCTCTTAGCCAAGAGTTCAAACAGGCCACAAAGGATCTACAAAACAGGAATGAGATTATTAGCCATTTAAATTACGAAATTAGTCGCTTAACCACAAAGCAGGAAATGCTTGCTAAAAAGGTGTGGACTGTGGAGCAAATACTGACCAAATACGGCAATAATCCAGCGTACGCTGTTCAGGAACTAAAGGAGATCATCTTCAATAATTCGCAAATGGCAGCAGTTAGTCCGCGTACTAAACCTGAATATTTAATGCCTAGAAAGGACGATGGAACCGCATGTAGCAAATATGTGGCCAACAAGCAGAAGCCCGTCAAGAACTCAATGCCTACACGTTATTGCAGCGAATTCAGGACATGTCTTGAAATTTCACCCAAGAAAGAGGGTAAGAAAAAAAAGGCAAAGGAACCTAATTTCGGTGAATTTGTATGTGATAGGTGCCATTTGAGGGATGATCATCGCCGACTTGATCACGAAGTGGACTAATGTAGACATCATAGGCGCTTTTCTAGCGATCGTTATGCAGACCAAAGGTCCAACCAAAGGTCCACCCTTCATACTCGTGTAGTGCCCCGAGACGAAGATTTCACTAGTTCCAGGAAAGAAGGGTCAAATGTTACCAGGTTGCTGAATCAGAAAGATTTATCAATAGGGAAGAAATAACTTATTTTCAAATGAATCGGACAAATTTCATGGATTGCAAGCAGGAATTCCTCGTTAACAATACCTTTTTTTTGATTTCCCCTGATGCATTTAATCTTTAAAAAATGTAAGACGGTTCAAAAAAGTATAAAAAACGGGACCAATTTTTAAAACAAGATAAAAAATAAGTTGCTCAAAATTTCTGTTCCTAATTTTACAATTTCATTATTTTAAACAAATAATAATTTTTAAAACAAGTTAAAAAAAAAGTTCCTCAAAATTTCTGTTCCTAATTTTACAATTCCATTATTTTAAACAAATTTAATAATAAAATTTATGGATCAACACGCCTGCTTACCTCTTCCTTTTTCACCAACGTATTGTTGTTTCCCTCCAAAGCCTCTGATCCTGTAGCTTCCTTAGACTCCTTAGCTTCCTTGGCCTCCTGTTCTGCCCTCGCCAGCTCCGCCCTCGCCTGTTCCGCCTCCAGATCCTCGGGCAGCTTGATAACCACCTGGGACCTGATGTCATAATCAAACTTGGTGATGTTATTGACCAGCGGTTTGGCCCAACCGATGTGCAAAATGGGCGTCAAGCTGTCCTCCTCCCACTGGCAGATGCCGTCGTAGAATCGCAGCAGATTTGCAAACACCTCCGCGTCCCGTAGGATACTTCGCGCCGAGTGACCCGAACTCTCCGTCTTCATCACATAGGGTATCAGCTCGTTGGCAATGTCCAGCAGCTCCTTGTAGATCTCCTCGTCGTCGCGACACTGGTACGTGTACAAACGGATAACGTCCGCCGCATTTGCCCAGGCGGCAAAGGCGTCGCGGTACTTGAGCAATCGATTGTAGTAGTTTCCCTGGTAGGTGTACGGATATACATGATGGTTCCTGTAGTACGTTCTCGCCGACTCTATGGCTTCGCGATACAATTGCTCGCAACCAATGCTCGGATGCGTCCGATGGATCTCCTCCAGCTCACCAAGAGTGCCCAGGGCCATCGGGTAGCGTTTGAGGTGGCCCAGATCGTAGAGCAGCCACAGCAGCTGTTGCTGCAGCTCTGCCACCTCCACGCAGTCACTGTTCGAGGTTAAGGAGATATTTAAGGCGGCACAGATGGCCGCCACCTCCATGCCACGCTCACAAACCACCGCCAGTCCTCCTAAAATAAAGCAATATATTATGAAAATGAAATAATATAAATTACATCGGATTTTAGGTAAAATCGTTTTTTTTAAATACGATTTAAAGCCACATTTGAATAGTTACAAATTTTATTTATTAAGTATAATTAGATTTAAAACAAACTTAATTTAGGTTTTTGTAAAAAAAATTTAACCAATCAAATGTGGCTTTAAATCATATTTAAAAAATACGATTTCACCTAAAATCCGCTGTCTAGATATAATAAATAAAAGCTTACCCAGGTAAAGCCACGATCCGGATTCGATGCCAGGGCGAATGTCCTGTCCCCGCTTATCCTCGCTGCCCTTTCCGTGCCATGTCACCTCGATAGTCTCCACGCGCTTCTGGCCAAATACCACCCACGCATGGTCCTCGGAGATAACTAGGCGCACGTCCTTGTAGCCAAGCAACTGGCATCCCGCCACCACTGCCAGGGCCACGCCGAAGCAATCCAACTTGTTGCCGGACAGGTAGCTGTAGAGGTTCTGCAGATGCGCGCGATCCTTATAGCTGCTGCGAATCAACGAGTTCCAGATCACGTCCGACACCTTCTTGATCACCTCTCGCGTGGCCTGACGATGGGGCTTCGGCTTCTCGACCACCGACAGGATCGTCTGGAACTTTTTATACAGCCCGGCGATCAGTTCGTGGGTCACCACCGGAAAGGGAACGCTGTTGCCCATGATTATGTCGTTTCCTGTATTCGGGAAAATGAGAAACATTAATACTTTGTAATCTTGAATTGAAGATCTATAGATTGAATTTTTAATACAATGAAAAATGAGTATGAGAGGGACTAAAATATAAAATTCTTAAATTTTTTGGTATTATATTAAATTTTAAAAATTCTATTTATTAAATTAAAAAATTCTTTGTTATTTTCCTAAAATTGTTAATACGGTTAAAAATTTTAATAAAATTATAAATTGGTTTTTAAGATAATTTTAACAGATTTTAAACTGTTTCCAAATTTAACAACTGCTTTTTTCGCTTATTACGAGGACCAGTTAACTAATTAAAAAGTATATGTATGTAATTTATTTTTAAGTTTTAATTAACCACCAATTAAGAACTCTAAGAACGCAAACAGCCCTTCACGACCATTAACCAAAACAAGGACCAGCAACCAATTTCCAATTTGTCTGCAATCGCTTCCGTTTTAACTGGTTTCCCTTTGCTCAATGGTTAACGGTGAACGCGAGCAGTAAAGGACGATTGTGACTGATGAACGGGGGTCCAGTCTCCATACACACCTGTCGCCGCTTGACTGATGTCACCTGCTGCGGCAGCGGCGGCAGCAGCTTGAGCTGCCTGCGCAGCAGCCTCTCCGGTCGTCAAAGACAGCTCAATGTAGCCGACCACAATGGAGAGCAGGGTGAGATCGGGCTCGATTCCGGAGGTTAAAGCGCGACGGAACAGATTGACCACATCGGCCGTGGACTTCAGGGGGAACAGGCTGGCATCGATGACCCCATTGAGCGCCATGGGACTCGCACTGGCGCTTCTGGTAACCGTGGACATAATTGCGGTAGAGGGTGATTTTAATTGCCGAAATAATATGGAGGAACTTAAGTCCTCTGACTGCAAAGATAAAATCGAAGGCATTAATAAAAAACGTTCTATATAACAGGAAAGTTTGTAATAAAATTAAATAAAAATTTTTCGAAAAAACTTTTTTTTAGGTTACGTTATTTTTAAATAAATAAATAAATAAATTTTTAAATTAATATAAATCACGATGATTTATAATTAAATTTAATATGCCATTATTTTCAAGACTTTTAATTCTTTCTTTCTTCAACATAATACCTATTAGATTATAATCTGAAATATATTTTTCCGGTCTGAAATCTCAAATTAACTAAAATTAAAAATCGTATGAAGTTTTACAATTTGTGTTTGATTTTTGGTCAAGTTTTTCAGATGTTATTTGTTAAAAATAGGTAAATTAAAATTATTTAAATTTTACAAACTTGGAAAATAGTGTAAGCTCACCAAATCCGTTTTCCAAATCGATTTTCTTTGTGTTATGCTTTTGTATCGCCGCTTTCTTTGTAAATCCAAAATATCTCAAAAGAATGTGATATTAGCCCATGAGCTTTTCTTTATTTTATACCTGTCGGGAAAATGGAAAATGTGTTTAAGAAAAACTCAAGCAAAACGCTGAAGATGATAAGCATACCAAATGACAGGATATCCTCCTATTTTCGGGGACCGTTTTGGAAGAACCTTATTATCCTGTGGAGGACCTGGGACTTTCGCCTGGATGGGCCCGATGCAAAATGCTAAAGTTTTGTTGCTGCTGTTTGTACAGCCAGCCACTTTGTGGCTGCAACATTGGCAACAAGTTGACAAACAACTTTTTGGTCGTTGTCGCACCTTTTCGCCTCGGCCCTTTTTCCGCTTATTTATTTTCTCCTTTTCTTCGCTTTGTACTTTTAAGAGCAGGATTTTTGTTGCTGCTTCACTTGCACTTCTCATTTGCAGCAACAACAACAAGGCGCACAACAACAACAACTAAACAACTGGTTTTCTGCATGGATATGGGGTATGTGTTTGTGTGCGTGTCCGTGTGCAGCATGCATGTGCATGTGGTGCACTGGAAAATATGTATATATCCTGTGGCCCTGCGTCCTTCGTCCGCTTCCACGTCATCAATTAATCGGCTCACGGGGACAGGTGAATTTCTCGCACCTTTCTTTCACTCGCCTTGCCTTTGTTGTTGTTGCCGTTGCTGCTTCACGATTTGCGTTTTGTTTTTGTTTTTTTAGTCAACCCGCCACCCCCCTTCCGTTCACTTATTTTCCACTTGACACGCAGTTGTTGCCGTTGGCCGCCCGAGTCCCCCGATTAGCTCATCGCACTTTATTACATTTGACGCGAGCATTATCATTATCTGTGCCGCACTTTGGGCACTAATTGGGCGGATTTATTGCGCGGCAGACCAGGTGAAAACCAGGTGAAATTCCGACGAAATATTGCGTTGTGTTTACCTCGGGGACTAGTGTTGCAAAGCGTCGTAATGTGTGGTGCACAGCTATCAGTTTGGTATTTTTTGGTATTTTCGTGGAAACTGTGGAAATAATAAACGCGAATTAAATTACAGCGGGGTTTCCCGTTTACATGCATTCATCGAGTATCAGAAAGCAAAAATAATAAATATTTTTAATTTTTTCAGTTTATTTCTAATTTTGAGTCATCCAATCTAAGAATTTTATAAAAAAGGAGTTTGTTAATTTTCTGGTATTTTACTTTATTTATTAATTATTAATTTAGAGGTATAAAATTAAATCATTTAAATTATACATTATCATGATTGTTCTTTAACGCTTCTAGCATTTCTTTTCTAGATCTCGAATTTCTTTTAACTATTTTGTTTTTAATATTTACTATAGCCTTTCGAATCACTTTTTTGGCATCGGGCTCGTTTGGATGGATAATTTTTGTCGCAGCTAAAAATTATTTATCAGTCCAAATTAATAAATTAGAATTATTAAAAAACGAGGTACCTTCCAAGACGCCAAAAAAACACCTGTAGGAATCGAGTGCCAGTTTACCAGACGATCCGTTTAAATTATATTTGGTTAGGAGGTCCTCATCCAGAACATACTGTAAATTTCTTGACATTGGACCATTGGTCAGGAGGACTTTAACCCTATTCACCTGTGAGGAAAAATAATAATTATCCTTATTAAAAAAATACATTTAAAAACGTACATAATAGTCCATAAGATTTGGATGAAACTGTTTCTCAAACTGGTCCAATTCCTCTTGAGATCGAATGGGAAAACTCATTACCTTGGCCGCATCCTTCTTTTTCAATGTCGGATTGTGCGTTTTTCGACGGTTACAGTCGGCAAGCTCTTTAAACTCCATAGAAAGCTTATTAAGCTTAACTCTGAGAACTTCGTTTTCTACAAAAAAGTTAACAATTCAAATTAAATTAAATGTTTGCCTAAACAAAATAGATAACAGTGTTTACCTTGCAATATGTCAATTATTTGGTTTTCGGCTGATTCTGAAACAAAAGTACTTCAGTAAAGTGGTTCACTTTGTAAAACGAGTGAATTTACTCAATATAGATGTGGCTCTACCATAATGTGTTCTATATTTTTTTTTCTTAATGCTTGCAATTTGGCAGAACTCTTCTTCGGATACACTGTCATCAATTGGCTCGTTCATCACTGGAAGTTCATCTTGAAATTCCTCTTCCTCCTGAATATTATCATCCATTTCTTCTCGCTTTATTTGGCAGTTAAACTCTGGGACTTCCTCGCCACAAATGGAGCCGGTGATTTGAAAGACTGGAATTATAAATTCCTCTTCATTTAGTATTTGCTCCTTGAACTGCAAATAGATCGGTTGGTTCCTCTCATATCTCTGTTTAATCTGAAATGCGATTTGAGCATCCTGAAGGCAAGGCGGGCAAATGGTTTCTGAAAAGGAATCTCCTCTAGAAACATCAAATCCGGTAAACTGGGATATCATATCAGCAATTAGAATGCCCAATTCTATCGTGCCGTCAAATATATTGACCATGTCTCCGGACTTTTCCAGACAAATTCGGCAGATTTCTTTCATTGTCCTGAAATAAAATAATCATAGTTAGAGGATCGTATCATATAGTTAGAGGATAAAGCATAGAATACCACGAACTTATGTAGAAGCACTTAGTCAGCCGCTTTTGCAGCCACCCCTCCAGTTGTTATGCTCTTGTCATTTGATGTGTCACTCGTGACAAATGGTCTTCATACATGAACTGAACTAAAGGAGCGGAGAACTTCGAGTACTTATAATATGTAATTAAGTTACCCTTTCCACTTTCGATTTTGATTTTATAGAACCACTTTGTTTATATTTTCTTGTTTTGTTTATGTTTTTATAAGCAAATATAAAAATACAGTAAGTGCGAGCCAAAACAGTAAGCTGTATTCGCTGCACCAGGAAATACCAAAATATTCTTCTGACTATGTTGACCTAGGCGACGTTTACACTATGTTGCGTCTTTGCATCATAAGTGGGAAACGGTTTTTCCATACCAAATATATTACACTAGCTTCTACAGAGAAGAATTTTTCCCGAAATCATTTTAAAAAATATTTTATTAATTATTATTTGGCTTTCACAGGGACTCGATTAGGTTTCGACCAATTAGCTGTATTTGTAAAAGTGTATATTTTTATAAAACATATAAATTCCACGTTCCTAGGACTATAAATAAATCCATTCATCTAGTCAAAAGTTCAACAGGATCGAACATCCTGTACATTCACAGAATTTACATAGAAATTCAATAAGAAATCCATTCCCAAAGAAAACCATCTATTTCGATTTGTATTTAACGATGTTCTCTTTATTTTGCAGATATAAATAAATATATTGGTAATTAAAACTAATAACTTTTACAATCTGTTCTGTATTCCAAATTTTTGTATAATTTACGTTTTTGGGCACGCACTCGATTAGCTTGTAATGCCAACTCCTCAGTTGAAATGCTATTAAACACAAATCCTCGAAAAACGCGTACAACTCCAATAAACATATGTTACTTCTTGATCTTAATCGATATTCTTAATCCATGATATTTTCGTTCTTTAAATTAAAACCGTTCAAGTCAAAATAACAAAAGTTGGTATCTTCAATTTTACACTTCTGAGTTGAGAATCCTGTTAATAGACTATAACTGCGAGCTAAGCTGTGTTCGCAAGTGTTTGGATAACATGTGTTACATTGTATTACTGGATCTTGGTTGCTGTTTCTCATTAATGAATCTATTAATACGCATTTTTTCACACATTTGTTCAGTGCTCTCTTAAGTTCTTGTGTCTCGAGTTGTGGGCGCTCTGTTTTGAAGCTATGCTCGAAGCTTTCGCATAGCCAAACGAGCCCCGACCCAGGATAGGACTAGAAAAATAATCGTTTCTCGCTATAGTTTATGTATTTTCGTTTGGCAGCGCGCTAAGCACCGAAATAAGAATTAAGTTAAAGCAATAGCATTTTGAGTTATGATCTTTGTGATACAGAGTATTGGGAGGGGCCTACGGAGCACGTCTCTTGTGTGGAAAGCAAAAAACGCAAACTATATACGCGTGTAAAAAAATATATATATGTACCTCTTTACTTTACCACATTCGAGTTACATTTCTCTCTTTTTTTTGTTCTTCCTATATACAACTTTGCACCTGCTTTGACCCTATACACAAGGAAATCATAAAAATAAATGTATACATGGTTTCGTTTTCGTTTACGTGGTATTATAAACACAGGAAAAATAAATACAAAATTGGCAAAATGTAGTTTAAACTAAAAATAGCTGCTTTGGAACATTGGTGTTGTACGAACTGGCCATCGTTTGGTTCTTAAATTGCCGCCGTCAGTTGAAGCAAAAATAATAATAATATGCGAAGTACTTGATTAATAACTACTAAATTTAAACATTTCTCTAGATGTATTTACAAATCACAGCTACAAACACTAAAACCTTCTTCCAGTGTTGCTTAAGGTGGCGCTGACAGGCATTATGCGGGGGCATTAAACAAAAAAAACTGAACTGAAACTGAACGTTCCCACGATTACATTGCGTTTCGTTAATCAACTCGTTCCCGCGTTGTGCTTAAAAAAATGTTTTTAACTCTCTTCATACCTTTAAAAGTAAACTATAGTCCAGCAAGCGTAAGAATAAGGTTGTGAATGATTAGCTATTTTAGTTTACAGCCAACCGCCCTTGCGGCCAAAAAGCAAGGAACTAACTGAACCCACAAACGCCTGTGTGATGCTCTGCGGTGCCGCCTCTTCCTCCTCCGCTGCCTTCGCCTCGTGCCGCTTGGAGCTCAGCTGCTTGCTGCTGCCGCTGTCGGCTACCTTTCCCAGATCGGGACGCACCCGTCCGCCGCCGCCTCCTCCGCCGCCACTGCCAGCAATTGTGCCCAGGTCGGGTCGCTGGCTGGCCATGCCGTTCTTCAGTTGCCTGCGCGACTTCTGGCGCTGCATCTGCTTCAGCCGCGTTTCGCTTGCCGTGCCATTGGAAGTCGTCGATCCAGAAGTTGGCTGACTTTGTTGTGCTGCTGCTGCTGCTGCTGCTGTTGTTGTGGGTGTCGTGCTCTTTGATGGCTTATTGATCTTCATCACCAGACCCTGGTCGTCGCTGTCATCGCTGTTGTAAGCGCTGGTGCTGCTGCTCGTCGATATGGCGATGCCTGCTGCCGCTGAAGTTGATGCCCCGGCGGACGTGGGCGTGGGCGACTTCAATCCGCGATGCAGGACTCCCTTAATTTGAGCCCGATCAAAGTGTATGTCGTCCACAATGCTGTTGCTGCTGGTGTGCAGACTCTGCAGGCTGCCACTGCTCAGCGGCGAACTGCTGCGATTGGCAATTCCCGAGCCAAGGCCTCTCTGTGCGCTTATAATATTCTCCAGTCCAATGCTCTCCACCTTCTCGATCAGGTTCAGCGATCGCAGTGCCCGTCTCTCCAGGTGCGACAGCATGATCTTCTGCTGCTGCTGCTTGCTGAGGCTGCTGCGTTGCTTCTGCTGCTGCTGCTGGTGCTGATCGCCGACGATCTTGCGGCGGATCAGATCCGCACCCGACGAGAGCAGGCCAAAGAGCGGCTCGGGCGACTGGGCGCGTGGAGGCGATCCCTCTGGGCTGTTGCACGGCGTCACCGTGGGCGAGAAGTTGGGACCGGCGGGCGTGTTGAGGGCACTGGGCGTCACCGCCTTGATGCCCCTCTCATTCAGCATCCCAGCTAGTCCGAGGTTCACCGAGAATGTGGAGCAGGAGTTCTTGCGCGACAGTCCAGCGCGGGGCGTGGCGGGACAACTAAATGGGGGGGAAAACAAGGTACTATTAGTAATTATTCGCAATAAAACTTAACAAGAAATAGTTTTAAAACATTTTAGAGAAAAAAATAAAAATAAATGACGTTAAATTCGTAGGTTTTTAAATGTAAAAGAGGGTCAAACAAATATTTTAACGCATCTGATAAGTTTGGTAAATTAATTGTTATAAATACAATACAATACAAATGATAAAATCAGAAAGTCTTTTAAAGATAACTGAATACATTTTTAAAATATGAAGGTATTTTTAATAAAAAGCCCTTAATTGTTACTATAATTTTTTCTTAGTTGAGGAAAATAAAAATGTATTTACAAAAATATTTTAGCGCCTCTGATAATGCGGTTATTCCACTACATTGTTTGGCTCATTCATTAGAGCATTCATTGGAGGCTTAGAAAGGGACAAATATATATGCTATTTTTGGGATTTGTTTGGATAAGATGGCATGGTCACTTAAAATTTAGACGTTAAATTTAAACTTTATAATTCAAATAACTTTGACTGGTTAAATCATTAAGGTTGAAGGCTGTAAAATTAATAGTGTGTGTTGCCAAAAAATCAGACACTTTTACCAAGTTTTTAAATTGTTTTGGGCTGTTTAAAGTACATCTGTAATTGTTTTTAATTATATCATACCCGGCATTAATTTTTAGGAAGGCAATTTTATATAAATTTATAGACGCAGTTATGTCTTTATATAGAAATATGCGAGTTATTTTTAGTTGGCAACGGAGTAATTAGGCCACTAAAATAATTTTTGTATTGTTCATATTTGTTTATAGCACCTTATTAGACGCAAAAGGTTTGGCCATTCAACCAAAAAAAATCAAATCAATTTTTATTATTGATCCCATTTCACAGTAGCTCTAATAAATGAGCAAAATTGTACTTTTTAGATTCAATTTTGCTCATTGCTCATCGGTTCAGGTAGTACCGTATTGAGTCATTTTACAATACTAAAAAAAAAATACCAAAAGTGCCCATCGGTTTTTACAATTTGCTCATTGATTGCTTATTGCAGCCGACATATATCTGTCTTGCTCGCACCTACGTAAAATTGTATATGCTGAGAAAAAATTGCACTAATGAATGACCCGAACAATGTAGTGGAATAACCGCATAAACGTGGTAAATGTATAGTTATAAATACAAAATAAAATAACGACATTAAAATCACACAAATGATAAAATCAGTAAGTCTTTTAAGGATAACTAAATGCATTTTTAAAATTTGGAGATATTATAATAAAAGTCCCTCAAATGTTACTATAATTTTTTCTTAGTTGAGGATAATAAAAATGTATTTACAATCCATTAATTATATTATTATATTTATTTGGTAAATGATAATTTAGAAAATAATTACCTGGGTTGCCGTGATGTCGACGTGGATGCCATGCGGGAGGACATTTGCGACTGCGACAGGAACGACAGATCGTTAACGAATCCATCATCCGGATGCATGACCATGCTGTTCGTATAGGTGAAAGTGCAGCCCGGTGCCTCGAACTGTTTGCCTGGCAGATCATCGCTTACATCCTCTTCGACGTCCGACAGCGTGTAGATCTGCATGCCCAGGTCGTCGAGCCCTCGTCCACCGCGAATCGTAACCCCAGGACGCTCGTCTAGCAGCCCACTAAGTGTGGGCGTGGCCAGCCGCGACCAATGGTGCAATGTCTGCGAGCCCTCCATGGGCTTGATGATTTGCAGCTTCTCCGGCAGGCGCCATTGGTGCGTCATCGAGGCGGACATGTGATTCGTTGAGCCCGACATTCCAGAGGAGCCGGTGGACATGATGCTGTCCGGCGTGCGCACGCCCAGCGGGAGGTTCGAGTTGCGGTCGTTGTTGCCATGAGCTCCATGATGAGTCGTTGGCTCATCGTAGTTATAGGTTCCAGCCGGCGCATAAGAAAGCATGGCACGGCGGGCCAAAACCTCAGCCGGCGTCAGCCTCTTGAGAGCCGCCTCCAGCTCCTTGGCGCCGGGCGCTCCTGGCACACCAGAGGGCTGGGCTGGATAACCGTCATCGGACTGGGAGTTGAGACTCTCGCTGGACAGAGTTTTAACGCCCAGCGATTGACTGCTACCGCCGCGATAGTAAGAGCCCGCTGGATACGCCATCGAAGCCATGCGCGGCCCCGAGGTGCTGCTCATCGACATGGCGCCCAGTTGGGTCATCGACACGTTGCCGCTGTCCATGTAGTTGCCGCTCTTGCCGGCACATCGCACAGTGTCGAACACGCGCTTGTAGGGCGGCGGAACATTGCCAGCACCGGCATAGATACTGCCACCCATGGTGGAGGAACTCATGCCGCCCGAGGGCATGTGCATCATCATGCGGTTAATACGGTCGGCAGATCGTTGACTATCGCCCGATATGCCAGAGTCCAGGCTGTTCTCCGAGTACAGCGACGATTCCATCAGCTCGCAATGCAGCGAATCCGGCTGGAAGAGACCACCGCCAATGCCGGCTCCACTGGTGCCCAGGCCACCGAGGAAGGAGCTCCGCGCCATCGGTTGCGACCGCTTGCGCTGCTGCTTCAGCTGATCCTGGGCCGAGTGCAGCAGAGCGAGCACCTCTTCGTAGCGCTGCTTGAACTCCACCAGCTCCAGGGCCAAGGCATTCTGGTTCTCCTTGGTCACGTGCAGCAGGGACAGATGCTCGTCGTTGTCCTGCGTCAGCTGGTGCAGCCGCATCTCCGCCTCCGCCAGGCGAGCTGTCAGACTCACAATCTGCTCGTGCTGCAGTCGATTCTCCTCCCGTTGCCGCTCCAACTCCAGACTGAGGTTGTCGTACTGGGAATTCGCATCGTTCAACTGGGCACTGATATCGGCCATCAGCTGGCGCTCGTGCTCCTCCACCTCGTCCGTCTGGTGGGCCAGTTGGGTAGCCTCGCACTTCAGCGACTTGTTCTCGTCGATCAGTGTGTTCACCTTGCGCTGCAGCAGGTCCAGGGTAATGGACTTTGACATGGTGGGGGTGTCTGTGGAAATTGAAAATAAAAATAATTAATATTAATGTGATTTGTGGTTTTTTTAAATTATTGTAATCCAAAAAACACCTGTTATAGAAGTTGTACCTACTTAAAAAGTTTTTAATAGTTTTTCTACACCTTTTTAAAAATGGTCTCGCTTCGATTTTTTGATATTTTTTATCTGTAGGTACTTTTTAGGTAATAATTTGAATTCTATACCTATTCAAAAATGGTCTCGCTTCGATTTTTTGGTATTTTTTTATCTGTAGGTACAACTTTTTAGGCAATACATATCTTAAATATTTAAAAAACTACAAGTGTTTTTTTTATGAGTATTATTCTGTTTTTGCCCTTATAGCATTAATGATAATCATCTTAAATGTTTAAAAAATTTTGAGAACTCACCAGTATCTGTGCCATCGTCTGCATCGTTGGTCAGCACCGAGATTAGCTCGTTCTTCTTGTGCAGCTCGTGGACCAGCTGGGCACGATCATCGTTGGAGGTCTTGAGATCGGCCTCCAGATCGGCAACCCGGGCCTCGAGGGCATTGTTCTGGGTGAGCAGCTCCTTTCCGATCTGCACAGTCAGCTCCAGGTCTTTCTCCTTCTCCTCCAACAGTCGCGTCACGGCCTCAATATCATCGTACGCCCGAGTCATCTGGCTAACGCGGTTGCCGCATAGAACTATAAAATATATAATGAAAAAACAATAATGTAAGCTTTAACGCCGCTTAATTGATGTAATAAATATGGGAAGTTTTATGTAATTTGATAAATTTTCGTAGTAAGTTGTTTTGCAGGCCTGTTTGACAGTGTTTTAAAAGGAGAATGGCTTCAGAACTTTTAATGTTAAATTAATACATTGTTTAGGTTCAAGGAATGGAAGAAATCAACAGAAAGAGTTCAACACCACTGGTTCCTAACGATTCTGTATAATCCTAAAAATTCATCAAGTAATATAGATTTTGTAATCTAACATTTTCTAAATTTACTAATATAACATAACGCTTTTAAAATTGGTAAAGTTTATGGGGGTTTGAAAATATGTTTTAAAACTTAAAAACAGGAAAAGTCTTTGAAAAAAAAAACCTTTTTTAAAACTATCTTAAGTGAACATCTAAATAATCTGGTTAGTTAGTTAAGCCCTCTGGATTTCACTGTAGGACAGTGTTAGAAAATGTTCCAAAGGCTCCAACGACTGGATTCATCGATTTAACAGTTAACACTAAACCAAGCACCTTCCATTAGCAGCTGCTCGTTCTGCTCTCCCGTTATCTCAGCTGCAGTTGCGTTCGCCGCTGCAATGTTCCCCATGCTGTTGCTGCTCCCCAAAGAGAGTTCATCATCGTACTCAAGTTCATCGTCCGTGATGAAAAAGTCTTGGTGCAATTCCGACCAATTTTGGCATGCCTCAAAGGCCAAGTCTTCCAAGTTTGTGGTAATCGTTCTCGTTGTTGTTGTCGTTGTTGCAGCTGAAGAAGAAGAAACCGCTGCAGCTTCCAATGCATTATTCCTGTTGCCGTCTCGCTCTGATGCACTGGCTAAAAATCGATGATGGACCCCGCTGCCGGCAGCAGTCTCCCTCTCTCTCTCTCGCTCTCTCACTGGCTCCATCTCCTTTTCCGTTTCCCCATTGTTTACGTGCGTCATTTTGTCTTTGTTGTTTTCTCTTCCTTCCTTTTTTCTATGGCAAATTCTTTTCTTAGTCACTCGGCATTCTTGAATTACATTTAAATTTAAATCGCTTTGGCTTGAGCAATTTCCTCTTCGATTTGTATTATGTAATTTTTAAAGCATTTTACAAATTCCGTCTGTCTAGGCACTTTTGGTTTGTTTGGGGTGTTTTCGGTTTGTGTTTCTCTGTGTGTTTCTACCCCTTTTATCCGTTTCTTTTTTTTCCGCTGGGGGTCACATGATTTTGTAGTTTTTTTATTCAATTGCCTTGATGGTCGGTGAATGTAAACATCACAAATAATTGCTAAATTAATGCGAATTGTCCAGAGTCACAAGAGAAAATGAATAACTGTCATCGCGGAGGCCCGCTCTCTCTCCTCTCTCACTTTTTTGCTCTCTTTTTTTGCCACCCACTAAACGGAGCATGCGCAAAATCACTTGGCGTTCGTTAATTTATTTTCAAAGATTTCGCTTGGCCGAATAAATGTTTTCTATATATAAAAAAACCTCGCTTGACTGCTCAATGTTATCTTTTCAGTTTTTGTTTTTATTTTTAGCCATGAGCGCAGCTTGGAAACTGGAAGTGGAACTTCTTGCTCGGCCAAACGCACACACACAAATGGCAGCTGTGACGTCGACGGCGACTGAGGAGGACCGGCAGCGCAGGCAGCAACAACAATAGAAACAACAACAACAGCAAGGGGAGGCAGCAGCAGCAGCAGTTACAACAACAACTGCAGCATCACTTAAAGTAAAAGGCGTTTTCCCAGCCAGCCAGCCATTTCCAGTGAAAGGGAAATGGCAATATTTACAGCTACAGCTGGGAATTCTAAAGGGAAAATGGTACAAAACACAAAACATGATAAACTCACATGTTTCCGAATATTTCTGCGTTTCACTTCACTTCACTTTGCAATAAATAATATAATGGCAGTCCAAAAGTCCAAAGGTTAGAGACATTAACCACACACAATGAAAGACAACAAAAAAAAACTATATAAACGCGAAAACTTCAAATCTAGATGGCAAGAAGAAGACGGAAAAAAACTGCGCTCCAAACTCGTGACGGTACACACACACACACAAATAAATACAGTTTCTTCTTCTTCTTTAGCCTCTTGCGTGTTTTTTATTCTTTTTGCAGTTTGCAAACGTTTCAAATTGCTCACTTCATCTTTAACCGCACGCACACTGTTCGAAGTCCCGACTCCTTGACTTTGGCAAAATGTTTGGCACAAATTGTTCTACCGATCCGCTTGAATTTTGCACAAATTGTGTAATTTACAGATTGCAGATACTCGAGAGAATGACAAAACGCGAGGCGTGGAAGCCAAGAGTGAATGAAATTGGCTTGTTGTATTGGAATTGGAGTCCACATCCACCACCACAACATCCACAAGGGGGAGAGCCAAAATAGAGAGCAGAGAGAGCGGCACAGCATTGCCAGTTCAAAAAAGGTAATGATAAGTGCTGTCTAGGGTCGACTATTTGATTCTGTGTAACTGCTCTTATCAAACGAAAACTATTTACCTTTTTTTAAACAAATTCAATTTAAAAAATTCGAAAACTTATAGGCAGAATAGCAGAAAAATTTATCTTAAAAGAAGACGAAATATGCATAATTCATTTTTTTTGCAAATCTTACGAGATATTTGTTTTTAACCTTTTTACTTTTTTAGTACAAAATTTTAAACCATATACCCTGTAAAATATCGAGTTAATGCCACTCAGCTGACACTCGAAACTTTGGATGCAAATGAAGCAAATAAACGATGGCAAAGCCGTTTGCCAATTGTTTGTTTTCCCTTGCAATATATCTCATATTTCCTATTTCGCAGGTAAACAGCGAGACAAGAGAAAACTCCAACTAAAACCGGAACCATTTTCCGCATAATCCTAATCCCATTCATGGTTAGGGCGCGAAAAACTACGTGGGTAATTTTCCGCGTAGCTCTCAGACGAATTTCCACGAATTACAAACTATTCAGATAAATCAGGTAGAAAGCATTGGTGGAGAATGAAGTGGGATAGGATCAGCGGTGGGTAAAAGATTTACGATTCCTTCGGGCTGTGCTCTAAAAATTAAATATCTAGTTAGACATTTTGTAAATCAGCTAATGGCCCACTTAAAGATTTACAGCACGTGCCGGTCGGTCATAAAAATCATTGGAAAACTCATTACCATACGTCTGTGGTTAGCTGATTATTTTATATACCCTATAAAAGTGTACTTATGCAACCTGTTTGGTATTATTATCCTTTTATTTCTTTGCTACCTACATATATTTGTTACATTTTTATACCCTAATATCCTAATAAATTTTATTGGAGATTATTTATCTTTTAAAGATTTATTTCTTTTGAAACTACATAGATTAAATAGAATAAATAATCATTAATGTATACTTTTTTATTTAGTCTAATCGTTTTTTAGATTCACAGAAACAGATTTACGTGCAAGTCATAAAACGATTCCTAATGGGTTTTTGGCAGCTTTACGCTAATAGAACTTCAGTGATGATTTCAAGAAAATAATGTCATGTGGTTGTGCCTGCATTAACGGCAATAAATGACTAGAGCTTTTTTTCCGCAATCAATTGGCCAAGATAGTGAGCTGTGTGTCTGGGCGAACAAATGATAAGCGCGAAACGAAAGCTCCTCTCCACATTGGGAAAATAAAATTAATACAAAAACTTGCGTAGATAAGTGGCGGCCCTAGCAATAAAGATCCCGATCCCAGGCACAAGATGAGATCATGTGCTTTTCGCTACTTCCCGTGCGCCCCTCAAACTTAATAGTTTTCGCTTCTAATGAACCTGCTAAAATCGTCTATGGGCGTACCAAATGCTATCATAAGTTGTGCAAATATCAATATGGCAGTCTGGGGCTCTAACAAACAAGGCGGCACGATCAATATAGTATATCGAAAACAAATACAAAGTCTAAATATCAAATATGAAAATAAAAGAAAATAAATATGTAAAAAAAAAAGAAATTTACTCAAGCCAATATGTGCAAAAAATGGCTTTCGTGTTTCTTCACACGTCGACCATCACAAAAGAACTCAAATAGGCAGGAAAAACAACACTCATTAATTGGAAATGTATAAAAGTCGATAAGATAAACCCAAAATAAGGCCTGCAGGCTGCACTTCAGCGATAAGTAAAGAAAGTAAAGAAATGTGAGGCCATAATGCCAAAATACTTTAACAACAACGGCTATCTCCTTAAAACCATGTTAAGTTGTAAGATTAATGATAAGGCATTATCGATATCATTGCTTATTGTTTAAAGCTTTTGTGGTACAGATGAATCTATTTAATTTATTAAATATGGTGGGCCTAAATTGTTGATGGAATCTGATTTCCGATACTTAAATATTAGTGAATAATAATCAGAGCCACTTGTAATACAATTTGAAGCACTTTAACTCTTATTTTTACCAAATGGCCTATCACATCTAGAAACATTTCGAGAGCAGTTATTATCGCATACTCAATTATCCACTAGAGTTGATTTTATCTCTTGTGCAATGAAGAGTAATGGATTATAGTTTCATTGATATTACCTAAACATATTTGAGCAGGAAAGACTGATTGACAATTCAATGAGAGATATATAATATTAGACGAAAAACGATCTCGTTGATAATAATAAGAGCTGTTAACAATTCGATTTTAAAATCGATTTAATCGATTTTTTTGGTTGGGCGAAAAAAACGATTCCGTTTTTTGGAAATCGAAACCAGTCTGATCACCTTTAAACTAATTATTATTTTAATGTAATATAACTCAAGTAAACTCAACTAGTAAATTATTTCTAAATCTAATCTCCCTTTTTTCGATTTTATAACGATTAAATCGATATTTTTCAGAATTAAATCGATAAGAATTGATTCACAAAAATTATAATCGTTTATAGCTAAATACGGACTGAACCCAATCCAATACGATCTTGCCTCCATCTTACCTTTGTTCGTCAGCAGACTGCGCACCACCTTCAGGCAGTTTTTGCCATCGACATTCTTTGAGGCGTAGTACATGAGTTCCCAGCTGCTGGCTGCCTGCAGCAGCTCCGATGGCAACTCGAAGTGCGGTGCCTCCAGGACACCGGTGATCGGACTGGGGACCGGAGTACCCGGAACACTGCTGCCCTCCTTTCGCTGTCCCTTCGAGGCGAAATCGTGGAGCAGGGCCAGAAGAGGAGCCGAAGCCCCCAGGATCGGTGGAGCATCCATACTCTTTGGCCCACCCGACTTCATTTGCTGGACAATGCATCGCATGCGATCCACTGCCTCCAATTCGAGTTCCAGACGCGTGGGCGGTGGCTCAATTCCGTTGACAATCGCCGACATCGAGGAGCAGCTGGAGGAGATGCTATCGAAATCGGATCCAGATCCATTTAGCTGCTGCTGCAATTTGTCCGCCGAACGCTGGCAATTGGTGTCCAGATGCTGACCCAGCAGCTTGTAGGTGTTCTCAAAGTGTTTGCTCGAGTTGGACGGTTTACTGGTGATCAGGGTGGCATTGAGGGAATCCTCCGAGCTCAGGGAGCTGTTCGACTTGCTCCAGATCAGCGAGGTCGATGAACTTCGTCTGGCATTCTCTACATCCCCGCCAAAGGTGCTATTCAGCTGGTTGCCATTCTCGAAGGTTTGCCCATAATCATCATCATCAGCCTCTTGCTCGACTATTATGGGCAGGGAATCCAGCTTCTTGATGGGATAATGTGGCTCCTCTGATGATTCTTGCTGATTGGTTTTACTTCGCATTGGCATTTTGCTTTACATTACATTGTATGCTTGGCTTGAACGCGAATTCTTTAGTTTTTAACATATATTTGGAACACACAAACACTCAATTTTTAACTTTAAATTTTTATGTTTTATTTATGTAATTGCTTCTTGGGGATTTGGCTTGGGTTTAGTTAGTGCCTATAAAGATTGTGAGTTTAGGGATTTTTTTTATTTGTTAAAATACTGCGCCGCAGATTGTCATACGATTCTTTATCTTTACGACCGGAATTGCAATTATCGATGGGCTATTTTAGCCAGTCTCTCGAACTAGCGGTTATTTTTTTTTTGGTTTATAATTAAGCAACCAATCGGCGGAAGGTGTTTGCCTCATTTCCCAAAAAAAAACCCAAAATAACAATGGCAAATTTTGTGTGTGAGCATATAAATCCCAAGATTTACATACAATGCCAGTCGAAAAAAAAAACTAAATAAATCACAAATATTTCAAAACTGCGACTGACTTCACACCGCAACGCCCAGGAGAAGAGTGGACAGATTGTGGGCATCGTGGAAATTTAGTGGCTACTACTAGAGCCAAGGAAAGTTGGGCGCAAACAAGTTTTATAAATTAGTTATGTATAGCCTTGTCTTCTTGCCAGTTTAAATGAGTCTGCAGCATGGCCAAGATCACGTAGGTCGCGCTGGGAAAACTCATAAACATAAACTCCAGAACCCGTAACACCCAGAATCAGGTTGTAAAAAGCGTGGGTTGCCCCTCCTCGGCATTCTAAAGGTAGCTGGAGTGGAAAATGCTGAACATCCCAAGAAGAAGCTTGGTCCATTCATTCACGCTCTCAATAGCCATTTGATCATAATTTATATGGCCAAGTGAAAGAAAATTGAGCTGAACCCAGCTGAGATAATAACCGCCGAGCTAGATACAAGATACTAACGGTTGTGCCAAATGAACGGGATGATGGCCAACATGGGATGACCAACACATAAAGTTGGCTAGTCGAACAAACGAAAAAAATCTTGAGACCCAAGATGAGATGATTCAACCGATTCGAGTCACCGTTTTGCAGTATTTTTTTTTAAATATTTTTAATCCCTGCAGTTGAAAGCGGTAATGTGCTTTGCGTAAAAACCTCATTTCAGTTGAGGTTTTTTTTTTTCAGGTTCATCGACATGCAAAAAGCGTATGCACTCATGAGTCACGTTCCCCGGACTTTAAACACTCTAAACATTCGAAGGGAGCCCACCAATAAATCAACTTATCGCATAGATAAACCATATGGCATATGACAAAACGAGCGATTCAAGAATGAAAACTTAATTGCTTGATTGAATAAAAAAATATGAAATAAAATGGGGGAAAAAAATAACAGACGATCGGTGGGGCATTCGAGTGCCGCAGGGTAATTATGTAAAGACAACTGAATAAATAACTGAGGGAAAAGCAGGCAAAACATCCGAAAAAGGCCAATCAATTCGTACACGCGAAAATGAAACGAAAACGGCAGCTCAGTAACATTAGACAAACTCTCTTGTTATTTGGCATGTTTTATTTTGTGATGTATTTGGTTCACATCAACTTTCACAAATGCTGTTCGTAATTAATTATTGGCAAAAAGTTTGGTGCATTTAAGCATATTTTTATGGTCACTACAAGATGCGCAAAGTTGAAGACTTTATTTGGAAACTACCAGATTATCTGATTATCTCTTTGTAAGTAAAAAAAAAGATCAGGATTCAACTATTTTTAGGGGGTTTCTCAACACACACTTTGGGTAAATCCAGGGATTAGCTGAATTTTTGAAATAATAATATTAAAATTAGAATAGTACATCAGTAAATGTAATGGAATTTAATTGAATAAGCTCACATTTAGCGGTCTTTTTTAACCTTTTTGTGTATTTAAATCCGAGTTAAGTGTGACCAGTCTTCAATTAGTCTTTTTCAAGATTACGATCAACTATTTTTAGGGAGTTTTTTAGATAATAATATTAAAAGTAGCTCTATAAATGTTATTCAATTTAATTGAATAATCTCGCAATAAGCGGTCTTTTTGAACATTTTTTTGTACTTAAATCTGAATTAAGTGTGTCCAATCTTCAATTAGTCTTCTTACAACTACAACCTATGCTCAATTACAAAGTCAAGGAAGTTCGATGTCCGCTACATTTGATATGCGAGTGAATGATAGCCCGGGTAATTATTGTATCATATATTGTTATTACAGAGGAAAACGCTTTGAGCCACATTTTCTTGCACCAATTAACGCCGGCAATGTGAATGTCCTACTCAATAGGCCAGTGACACAGAGAAAAAATTAGAAAAAAGAGGTGGAGGTAGAGGAAATACAGACGGATTTTGACGAATGCCTGCAGGTGCAGTGTTTGCAAAATGACGCAATGAAAGTATGTCACTAAATGTAAACCATCTCATTGTTTGTTTTTTTGCTTGCAAAAAAAGAAAGAAAAAATTAAAAGGCAGCATGGTCAGTCGGACATAAGCCGCTTTTTTCGGTGGCCGAGTTAGTAAGACCCACGAACATGACACCATTTGGTTCGGCAGAAGCTTAGCACCAATAAAAGTACAATTGCCAGGGCGATTATGACTGTCCACTTAACGTGCCCCATAGCTCAAACCATTTGCCATTTGTACACATAGTATATATAAATTTGCGGTTAGTTTTCTGCGGAACTCTTGATGAGCCAACGGAACGCGTTCTTTAGCTGGAGCTAGATAAACCGTTGATTGATGCGGAAAAGCCACCGAGAGATGATAATGGTAATCGATCAAGAAGCCACGCCAATGAAGTACAGTTCTAACTGGCTATGCAAGAAGTTTTAAATTCCATTTGTCCGTGATTCATATTTATTAATCTTTTGCTTTTTAATAGCTGAAGATTGCGAAATTAAAAAGTATGACTAACTCGAGATTTGTTAGATAATCAAAAAATCTAACTTTTCATACTCAAAAATTTGCAATTCGAAAAGATTATGCTCAGTTGAAATGGAAAATTATTGTAGTGACTTTATTTTATTGAATAAGTCTAATTTTGTAAAGCTTTCAATAGTTACTTCATTGGGGTTAATTCGTTGCATTTGATTCAATAAGACAAACTCTTTTTTTTTGGTCATTAATAGAAAAAGTTCATTATATGAAAATACCAAATAATTCAATTTAATTTTATTATCGTATTATTATTACATGTTATCTATTAAATAAATGTATACAAATATTACAAGGCAAAAGGCATAATTTCTTTTTCAATGCAAGTTTTACTGTACTTAAAAAATTCCAAAACGTGTCAAAGAAAGAGATTACAATAGATTGATCACTTCCATGTGGAGGGTTTGTCCATTCTGACCATTGATTTGTTTATCAAAGTCTTTAGCAGGGTATTACAAATTAGCATCTGGAAGAAAGCTGTTTCTGTCTACCCAAGGATCACTGTAAACCGGCTGCACTCGAAGAACTGGAAGACGGGACTTCGTGTAGCGGTAAATGGTAAATTACCCACCAATACGCACATATGTTTGTATATAACCACATATAAACACACCCAAGGCAAACAAACATGGGCAAACAGCTGGTTTGGATTGGAATGAGCGGGACGGAATGTCAATGCGAGTGACAGAGATGGAGAGGAAATTCCGATAGAGGGCCCATATAGAATTAAAAGTGCTTCTTATCAGCGAAACCGAAACCGACAGACGGCATGGAAAAACGATTATGTAAAGACGGGGAACAACAACTGCAGGCAGAGAAACCCCATTCGAAAGGCAAGAACAAATTAAGCCGACAGAAAACAAGCAATGCCCATGGCCTCCACCCAATAATATACATACTTATATAGCACACCATTCATTAAACAAGCGCTCCCTTTAAATGTTTACAACAGCCAGCATTTTCCTCTTCATAATTCACAAAAAACGAAGAAGAAGAAGAAAAAAGTTTAGCACTCACAAACACACACACACTCACAATAGTTGTCCTAAAAATAAATTCAATTCGTATGACGGCACGAAACAAAAAGCACTTGGAGAAATTCCAAATACTTTTTGGCACACACACACTGCGTATGAGTATTATTAATAATTTTGCGTTAATGATTTTTTCGTCAGTGCTCTGGCCCACACACATAACGCACACATTTCTTGGGTATTTTTGGCAAAATTATGCCAGCCATGCACACGCACAATTTCACTGCCAATTTTTCGTTATTTTTGCTTTGCACTTATTAAAACAAGAGCGGACCACCGCCTTACATTTTCGTTTTGGCACACACGGTTCGCTTTGGTTTACGTATTTGTTTCGCGGCGACGGCGCTAAGACATTTCAAATGTTGCACACAGAAGCACGCGGAGCAGCAACTTTTCCCTTTCCCCACCGATTGAAAACGGCCAACAAAACCGAAAAGCAAATTGACAAAGCCCGCGCGGCGTTGCCAGATCGCCGACCGGGCCCCAATCAGCTGTCTCTTTTGGGGGCTGTCACGTGGAGCCGATCGTGTGTGAATGGCAGCCACAGCTGACGGCCGGCGTTGCACAACACTGGCTGGAGCAACAAGTGTTGGCTTGGGGAGGGAAATCGATAAATCTGTTTGAATACTTGGCGCGAATTTTGTAGAATCAAAAAAAACTAGGTTTTTACAAATTCCCTCGAAAAAGTAGAGGAATTCAGAGTTATAATTATTGCATTTGAGCAGATAATATTTCTGAATAAGGTTTGCTTACAAATATACATCTTAAATGTTTTGGGGTTAAAATGATTAGACCGCAAAATGTATATAATTTTAAGAATAATAGGTACTATAACACAATTGACAGACGAGTTATGATTAAACAGCTAAATCATCGCCAATAACTTGTCAACTCACAGAACATAAATAAACATGAACTAAAGCCTTTAAAAAAGAGCTTTTGAAATATTGACCACAATATTCGCACAAATGTCAGAGACAAAAAACATTTGCATGTGATACGAAAAGAATTCTGCACATATAGTATACTCGGAAATTTATTTTTAATCTGCTTTCTTGCGTAGATAAAAGAAAATTGCGTTTTGCTGCCAAGTGAAAGTGGATAAACAATTCAAGAAATATTTAAAAACACATAAAATACATATGGGAATTTTAGAAAACAAGAGAGTAATGACAAGTTCAAACAAACTTTTGAAGTGTGGCAGACAAAGAAATAAAATTGATACCGATACTACAGATACCAAGTCATATAGAATATAGTATACAGAGATTGTATAACTCACAATGAATATGATTCAAAGGCTGACCGCACAAGTTCCGCTGATAAATTCGTATTAATTGGGCAATTGTATGACGGGCAGAAACACAGCAGTGTGCCATAAAAACAAATGTATTAGAAAATTTGGCCTTCCCCCAAAGGCTTGTTTACATTTACTAGCACAAAAGGTTTAAAATATTAGTTTTGGAACCAAATTTTTTTTTTTTTAAATATATTTTTGTAGGTTAATAACTAAGAAAGCATAATATTGAAGGATTTCATTCCTCTCAAAATATTATCAACCTCTTTTTAGCAGTTATACTAGTTTTATAAACTGTTTCTTTCTTAGTACTGAAGTCAATTGATGATTGGTTTTGAAGAATGAGTGCAATTTCAAGAATTCAAGAAACCAATTCACTTCAATTGTTTTTATTTTATTTGCCCTTCTCCGATAAAGGCTTTGAAATACTTGATTGATAGACTGTTTTCAACAAAATTATATCATGGTAACATATAGCCTTAACTAAAGAACACTGCCTGGAAAGTCTGTTTTATTATTAAAATATTCAAGGTCATTTGGATGATCTCAGTCGTATTCGTAAAATGACCGAGTCACCCCTTTGTTTTCCCCATAAAACTCAAAGGATTTTCCACACTCTGCGTCTTAAACTAAGTTATTTATGAAATGCAGACTCACGGAAATAGTTGAGGCACTCTCTTGTCTGCTCCTTGGTCAGGCCGAGACCCTCCGGCGGAATTGGTAGCGCTGGGGCCGGAACGAACCAGTCCTCATTCGCATAGCCGGAGAAGTTTGTGAGGAAATCGTTGCGCACCTTGTACTTGGGTATCTGCTCCTCCAGCAGCGAAAAAATCTCCACCTCGGGCAGGTTCTCGCTGCTGCACAGCTCTGTGATAAATAGTAAATGAATAGATTAGCGGGATGGTGCGAGAATTTCAAAATGCAGCTACAGTCCAACTTCCCTTGGTCATTCATTTATTACAGAATAAAAAAATAAATATTATTTTTAATTTATTAACCCTGTTTTATTATATGCATTATGTTTTACTCTTTTCTAATGAAATTTCTAATACAATTTAAAAAGTTATAAGAAATAAGAACAAATTAATTAAACCAAAAACTTTGTTAATGTTCAATGAACTTTGTTTGAGAACTGATCTATTTTTCAAGATATTTTTCGGCTGATTTAGATTTTGTTATTTGAAAATAGATTTTGAAAATGTTTAAAAAATTAAATTCTTTTAAATTAAAATTTTTTTCTAAAACCAAAAATTCAACGAAATCCACAAAGTTCTCTAACCAGAAATTGTTTGGATCTATAAAAAGTATTTATAATATTCTTGTAGTTTATCATTTTAAGATTGAGCATCATGAAGTTTGCTTTTACAATACATTTAATAAAACGTATATATATTTTAGCAGTTTTTTAAATCAATATTGAAGATCATAAAGTTTTCTTTAACATTACGTTTATCCAGATTCAAATAAAAAGTAAATATACGCGAATTCTTTAGCCTCATTCCGTATAATCCTAACTTTTGGAAGATAATATTTTAGCAGATGATCATTTTAGGATTGAAGATCATAAAGTTTTCTTTTATAATAAATTTATCCGGGTTAAAAAAAAAATAAGTATATACGCGAATTCTTAAGCCTCATTCCGTATAATCCTAACTTTTGGAAGATGGACTGTAACTTTAAACAAAGTGATTTACACACCGGTTAGGCAACTGGCATCGCAGGTCTGTGGTCTCGGGAGGGCCGCCGACTGCGACTGCGACTGCGTCTGCTGGAGGAGACGCTTCGACTGGAGGCGCGGCAGGTGCTTGCTGAGCGTCGCCTGGGCGGAGGGACTGAGCGGCTGTGAGCCGCCATTGGCCCCCAGAGTTGCGGATAGCATTAAATGGTGATCGCCTCTGGGTTGCAGTATTGTCTTGAATTTCTGGTTACACTTTGATTTTGGGGATTTAAAAGGGACACTTGGTTAGGGGGGCTCCTCCTCCTTGTCTGGTTACTTGCTCAACTGAAAGAGAAGAAAGAAAAGGCGGGCTTGTGTTAATTTTCGAGCAATCACATGAAACTAATAAGCCAGCTGCCAAGCGACTTTTTCCACTCTATTTTCGCTATTTACCCTTCGGTATCGCTATGAGTTCATTGCTAACAAACGAACAGGGGAACGAACGTACTTTTGCTTATCTTTCGGCTGATAAAGTCGGCGCGGTGAATGTGAATGATTATTAATACTATAAATATTAGCGAAACGTCAAAGGATTTTCGACTAATATTTATCAACTACTAAATTGGCAGTCGCTAAGACCCACACAACACACTCACTCACACACCTGTTTGAAATGCTAAGCGATTTCTATGAAATACGCGATTCGGCCTTCTTTACACGATACAATTTTTAGCTTTTGAAGGGTTTCCTTTGTGTTCTAATTCCAAAAACCATTGTTTCAAGCTCTATGGGATCTCTATGCAAATGTGGTTTATAAGTTTAGGAACATTATAATGGTTAAGAAAGTAAAACTTGTGTATTTTGGTACTGTGTTCTGTGATATTAATTTGTAAATGTCACAAGTTCTTGTTCAAAAAGTCCATCAAAATCAGCCAACTTGGAAAATGAAATAGGTGAATTCTTAAATACTTTGTATTTTTGGTCCTTCGGAAAAAATCAACTTTTATTTTTCAGTACGCCAACGATGATCGTTGCGCGTCGCGCAGGCGTTAACTGATTTTTCTTGGCCCACAATCGATTTGAGTGGAGTCTGCGAGCTTTGTCGAGTCATACCGATGTTTTTTGGAGGTCGGAAATGTGGAGTACTCGAAGAGCAGATCCCAAGAGCCCAAGAGATGGCCAAAAGCATGTGAAACAGACAGACTACGTGCTCAGAGGCGCGTCGCCTGCACTCAGAAACACAAAAAACCGCGGTGATAATAACGAAACGAGCGAACAAGCGGCAAAAAGTGTAATTAGTCAATAAACACTACACACAAAGAAATTTGATATATGATGGTGATGCATTTGTAGGTATTTGTAGGACAGATAGGGAAGTAATATCAATATTTTGAAATATTTGAATAATATTTTCTTAGCTGAAGAAATGTGAAAATGTTGTTGGAAGGGGTGGGTTTTTACTCGTGCTTTTTTTTCTCAAGGGCAGATGGTCAAAGATCTATCAATTTGGCATTTTAAGTAAATTCATTTAAAATAACTTTTTGGATTTTTGCAAAAAGCTAATAGTTTTGATTACCTTTTTAGAATTTAATAAAAAAAATTTTATCATTTAAGAGATCTTATTATTTTTTGTTCCAACAAAAATTATTTTTATACCCGTTACTCGTAGAGTAAAAGGGTATATTGTATTCGTGCAAAAGTATGTAACAGGTAGAAGGAAGCGTTTCCGACCCCATAAAGTATATATATTCTTGATCAGGATCACTAGCCGAGTCGATCTAGCCATGTCCGTCTGTCCGTCTGTCTGTCTGTCTGTCTGTCCGTCTGTCCGTATGAACGCTGAGATCTCGGAAACTATAGAAGCTAGAAGATTGGCATTTTGCATGCAGATTCTAGGAATTCCTACGCAGCGCAAGTTTGTTTCAAAATGGTGCCACGCCCCCTCTAACGCCCACCATCGCTTATATACGATTTTAAAAATTTTAATATTTTGGAAAAGTAAAAATGCAGTTTTATTGTGTTTATCAATACCTATCGAAATGTAGAAGAAATTTTTCAAATCGGACCATTCGTTAAAAAGTTATGCGTGATCAACGTTTTCTATCTCTATCTCCATCTCCCTCGCACTCCCTTTACCTGAGTAACGGGTATCTGATAGTCGGGGCATCCGACTATAACGTTCCCTCTTGTTATGGTTATAAACAATTATACGAATTTATTTGGAATTTAAAATATAACTATTATAATTAGTTAACATCATTCTTTAACAATGAAAATTGAAAGGTGGTTGAGCCTTGAGAAAATTCCAATTTTTTTGTGAAAAGTTAAGAATTAGCCTGATTTTTTTTCAGTGCACAGCTCAAAAACTGTGAATTGGATTTTGCAATTCGCAACTCCCGTCGACTTTTAAACGATGACGCACAAAGAGCAAAGAGTTCTTAGCATGTGACGCCAAAAAATGAAGGTGTTTCCCTGCAAAATCGCGATACGGCCGCTTGATGATAACACAAGAAAATCAATGGCGCTGTTTTATTTTTTTCGTTTTTCGCCCGTTTGGCTGCATTTTGCATTGCATAACACGTAGAAAATCGAAGAGCTGAGAGGAATTCGCTTTTAGCCAGCCAGAAATAACAACAAAACAGAAAATCGGAAAGGAAAATCGTGAATGGAAACCGGCGGCTAACGGTAATAGTTTGGCAGCGCGGTCGCAGCGCTGCAACTGCGCTGCTGGCAAACACACACGCACGCATTACTCACACACAGGAAGGCATTTTTCAAATTTTCACTTCATTCTATTTTTTTTTTTTAGACGCAAAGAGCGCGCAATTGTCAGGCCAAAAAGACTAGTGTGTGGATGGTGGCATAATGCTCTAAAATTAATTTCCAAGCGACGACAATCCTCAAACGCTTGCCAAAAAGCCAAGCAATTTGTTAAACTTGCGTTGTTTTGGCACTCAAACGCACACACACACACACTGGGTTCTTCTTCTTCACTTATATAAGTAGCGCGTCGGTTGTTGTTGTTGCTTAATGGGGCAGGGTCATTAGACGACACCGTTAAATGTTGCCTGTGGTTGTTTTTTAGGTTTTTCGATTATTAAACCATTGATTTATCACCAGCAGCATGAATCAGCTGGTTGGTGGGGGATGCTGCTTGGGGGAGGTCAAAAACGAACACACACACACGCACGCATTTGCGGGGGCGCAGCTGTGCGCTGGTGTGTGTGCGGGAATTATAAAACACACACACTCGCACTCTTCTCACATTTCATAATAATTTTCACAGCTTTCACGGCAAAAACTAACCTTTGCGCCAAGGCGTCCAATTATTGAATTTTCATTTTCGGCCCTACAAATGGCCCTTCTATCAGTTGTTGTTGGTGCTACCTACATTTGTTGTAGCTGCTGGCTTGTGTTTGCCATTTTCTTTCGTCGCGCTGCTTTCACAAACACACACGCACGAAATTCAGGGGTCACATGGAATTTTCCTCAATTCCGCACTCAACATCGCGCTCGTCAGTAATTGGAAAATGTTTGCAATTGGTATTGGTTCGAGTCCTAAAATGTGCAACGTGCACCGTCTGTGCGTTTATGCTGGCAAAGAATTAACTAATTTTACTTTATTTAGCCTGGTTTCCGTTCGATTAGTGATGTGAAAAATAAATCAAAATATCGAAATATTTATATCGAGATATCGTAGCACTGAGCAATTGTCAGCGTTCGCTGGTTCCCTTTTTGGCCGCAAAGGAGCTCGCAAATGTTAGGGGGATTCCCTAAACTGTTGAATTGCTGAATTGTTGAATTTTGGTCAGCTGTTAATCAGCTGTTCCATACAAAGTCAACTTTCAGAAATTTCAGCAATTCAACAGCCTCGGGGCTGATGAAAATTTTGTTGAATTGCTGAAAAGCCAGAGTTGTCACCTTTTTTTAAAAGTCGTGGCAACTCTGTAACATTTTAGTATCACCAGTACGCATTATTTATTTAAAAATCAACTTTGAATGCATATTTGTGGTTCTTTTTACCTTGGTAACACTTTTAGACAGTAACTAGCAATAATAAATCAAATTTTACATGCTTTAAGTTCCGTGAAACTTTTCAACAAATAACAGCTGTTTGAAAATTCAACAGGAACCATTTTGGGTCGTTCCCTTAATTGCTGAAATTTTTTGTTGAATTTTCAACAATTCAGCAATTCAACAGTTTAGGGAATCCCCCTGTTACGATACAAACACATGCTTAAAGAAAAATACTTTTAATACCATTTTTACCCTTTTAAATTCGGTATTTTTTCCAAACACTATTATTTATCGGAAGATCGTTATCGCAGTTTAAATCTTAATACTTTTCAAATTTTCTGTTTTATTTTTGATTAGTTCAGTTTTTTCTACAAAATATTTGTTTAGTAAAACTAGGCTGGCTTAATAAAAAGTGGGGAATTTGTTTAATATCCAATGTTTTAAAATCAAGTTACGTGCAAGCCAAGGTCAATCAGCGTCCTTACATTTTTGGCGGTCAAACTAGCGAATTACAACTTAAGCACTAAAAACTAATATTCCATCAGTAAGTAACTCGATCTTGCAGCATTTCAGGCGGTCTACAACATTATTTTTTTCGTTTACGGACTTAGCTCAAGGCGAAAAGTGTCTAGACTTTAAAGTAATTTTTCCATCCACATATATATATTTATAAATGTATTTAATTGTATTTTAATATGTGCCCCTAATTTTCAGCTTGCGTCGAAAGTCTTTAAAAAAATTGAAAATGTTTTGACCAAAAATTAGTTATTGTAACGAATATTAACAGATCCTTCCTCTCAATCGTCGGTGTTCTTGCGCGTGATCGCCACCAGATCGACGGCGTTGATGGAGTCCGGAAACATGGAGTGGTAGTTGATCACGGGCACATAGGCCGCCGTGATCACTCGTCCGGCAAACCAGCGTCCGTGCAGCGCGTTCACCGCCAGCACAGCAGTCGTGGTGCCCGGGCACTTCACATAGACGGTGCCCGTGGGCGAGGCGGTGTCCACGTGGATGTGCAGCACACCGCCGTGCTTGGCGCACTCCTCGAGCACATCATCGCGGATCTCCACGTCCCAGGTGGGATTCGTCTCCGTGCGCGGATCGAACATATTGGAGAGTATGAAGCACTGCGTGGCTATCGACGGGGCAGCCTCCTGTTGCTGCACCGGCGCCGGTTGAGGAGCTGTGGCCAGCAGCGCATTGGCCGCCGCCTGGGGCACCGCCAATCCAGCTCCCTCCGCCAGCTTGAACATCAGCTGCAGGCGGCCCGTGGCGCCCAGATCGATGCCCGTGCGATCCATCTCGTCCGTGTCCAGCGAGGTGGTGTTCATGTCCAGACGCTCGGTCACATTGCCCACCTTCATGAGGCGGCCGGCCAGCTCGAAGCCGTTCAGTTGCTCCAAAGCCTTTTTGGCATCATCAGCATTGTGGTACTGCGGGAATATTATTAATTAATAAGGTTAAAATGCTTAAAAACAAACCGAAACCCACCGTAATAAAACCGTATCCCTTAGATCGACCTGTCTCCGTGTCCATGATCAATTGAATGGCATCGATCTTGCCAAACGGCTCGAATATGCCCCTCAGCATGTCCTCGGTAATGTTGAAGTGCAGCGATCCCACGTAGAGGCGCATGGGACCTGTGTGACTCTTCGGCTGGAATGCGGGCGCCGCATTCTGTAGGCGATTCTTCTCGGCCTGCGTGTGCTGCACCATAATGGGCACCCCAAGCAGCCGCTGGCCGGAGAGACCGAGAGCCAAAGCCACCGACTCCGGATCTTCAAACTCAATATAAGCGATGCCCTTGAAGCGCTTTGTCTTGTTGCACGTGATTAGCCGCACGTCGCGCACCTTGCCTACGCTGGAGAAGAACTCCTCCAGGTCACGGGCGCGCACTCGTTGCGACAGCTGGATGCAGAAAACGGTACGGGCGTCACGCTCCTCGGGACTCAGCTCGGTGGGCGGGGTTCGGTCGCCACCACCGTTCGCTGGAGAGCGGCGACGAGGCGAGTGGGTTCCTCGACGACGGCTACTGGAGTTTGAAAAAAAGCATACAAATTAGTTGAAAATCAGAGTTATGATTAGTTATTAACTAGTAGTTAACTACTTTTGTAAAGTAATGCTAATGATTCATTAGTAATGAAAACACTTTTCATTGGAATTGAAAAAAGTAATGCTACTGAAAAATATTCATTGGTATTGAAAATTGAAGTCCCCAAAAATAATGCTAGTTAAAAATGTAATTAAAAAAAGTAATGATAGTTAAAAAATATAATTACCATTGTTATTTAATAAAAGTTCTTTTTACCCCATTAAAGCTATAACTTTTCTTATCCCTGGCTAAGAATTGGTACTTTTTGACCATGTAATAACGACTCAAGAAGGTGAAAACAATAAAACCTATAAGAGGTGGAACATTTGCTCCACAGGTCAGAGAACACTAATAGTTTTGCTGACACCGAGGATGAAAAATATTTGAACCGCGAATTCTTCAGAAGAGAAGGATCCTTTGGGGACTTTAATGAAATATATTTTCAGTGGCATTGAAAGCTTCCAATGCCAATGAAATTTGTTTTCAGTAGCATTACTTTTTACAATGCCAATAAAGAGTGTTTTCAGTAGCATTAATTTGTTCATGATATTTCAAAAACAATGCTAATGCTTATTGAATTAAAATCAAACCAAAAAAGGTCAAGACTTTAAATTGTCCAGTAGTTTAAATGCTGATATGTTCAACTCACTTTCTATCCTTTGAACGAGAATGACTTCGCTTGCGTTCACGGATCGGACTCAGCCGCTTGCGCTGCTGATCGCGCGACCGACTGCGTCGACGTTTATCCCGGGACCGATCCTGCTGGTGCAGGGATTTGCTGCCTCCACGTCGATCCCGCGAGCGTCGCTCCCTGTCACGATCGCCATGGCGTATGCGACGATCATCGCCTCCTCCGCCGCCACCACGCTCATCCCGCGATCGACTGCGACGTCTCTGGTCGCGATCACGGTCCCGCTCGCGATCCCGATCACCGCCTTCTCTGCGGTGTCGATCTCGGTCACCTCCTCCATCGCGGTGTCGTTCGCGCTCCTTATCCTTGTCCCTTTGACTGCTGCGCTCACTGCCGCGATCTCGGCGGGATTTGCCATCTCGTGAGCCGCTTCTACTCCTGCAAAATGGATTAAGGATTGTATGAGAAGGAGATACATGAAATCATAGCATTAGAAAATTAATTAATAATATAGGTCGTAGTTCAGTATTTTACACAAGTGATTTTAAATCTCTTAGACATTTTTTTTAGTAACGCGGATTTGTTATAAGGTTTAAGAAAGATATAAATAAATTATTATTATAAAATAAAATATTTTAAATTGTATTCTATGCGTTCATTTCTTTTTCGTTGTGTTGGCCTTATATGTAATCTGTTAGGAATCCTAACTTGGGATCCTTAAATACTGATATTATATATGTATCTTTACAGTTTTACCTGTGAACTTTTATGAATCCACACTTAGGATCCTTAAATAATAATATTATATACCTATCTGTACATTATGAACAGTTGGGAATCCTAACTTAGGATCCTTAAATAATAATATTATATATATTTACAGTTTACCTGTGAACTTTTAGGATTCCACACTTAGGATCCTTAAATAATAATATTATATATATTTACAGTTTACATGTAAACTTTTAGGAATCCTAACTTTGGATTTATAAATACTGATATTATATATCTTTACATTTTACAAGTGAACTTTTAGGAATCCACACTTAGGATTCTTAAATAATAACATCCTAGCTTAGGATCCTTAAATAATAATACTCTAATCGATTACTTACCGTGACCGCTTGCTCTGCTTTTTGTGTGTACTTCCACCGCCGCTGCCGTTCCGAGGACCGTTCTCGCCGAAGTCGTCGTCGTGGCCTCCGCCGCCGGGACTGCTGCCGCTGCGCCTGCGTCCACCACGTCCACCGCTGCCCGCACTGACATTCTACACAGATAGGTTGTTTTGTTTGTTTTGTGGATTGGGTGTGGGAGTGGACAGGTAGAAGGATGGGTTGGGTCGGGCGCAAGCAATAATGTAGATACAGATAAGTGGATTATTTTTTTGTCGATCGGTTTCAGTTTTTTTTTTTGGTTTTGGTTTTGGGTGGGTGGGAACACATAACGGGTGTTGATAGTTCGTTACGTTGTTGTCGTTGTTGAGATGTTGGTTGATTTTCGATTATATCATTTGAGTTTGTTATGATATATTATTTTTCAGTTTCGTAAATATTTTTTTTTTTGAATAAGAGAAAGCAAATCAAAGTAAATTAGTTAAATTTTTGGCATCTGCAAGTATATAAAGTAGAAATGCTTAAGTCAACAATGATCATTTGGGGATCATTGCCAATTTTTAGCAAGGTAGTAATAAGGATATAAGGTATAGAAATTGCTTATACGTAGTTGGTAAATATATATATATAGTTCATATATGGCACACACACAGATGGTTCACGACGGCGAGAAATGTTGTCTCCACATGGGCAAATTTCTCATGCTCATTCTCATTCTCAATCAGTTCAGTTTTGGGGGAATGTTTAGCGCTGGCTAGTGGAGTGGACTGGTTGATTGGTTCTCAAAAAGACGTCGTCTATATATATATAGGACATAGACATTATATAAGTAAGATTGTAGTGCTATAGTTTAAGAATTGCTTATTACTTTTTGTTTGTTTGTTCAAATAGGTTTGGTTTTGGCTTAGCTTTTTGTGTTGGTCATTATAGCTTATTTTTCGTTTTCGATTTCGATTTCTGTTTATGGTAAATCTTAATTTGTAATTTGAGCGATACTTTCTTTCTTGTCTGACTGTGAGTGAGAGTAGTAGTAGTGCTGCCTGCTGCCCCAGACAAGTTAGGAGGAGTTTATCTGAAATTTAGTGCACGTTCAGTTTCATTGGTTTACATAGAGAGCAGTAAGGTAACGAATTTCAATTGGATTGTGTTCAAAAAAAACTCAAACATAAACAAATCATATGGAATACAAAATGCCTAGATATGTTTTGGTTTTTTTTTTATTGTTTTGTAATTTTGTAATTGGTTTTTTCGCAGCTTCTGGCACATTCAAAACTTACCAAATGGTCTCCAGCTTTTTGTGTTTAGAATGACCAAAACAATCTCTAGCAACAATATTGAGCTTATTCGATTCTCTGCAAAGACATTTCACCCTTAAGAATTATTCTAGCATTTTGGATCGGTTTGTAATTTTTTTTTTAATGGTGATTGTGTGTGGGTAATTTTCGGTTGTTCTTAGTGAGAGAGCAGATAGGAAGAAATATGAGCGTTCAACTCAAGATTCGTTGGTTCAGGGCGAGAGAGGGATTTTTAATAATTTTGAGATTATGATAAACTAGTTTGAGAAGGTTGAGATTTTCGTCACTATAAATTAAAAGGTATACTTTATGGATTTTCATTTGCTAATTGTTTTTTTGCAAGAGCTGAATAACCTATCGGACCATTAATAAAAGTATTTTCTGAAGATAGTAAATAGTCTTTTTGAAGACTTATCCAACAGAAATGTGTTAGCTGAAATCCACACACTAATGCAGTAAAAACTATTTGAAGCTATATTTAAATAATCGATTTTTTTTATGAAAGTCTAATAATAAAAATTCTAATCCTATAAAGATCTTATATAAGATATGCGAAGGGCTTTAAACGATTTTTCTAGGCTTGGTTTTAGATGTTTTGCCCAGATAAGATAAGAAAGTTAGAATCAGTACTAAGTAAAAGTCCGTTTCAATCAGTCAAAAAGATTAAAGTCCAGGTTAATTAACAATATGAGACAGATATAATAGTTGAATTTGCAATATAAATGAAATGTATGTCGGTTTTTAATATTTAAGGTAGAAAATTACAAGAAACCTCTATAGAACCCTCGTTCTATATCCTTAAAGTCGTGCCAAATATTTTGCACCCCACTGTACCCAGTGCAATGGACACGACTGTCTCAAGTGCCGCGGAGTAAAACGAACAACACAAACCCACACACAGACAGATTTTCGTTGGCGAAATAATTTTCTGTATGTACGCGCAGTCATGTATGAAGAATATAGGGGAAAAAAATTACGAAAATCAGCACGCAGTGCAGCGTTTCGTCTGCCGGTTCTTTTGATTTAACAACAAAATTAGGTTAAAAATCGATTTAAGACCACTTAGTTATGCATCGAGTGCACATGCGTGTGTGTGTGTGCCCGAGACGACGACGACTTACATACAAACACAAAATGCACGCCTGTGGGTGTCTATGTAAGAAAAAAGTATACAAACATACATATGAAGTAACTGTTTTTCATATTTTCACAGCAAAATAATCGCATTTGTTGGCACAAATGCCAGAGGGGCTTAATTTAAACGATAATCGCCTGCCGTCGGGCAGTCGAGACTTACGTTTTTCTGATACGGCGCCTCGAGCATCGCCTCCACATCAAAGTCCTCGGCCATGTCGAAAATTTCTTCGGTTCTATCCGGGGTGCTCCGCGAAAAAAGTCCCCTGCTCGGCGTCTGGCACGTTTGGAGAAATCAGAATGTGGTGGATACGCACGGCGCAATTCGCAGGACCACTTACGAACTCCTTTTTCAACTTTCGGGCTTAATAATATGCAATTTATGTGAATTTTCCACCAGAATTTCCTCTCTAGCGTGGCTGCTTGTTTTCGGGTCCAGGGTTGTCGCAAAACTTATCGATGGTGGGGATGTGAAAAATGTACTTAGCCTCGATACTATCGCGATAGTATCGCTCATACATAAACATTAGGGATCCTTTAGAAAATTATTTTATGAATGTTAAGCAATTATGGAAATTTCCATTTTTAATTATTGAAAATTTGAAACGCAATTAGCATATCCATACATATGGATCAGTAATCAGTGATAGATTTTGTCTGCTGAACGCTTGGGATAAATTTCAAAGGCGCGCGGAATCAAAAAAAATAATTTTATTTAAAAAACAAAGAATTCTACCGAATTGATGGTTTTTTTAAACTATCGTGATAGTCTGAAAAATATCGAATTCGATCAACATTTTACCGTCTGGTAGCACTGGCATACAGTGCTGGCGATTTTGTATTAGAATAAAATAAGTTTTAAATTTAAAATTTGTAGTTTTTTGTACCTTATTAATTATAAAAAATAAAGATTTACATGATTAATGTCCTTCAAAATTTGACAATAAATAACAACTGTTTGAAAATAAAAAAGCCAGAATAAAAAAAGCCAGAATTCCCGCTAGCCGCTGTTTGTAAAGACAGCTAAATTCGACGTAAAAAAGCTAATCAGGCAGCTCGGATACCATCACATCGAAAAACAGCAAATTCTGTTGGTAAACATACGCAAGAAGAAGTCAAAGTCTGGCAAAATTAATGCGCCAGCATGTGCAACCAGTTGATTGCAGTTTCCTGGATATAGTGAACCTGGCGAAAACCTTCTGAATGGATTTAGAGCCCGTTTCGCCTAGGCAAGAAGCGAGAAACTAGCACCTGCAGCTGCTGTTGAGTCATCAGCGTTTTAGCCAAATACGCCAAAAAAAAACAAAAACAAGGCCATAAGAGGTCGTTAGAAGCAAGTGGCTGACCAAAAGAGCCCCGCAGGTGAGCCACAGGTGATAGGCGTAGTCTTCGACGAGGATGGCGTAAGCCGATCCAGCAAATCCACCACCCCAACCATCGCCATATAAATATAATCGTTACGCGTCGCTGACTAGGTGTGTCTAAACTCCGACTAACTTTCGTCTACGTTTGCAGAGTGCGCACACACAACACCACACACACACACCCACACATACATATAGAGGCCAGCCAAAAAACCAATCCCCCCAATGGAGGACTACAAGTTCCTGTTCAAAATCGTCCTGGTGGGCAATGCGGGCGTGGGCAAAACCTGCCTGGTGCGCCGCTTCACCCAAGGCCTCTTTCCACCCGGCCAAGGTGCCACCATTGGCGTGGACTTCATGATCAAGACGGTGGAGGTGGAGGGCGAGAAGATCAAGCTGCAGATCTGGGACACTGCCGGCCAGGAGCGTTTCCGCTCCATCACCCAGAGCTACTATCGTTCGGCACATGCTTTGATCCTGGTCTACGACATTAGCTGCCAACCCACGTTCGACTGCCTGCCCGATTGGCTGCGCGAGATCCAGGAGTATGCCAACTCCAAGGTGCTCAAGATTCTGGTGGGGAACAAGACGGACCGGGATGACCGCGAGATACCCACGCCGATTGGCGAGGAGTTTGCCAAGCAGCACGACATGTACTTCCTGGAGACATCCGCCAAGGAGGCGGAGAATGTGGAGCGGCTGTTCTACGAGATAGCCGCCGAACTGATTGGTCAGGCGAGGAGCAAGGATGGCAGTAGTTCGGCTGCGGCGGCGGCAGCCCAGCGCCAGTCGGAGGGCAGTTCCATCGGACTGGGGAGCTTCAGTGCCAAGGCAGCGCAGAGCAATTGCTGCGGCGGACTCGCCAGCGGCGGCGGCAGCAGCTCCAACTCTAGTCAAGTGGGCTGAGCTGCTAAAAAACTGAACTGGAAACTGAGCAGCTAATCTATATTTAGTTAAGGACTAATCGTGATATTTCATTGATTTTTGTATTACCATCAAGCTCCCATATTCTAGAACCTCTCTTTAATTTGTTATTCGACTTGTTTTATCGGATTACCGATTATCACGATTAAGATCTACATTTTTGAGGTGAAAACCAAACAAAAATGGCAACTGAGCAGCTAATCTATAAATAGTTAACCAAATATCGTGATATTCCGTTGATCTTTTACAATGTATTGTTTTTCTATAGTTCAAATACCAAGCTCTCCCATTTTAAGCAATTTTGTTTCCTATTATTTTTACAAAAAACACTGATACAAACTACTACCCTTTTTAAGTTGACCCCTTGAATGTTTAGAGCCCCAATTATCACGATTATCACGAACTACTCCAAAACTAGCTGTCAATGACTAAGGATGCTAAATATTTGTGTTACCAGAACTCCATTGGTGGTGTTCTAAGCGCCTGATTTTATTGATTAGTATTATATTACCGTATTGATCCAAATATGGGATCGTTTACCAAGTGAGCATCACACGAGAAATTTATGATATCAATAATGCTATGCACACAATTCTGTTAATTTTGATTGTTTCCATAAGAAGTATTGCAGATTTTATACATTAAACTTTTTGTATACCTTTATGCATATTTATTTGCAATTATTTTTAAATATTATTATAACTAATGTGCAATCAATTGTAATGCAATTTTTAAATGGTACTCGTAATAGTGTTTAAGGTGATTTCATGACATTCCAAAAATTAAGAAGTAGAAACTGTATGGATAGACCAGAAAACTAAATGAGAAGAATAAAATAAATATGAAACTAATATTGTATGGTCTACAAGTGTTTTGATTTCAGTAGTAGGGATTTATTTCGCTGATTAAAAAACTATTAGTAATAGGTATTGATTATATTTAAGGTTTATTTTATCACCAAAATCTACCATACCTAATTATTATTTTTTTTTACCATCTCAAGTGGTTTTAGCCTCTTACACATGTACGTATTACAGGAAACAAGTGTATATAACCAGGGACCGTAATCATTACAAGTAATATTTTAAAAATTACTTTGTAATGATTACTTATCGATTTTTAATTTTTTAAATCAAACTAATAATTATTTTTGAGCAAAAAAAATAAAAATCACAAATAATCATTATTTTTGAGCAAAAAAAATAAAAATCACAAACAATCATTATTTTTGAGCAAAAAAAATAAAACTCAAAAATAATGATTATTCGTGATTTTTATATTTTTCGCTCAAAATAAAACTCACCAAGCAACAACTTTTAATCCTTTAAGGATATTGCCAATATTGTCCTATGTCCTTATAAAGGGACCCTAGAGCAACAATTGACAACAACAACAACAACAACAAAACGTATTTTACCTGTGTTTGTTGCAATTATTTAATATAAGGTCAACTGTTACATACAGAGCAGCAGCAGAAGATATACACAATTACTAAAACAATGCTTATAATGATAATGATAATGATTTATGCTTAGTTTGCATATGCCGCTTCATGTTGCACACGTACTCGCCAACTAACGTTAATTTGCAAATTTTGCACTCGGAAACATTATTTACCGCGTGGAAATTAAAAAATTTGCGGAGAACAAAATTTCGCTTGCGACCCATATCGAAACTCAATAGAAATGATCTACAATAAGTCATTCTTACTGATAAGTTTCAGTCTTAGACTAAGATAAGCGCTACACACAAAAAAAACAAGAAAGGAAGCTACCTTCGGCCAGCCGAAGCTTATATACCCTTGTAGATAAAAGAATACTCACTCGGTGCAGTTCCAGGGATTCCAGATTCAGCGTTTCGATTTATTTCAATTTTGTTTTTAAGTAGTCAAGAATCAAAACGCCTACTTCCTACAAAGTTACAATGAATTTTCTTATATTTCTTTGGGAGCCTTAAGATATAGTGGTCCGATCCGGCTGGCTCCGACATATGTACTACCTGCAATAGAAAGAAGACCTTCGGGAAAGTTTCATCGCGATAGCTTTAAAACTGAGAGACTAGTTCGCATAGAAACGGACAGACGGACAGACGGACAGACGGACAGACGGACATGGCTAGATAGACTCGGCTATTGGTGCTGATCAAGAATATATATACTTTATGTGGTCGGAAACGTCTCCTTCACTGCGTTGCAAACATCTGACTGAAATTATAATACCCTCTACAAGGGTATAAAAACTATGTAAAATCAACTATTTAATAGTGAAAACTGTTCCAACCCATAAAAAAAAAAAAAATGCCCCAAAAAATAGTAGATTACCTATAAAATAGTAATAGTGACCTACTAAATAGTATTTAACCCGAAAAAAATTGTTGTTTTTTTTAATTTATGTTTTTAACTTTTTTTTATTTTTAATTTAATTTGTTATATAAATTTATATGGAAGTTATTTATAGACACTTACATTTCACAGATACTTAAACTTACAAATCAGGTTTTTTGCCTCCGCTGGGAATCGAACCGGGGCCGCAACCATCGGAGTCAAGCACGATATTAATTGATATTATTATATTAACTTGCCAAATGAATAAAACAACAAGATACATGCAAATTTCGTAAATTGGTTTTCTATTATTTTAATTGTTTAATACTATTCAATGACCCAAAAAATAAAACAACAAAATACATGAAAAATTCAGAAAATAGTGCAAATACTATTTTTCTATGTTAATTTTACATAGTTTTTTTTGTGTGTACTATAAATAGATCTAAGCGCGTGCGTTTCCGCTGTCTTCTTTTGTTTTCTCTTCTCGTGCGCTTTCGGCCTAAGATAAGCTTTATCACATTGATCATTGTTTTAGTAATTGTGTATATCTTCTTCTGCTGCTCTGTACACACAAAAAAAAAACTATGTAAAATCAACTATTTAATAGTGAAAACTGCCCCAACAAACACAGGTAAAATACGTTTTGTTGTTGTTGTTGTTGTTGTCAATTGTTGCTCTAGGGTCCCTTTATAAGGACATAGGACAATATTGGCAATATCCTTAAAGGATTAAAAGTTGTTGCTTGGTGAGTTTTATTTTGAGCGAAAAAAATAAAAATCACGAATAATCATTATTTTTGAGTTTTATTTTTTTTGCTCAAAAATAATGATTGTTTGTGATTTTTATTTTTTTTGCTCAAAAATAATGTGTAACAATAGAAGAATAAATATAACAATTAAAAATTTAAAATCATCAAGGATATTCATAGTGTAACCTTAAAGGATAAAAACGTGCTAGTCATGCTTGTTCTATGTTGATTGGAAGTGTATGATTTATTCATTTAAAAATAGTGAAAATAATCATTATTTACGGTCCCTGTATATAACCCTTACTTAAGGGTAAACATCCTTAAGTCTTAGATTTTAATAAAGCATTGGTTAGCTCCACGCCAGAGAAAAATGCGGCGACGGTTGGAAAGGCTAATAGTAAAATTGGTACACTTCCGCGGAATAGAGCTTTGGGACCTTCTGTGGCCATTAGGTCTCTGAAAACGCTTCGAATGCCGTGCTTGTAAGTGCCCTCAGGTGCTGAAGTTAATCAGTATTAATTATTATCAATCGAACGATTTTAGACTCACCTGACTGTAGGCGGCTCTTAAGTACATCGAAGGGCACGGCCAAAGTCCAAAACACAATTCCAGCCGTTCCGCCAGAAAGAATTGTTGAAGTGGCGCTGATCTGCCCAGTCTTGGAATTCTTTCTGGCCAATTCCTGGAGGAACTCGTAGGTCACATAATAAATTCCGGTGGGCGATTCTTTTGGATATTAATTATTAGTTTCTATTCAATGGACGTTAGCCTATAAAAGAGTCACAAACCTTTCAGAATGCAGGCACAGGTTCCTTTGAAGAGGCTTCTAATCCCACCTTGCTTATAGAGCTTTATGGCTGTGTCCATGGTTCCATGATAGAGTTGTGGTCCTTTGGACACGGACTGTGTCTGTAGCAGAATCTTTATCCGATCACTGGGCACTGTGACGAGACCCGTACAAACTCCGGCCACGGCTCCGGCGATGAAGATCTGCGGATAGGTGATCGCTACGCGGTCGTCCTTTTGGAAAAATCTTTTTACCGCTGCATAGACCGCTAAGTCCACGGCAAAGATGGGAGTCACCGCCATCAGGGGAGCAGAAATTCCTTTGCAGAATCCACGGAAACCCTCTTGCCGAAAGATCCGGGCCGTACAATCCACCACTCCCTTATATCGGGGAGATTGACCGGGCAATGGCGTGGGCATGGTTTGAAGGCGAACCTTGCGAAAGGACCGAACTTAATCCCAATTTTATAAAGAGTTTTACATCTTCTAAATCACCTTTATTGTGTCCAAGGGATATCCAACCAGCACCATGCACATTCCACCCACGCCACCTGCTATTAAGGACTTAAAAGGATTTGATTTATTTTCCGTGGCGATCTCCGTCTCCTCCATGCTGGTACTTCAACTATTTATTTAATACTAATTCAGAGGCGCATGCTGCCAAATCGCTGGTTCACAGAAGATCGCTTTTGAAGGGTTATCTGTTAGTTGAGCGATCGCTGACCTATGAATATGCTGTGTTTGCCCAAATAATCGGGGAATACAACTTTAATGATCTTGTGGTGCTCTTATCTATTCCAAATACTTTGCGTTATTTCCTATTCCGATTGCTTCAACAGGTTAATAAGTTTCTCCTTTAGTTGAAGGATATCAGATGATCTCTTAAAATGAATTAATTAAATAGGTTTTAGGTTTTCTGCCACCTTAATTAAACTCGTGTTTTCGCACATATAGTAGGGGAGAAGGGGGCACGAATAGTAAGAAAAGTTTGGTAAGACATAACAGCTATAAATTAAGAGCCATAGGAATGAGATTGGTATCATCGGAAAGGCTATATTGCCTATATTTATTTCCTACATCATTTTTAAGTCAAGTGCAAAGCCTTCGAGGAGCGCACAGTGGGGCGAAAAAGCCAAAAGTCTGCCTTAAATCAGCGGAGCCCTATAGCGAATATCTTTTGATGGGGCATTCTTAAAGGCAATTAAATATGTAAAAAAACATAATAAGGTGAATTTTTTTAGTAAAATTTTTTTGTTGTAGAAAATTTTTAAGAAAAAAAAAATTGTTTTTTTAAGAAATAAAATATTAATAAATTAGTTATAGGGTTCTAAGTTTCCCAATATTTTTTTTAAATTTAATTTGATTTTTGAAAAAAAAATTATTCAAATCGATCAACTATAACTTATAGCTGCCATATAAACGCTTACTACAAAGGGGAATGTCTCGGTTCTATTTCAATATTGGTTCATATAAATTGGGATTAAGGCATAATTTATCATTTTAGCTCTATGCTCACCTTTTTTTTTTAATTGGTCTATGATATCTTATAGATGTCATACAATCAATCAAGGAAATATAGCTTATTCAAAAAAAACTGGTAGAAACCGGTATTTATTTCATATCTGTATTTTTAGTTAAATAACATAATTTAAAATTTTAAACCCAAATTTGTTTATTAATTTATCATTATCTTGATCAATACCTTCACATAAGTAAAATATCTTCATGATGTTAGGGCGCGCGGATAACCAGGGCTGACGATATTTCAAATTATGAACATTTCTTGCTAACTTAAACTGCAGTTTTCTCAGAAGAGGCACAAAAGGGCAGGCTAATTTTTTCAGAAAATGTAGTTAAATATCAAAACTTTTTTTAAAAAAAAGAATTAAACGGGGATCTAGGGTGTAACACTACTTTACGTCCAAAAATATCCAAAAAATCCCAATTTTTTTGGACCCCTTTTAAAAAATTAAAAATAAATAGTAATTATGTATCTAAAATTTTTATGGTTTTTTTAATATTTTAAGAATTGGTTGCTCTTAAAATTTCAATCGTTACATATACAACTTAGGCCCTTGGGCGCTTTCAGAAAAATTTCAAAGATGTGTAAAAATACCTTTTTTTCTTATTGGCTAAAATTATGTTTCGATAAATCCACTTTATAAATCTGTAGTGGGAGAACCATTCATCACAGATCACTCTTTCCTTTGGATTTGTATAGAGAATTGAATTGTTTTTAAAGTAGCATTGCAACATTTTGGAAAATCTTAAAAAAAAAAAAACCATTTTGGCAGGCTTTTTGTTCTAGGCGCCCCACAGTGGAGCGTTGCAAAATGTCAACATACTTTTTTAACATCCTATCCCCAGTACGAAACTTACTTTCACTGCTAACGGTAAAAATTTAAAGAAGCGATAATTTTCATAAAATTGTATTGGACTCTTTGGACATTAATCCTTTGATCTAAAATAAAGTACATTTGTTGTGGTTTTTTTTCTAACCAATCTTTGCTAATAAAAGCGGAGGTCCATATTTTTGTAACTTTTTAAAGTTAGGGTAGTTGTATGGAAATATTTAAGTTTAATATCTTACCGGCCATTACGCGCATTACGGCCTTTAAAGCGTAGTTTATCAACCATCCGCACTGTTGCAGTTAATCAAAGAGATATTTTAATCTTGGTGGCCTATATTCAATATCATATGTATATATATATTGGTATTTTGGCTCTCTCTTTTTAAAATTAATTAAACGGTTTTTTTGTCCATAGTCAGTAGTTATTTTTTAGACAAACTTTAAGGACATTTTCTTAAACAAATATCCTTAACATTAACATATATATAAAGAAACTTGAAGTAGCCTAACTTACGTACAATTTCTTAAGTCTTCGATTTTAATAAAGCATTGGTTAGCTCCACGCCACAGAAAAATGCGGCGACGGAGGGAAACGCTAATAGTAAAATGGGGACACTTCCGCGGAATAGAGATTTGGGACCTTCTGTGGCCATTAGTTCTCGGAAAACGCTTCGAATGCCGTGCTTGTAAGTGCCGTCTGGTGCTGAAATTAATCAGTATTAAACAATGTCAATAGAGCGTTAATAAAATGACACACCAGACTGAAGGCGGCTCTTAAGTACGTCGATGGGTACGGCCAAGGCCCAAAACACAATTCCAGCCGTTCCGCCAGAAATAATCGTTGAAGTGGCGCTGATCTGCCCAGTCTTGGAATTCTTTCTGGCCAATTCCTGGAGGAACTCGTAGGTCACATAATAAATTCCGTTGGGCCAATCTTTGGGATATAAACCATCAGATTCTATTAAATGGACGTTAGCCAACAATGGAGTAACAAACCTCTCAGAATGCAGGCACAGGTTCCTTTGAAAAGGCTCCTAATCCCACCTTGCTTATAAAGCTTTACGGCTGTGTCCATGGTTCCATTATAGAGTTGTGGTCCTCTGGTCACGGACTGTGTCTGCAGGAGAATCTTTATCCGATCGCTGGGCACTTGGACGAGGGCGGAACAAACGCCGGCCACGCCTCCGGCGATGAAGATCTCCGTATAGGTGAGCCTGCAGTGGTCGTCCTTTTGGAAAAATCGCTTTCCCGCAGCATAGACCGCTAAGTCCACGGCAAAGATGGGAGTCAACGCCATCAGGGGAGCAGTTACTCCTTTGTAAAATCCACGGAAACCCTCTTGGCGAAAGATCTGGGCCGTACAATCTACAACTCCCTTATACATTGGCATGGTTTGAAGGCGAACCTATTGAACGACCGAACATAATCCAAACTCATACTTTTACATCTTCTAAATCACCTTTATTGTGTCCAAGGGATGTTCGACGAGCACCATGCACATTCCACCCACGCCACCCGCTATAAAGGACTTAAAAGGATTTGATTTATTTTCCGTGGCGAGCTCCGTACCCTCCATGCTGAGATTTCAACTATTTATTTAATACTAATTTAAAGGCGCATGTTGCCAAATCGCTGGCGCATAAAAGAGCGCCTTTGAAGGGTTATCTGTTAACTGAGCGCTGGCTGACCTGTGATTATGCTGTGTTTGTCCAAATAATCGGGGAATACAACTTTCATGAGTATTTGATGCTCTTATCTATTCCAAATACCTTCGCTTCTTTCCTAGTCCGAAGATTTCAACAGGTTAGTAAAGTTTTCCAATAATCTTTTATTTGCAGCACATCAGATAATCTCTTAAAATATAGCCTATTACTTTTATACCCATAATTATTCAAATTGGCCTTGGGCTTTTTATATAAAACATTTATTTTATAATACATTTACATATTATATTTCTTTGAGACACGTAACAACAAAAATTTTTTTATAAATCGTAAAAAAAAGTTTAAAATAAAGAAAATAAAAGAGTTTTAAAATAACTTGTACTTTAAAAACATCTCTTTGATTTCCGTTGCGACTTTAATACTCAGGTTTTTTCTAAACGGCTGAGAAGATTGGAACAAAAATCGCTCCACTCCAGTTCAGTGTTCAGGGAGCTCTTCCAATTTAATTCTAAGAGATCACAAATATCGTTAAGCCGTTTCGTCCCCAGAATATTTTTCTCTATTATTTTGTGAGTTAGGAATCGCGCCAGGGAATTTTCATTGTGGGAAAAATAATGTTTTCCAATATATTTTAGATGAAGATAGAGGGCGAGACTATTAAGGTTATTACAATTTCTTTTCGTTCTCCTTGCGAAGGAGGCTTGCAGATTGTCGATCTCCTTAAATTGTTCACTTCCCCAAATTTGAGCCATATAAAGTTTCATTAATCGTGTCCAACTTTCTGATTCGCTACTGAAATCCTCCAGGCGACTTTTGGAGTCTGAGATCATTCTGAGTACTTGTTGTTTGTTGGAGAGTGAAGGAGTAAAGACAAAATCGAGGAATACTGCCTTGGAAGCTCTTTTGATCTCTTGTCCTGGAATAATCCATTTTTCTATCGCAGAAATCCGACCGCCTCGCCTAAAAACCATGACTTCAGATTTTTTCATATCCACCACAAGGCCCCAGTTCTTGCAGTACTTTTGCAGCTCGTTGATCATATCTTGAAGTCGGTTAATACTGTCAGAAAGAATGACAATTTTGTCAGCATACATCAGGATTCTGATTGGACGATTATCAATGCTGAGTCCATCCTTCAACTCGTCGGGAAGATCATTTAAATATAGGGTGAATATTAGTTTTGACATGCCGTCACAGCCACTTTGAAAGTAATTAAGGAACTTGTCTCGATATATTTTCTGTTTGCATATATTCCTTAAAGAGTTTATAATTTTTGACGACACTCTAAGTTTTTGGAGCTTGGCCCATAAAAGTGATTCAATCATTTCAGAAGATAACGATTCGAAATGAATAAAATATGAGTAGACCCTTGTTCCTTTTTCAGCCAACTTGATATTGGCAATAGTAATTAAATTATAAACGAAATCTGTCTTAGAGGACTTTCCCGAATAACGAATCTGTGAATCACTTAAGATACGATTTTCTTTGCACCATTTGGTCAGTCTTATCTTAAGCGTATTGAGAAGTATACTTGTTAAATCAGATAATGATAGCATACTCGAAACCACAATTAAGTTTTGTGTTGATCCGTTGTAAAAATCATTGCAACTTCGGGTGATATCCGTTAGGTCGTTTTTCGAAAACTCAGGAATAGAGCAGCGCCTGAGAACATATAGTATTTCATCGGGCTTTATTTCCGAGTCCAAGGCTGGAACGGTCAGTACAATGCTAGGATCAAATGAGTCAATACTAATGGTGCTCCGTTGTGTTTGTGAAACTCTGGCGATTTGCGAACTTCTCTGGAAGTTTGGGGTAATTTGCAGGCAGATGGGCAAATGATCGGATCCATGTCGAGTTTGCCCCTCGTCTGTCTTATCCACTTTGAAGTCTATCACCGATTCCATCAGATTCTGGCTAACTGCAGCAAAATCGATGGTGGAATTGCCCCGTGTACTAAAGTAGGTGTAAGATCCCTCTGAATCTCCGTGGGTCAAACCATTTAAAATCTGAAGTTGGTTTTCGGTGCAAAAGCGTATAAACTTGCTTCCCCTTATCATTTTTTTGTCATCAGATTGCCGACCGTTTGAATGAGCCACGCATATATTGGGTTTTACTGCTTGTTTAAATTCTCCAATGCGGATGTTTAAATCGCCCATAACTATTGCATTCTCAATGGGATTTATAGCATTTCCAAAAGCTCTATTCACCGGCTCGAATTCTTCCTGCCAGCGATTGGTATGTATGTAAAGTGGAACTATATTTAGTTTTTTATCATAGAGGCGCAGTTGTAGAATCTTTAAACCGTTTATTTCAACAGGTTCGTGAGTTATCCCCAAGTCTTTAAGCGATTTTCTTATGCCTATGATACACCCACCGATTCCTCTGCCTCGACGAAGGACTCTTATTGCATCCTCCCAATGCAAAAATTCAAAATCGGGCTGCTGTTTCTTGAAGTCCTCGGTGGCTGGGGCATTTGGAAGTGTATGTGTTTCCAGTAAAATAAAAATATCAAAGTGGCGTAAGTACTCGATAAATTCCGTGTTGTTCTGTTTGCCCTCCAGACCTCTAATATTATATGAAGTGATATTTAGTGGTTGAATTGTGGCATTATTTTCCCTTTTAGCGGTCATATTTAAGCAGTTTAAACAATATAGTTGGCTTGTGTATTTTTTTTGCAGGCGAATCAGGTGCAACTACATGCATCCGGTCAAACCACTGATAAGCCTAAGAATTGTAAATGATCTTGTGAAATTAGTATGAATACATAAATCGTTTACTTTACTTGGATCAATTGAAATTCACACTTTTATATTTTATGCTTTTTTCAGACTTATTAATTGTATTATTATCTTATTTATTATTCGTTTATTTTCACTTCTGATTGGAAATAAAAAAAACAATACTTTGCTTTCGCGTGAACTCCCCTTTATTCTGTCGATCGGTTTTGCTCCAACAACTATCGATGTATCGCCTTCTTATAAAAGCTAAAGCCTAAAAGCTTTTAAGAATGTAGAGTAATAAATATCTACCTAAATATTATACACCGACTTTTTTAATCTGTAAAAAATGTTTGGTACCCCAAAACAAATAGTTAGATTAAGATGATCTTAATAAGATTTGATACTATCCCATTTCATTTTAAAATGCTATTTTAAATAATATTTTTAATACTCCATTTATAACTAATTGAACATTTTGTAAACCAATCACTTTACAACAATATTTAATTAAATAAACAGCCTCTCTTAAATACAAATCCTTATTTCTAAGCCTTTAACAAATCATTGGTTAACTCCACGCCGAAAAACACGGCGGCTGTGGAGGGAAAGGCACGCAATAAAACTGGGAGAATTCCGCGAAATAGAGCTTTGGGGCCTTCTGTGGCCATTAGGTCTCTGAAAACGCTTCGTATGCCGTGCTTGTAAGTGCCCTCAGGTGCTGCAATTGAATTATTTATATATCATTGCCAATTCTCGCGATTTCTGATGGCATGACTCACCTGACTGTAGGCGGCTTTTAAGTACGTCAAAGGGCACGGCCAAGGTCCAAAACACAATGCCAGCCGTTCCGCCAGACAGAATCGTTGATGTGGTGCTGATCTGCCCAGTCTTGGACTTCTTTCTGGCCAATTCCTGGAGGAACTCGTAGGTCACGAAATAAAATCCGGTGGGGGAATCTATAGGGTTACAAAGGTTACAGTTACAAAGGTACTTTTAAGAATTAAACAGGCATAAACCTCTCAGAATGCAGGCACAGGTTCCTTTGAAGAGGCTCCTAATCCCACCCTGCCTATAAAGCTTCGCGGCTGTGTCCATGGTTCCATTGTAGAGTAGAGGACCACTGGACACGTGCTGCGCCTGTAGGAGCACCTTTATCCGATCGCTGGGCACCGTGACGAGGGCGGAACAAACTCCGGCCAATGCACCGGCAACGAATATCTGCGGATAGGTGAGCCTTATGTGGTCGTCCGTTTGGAACAGTCTCTTGCCCGCCGCATAGACGGCAAAGTCCACGGCATAGATGGGTGTCACTCCCACCAGGGGCGCCGATATTCCTCTGTAGAATCCACGGAGTCCCTCCTGACGAAACATCCGGGCGGTGCAATCTATAATCCCCTTGTATCGGGGCGCTTGACCGGGCAAAGGAGTGGGCATCGTTTGAAGGCGAACCTTCAGAGTGCATGAAAGAAATTCTTTTTAGTCTAGAAACAGATTTATATTCTCTATTTACCTCACCTTTATTGTGTCCAAGGGATAGCCGACCAGCACATTGCACATGCCACCCACGCCGCCCGCTATAAAGGACTTTATGGGATTGGATTTATTTCCCGGGGCGATCTCCACCTCCTCCATGGCGGGATTTTAACTATTTACGTAAACCCAGTGAGAATTCCGTCAGCCTCTCTCAAGAAACGCACGTGTTTGCAGATGGCTCGGTTACAGGAGTGCGCTATCGATGGGTTATCTGCTGTCTGAGCTGTTGCTGACCTATGATAATGCTGAGTGTTTCCAAATAGTGCGATAGTACAACTTCCATGATCAATTGAGGCTCTTATCTATTTCAAATATTTCATTTGCTTTCCAAAAATGGCAGAGGCAACAGCTGTTATGTTAAGGCAGAGTTCTTAACATTGATTTAGCATAAAGTTATCGATTGCAGTATGTTAGGGCTCATATAAACCATTTTATTATAAAAAAAAAGGGTAAACTAAAAATTAAATGTTATTTTAATTGAACAATAAACCTAAAATTTGTTATATTACAAATTGTTGTAATTCCCAAGGAATAATTTTTAAGCATCCTTTTAGGCCCGACGAGTCTACATGAATTGTATTAAAATATGTCGTAAAGTTAAAGTGTTTCCCTTTCAAGCACTGTCAAACTTCAAATCAAAGTAAGTTCTTAAAAAGTCTCTAGCGCATTTTAAATTTCCCGTTCGATGACACAACTTATCGGCAATACCCCGATATCAAATTTCGATCGACATTCGCAGCGAGACGCGGGCGGCGACCACACAATTTTTTTTTAATACAAATGGAACATGTTTAAGCGTTGCAACTAACTAGTTAACAGTTGTGGTTAACAAAAGAGGTGCCAAGAACCCTTTGGCCAAGTGCAGGTTGGCCGAAAACTTGAAACCATATACCCAGCTGCTGTGTGTAAAACAACAAAACCTCGGGCGCAGAACGCGAAGAAGAAGAGCGACATTCAGCAGGCCAAAATTGTTGCGTATTGTTTTTTTTTGGTTTTTTCAGTAGGTTTTTGGGTGCAAATTACATACGCATAACTTATGTCTGATAAAAGTGCGAAGGAATCATGTATTAGTAAGAGTGCGGGCTGCAGCAGCAGGAGGAAGAGAAGAAAGTGAGCGAAAGAAGAAAGCGAACCGAAGAACAACATATTCTTCAAGCACAAGGCGAGCAACGTGCTCTGTTGAACGATGTCCAATGGCGAGGATGTGTTAGACAACTGGGAGGAAATCGACGAGGCGGGGGTGAGTAGTATTGAACTCAGTCCCTTGATAGCTAATCAAACCCAACCCCCTTCCTCTTCTCGCAGCTCTCCATGACTCTGCAAACGAAACTGCAGGCGAGCGATCCGCCCGTCCACAAGATGAAGCTGCTCCAGCGGCCACAGAGCCTCCAGGAGTCCTCACAAATCCTCAACAGCAGCACCAGCGGCGGGGGAGGCAACGGGAGCGGGAATCCCCTGCCCCGGCAGATCACCATTGCACGGAAGCCCCAACCGCCGCCAGCAGCAGCAGCAGAGGTTGATCCGTCTGCACAGCAGCAGCTGCCCGTGATGATGGTGCTGCACAAGCCCTCCAATGAGTACGACGCGGCCAGCTATGCCTCGCCCATCAGCAACCAGACCGTCAAGATCCTGCGACGGCCCGCCCAGGCGGAGGAGCGCCGGGATACGAACGGAATGCGGCCCAAGCAGCCCATCAAGACGCTCAAGCAGCGCGAACAGGAGTACGCCGAGGCGAGGCTACGCATCCTGGGCGCGGCCAAGAACCCCGAGGATGATAAACCGTTAGTAGCTGGCTCTTAAAGGCTATAATCTAATCCAAAAACGTACTAGATTTAATATTAGTATCTTAAAATGTGAATAGGGCAGATAGAAAAGGCAGTTTCATCACTTGTTTAACGATAATTTACGAGAATTTGATGACTAACATTTTTTAAAAGACATAGGGCCGTTTTCTCTGTCGTTTTTTAAATTTAAAGTGGGGTTAAAACCTTGAAATCGTATGGGAAATCATCACAGGCGGACGAGAAAACTGCCCTTATACTTTATAATATACGCCGCACGAAACGTGTGTTTCCATTACTACATTCTTCATTAGTCTCTAAATAAGTTGCCATTACAATTGCTAATTCACTCTTCATTATTTCTCAATCATATTCGTAATTCTTTATCTAAATCCATTTTAAAGCCCTATTATTAAAATGATTTATGTATCAGTAGTAGCGTTTTTCGTTGTACAAAATATCTAAATGTTTACTTCTCTTTTTAGGGCCGCTCCCAGCTCGCCAGCTGTAAACAGTAGCACACCGAGTGCGGCTGCCCCGCCCTCGGCGCCGCCTGCCACTCCCCCTGCTGCCAGCAGCAATAACAACGTTATTAACAACAACGGTAGCCATCCAGCAGCTGGAATGCATCGCTCCAGTTCGGCACCAAAGATGTCCCAGGTGTCGCCGATGTACAATAACTACAACAGCTACTTCCAGGGGCCGCACAATCAGCCGGGCCTGAACTATTACTATCCGCATAATCCACAACAGCAGCAGCAGCAACAGCAGCCGCATTACAACCAACGCCTGCCGCCTTACGGAGGCGGAGGAGCGGGCTTGGGAGGCATGCCGTCTCAGGCGCCGCCTCAATCGTCGCCCAATGCCCAGCAGAGCTGGTCACCTGTTGTGGGCGGATCGGTATCCGCTGCCCTTCTGCGCCAACAGTCGATGCAATCGCCGCAGCAGCAGCAACAGCAGCAGAATCAGCAGCAGCAGCTCGGCCAGCATCCACATCCGTTCAATGACCTAGTCCTGCGTCTGCCCAAGGGTCCTTGTCCGAATGGCTCCATTGGCTTCCAGATGCGCCGGTAACAGACTGCAGCGATGGAGAGCGGCTTGTCTATTTCAATACCTTCTTACTTTCATCTTGGTACATTGAAACCAAATGCATGTTTCTATATATAAATGAAAAAAAAAACAAACAACAACTCACGAGTCATTCTGAGATTCTTTGTCGCCAATCATTAGGCTCAGGTTCAATGTGGCGCATATTCGTTGCTATATCCACTGGCTAGACCCAAGCATCAACAACTATGTAAAACAAATTTTATGACGGACTATGGTAGATATTTTGTAAATTTACAACTCACACCACACAATTTTGTATAATGCATACTAATAAAACGAAACAGTAATTTTAAAGAGTGTTGCTAGCGAAGAAATTTGCATTTTGAAGAGTAGAGTTTTGGTTCGAACTTTTATTTAAATGATTCTAATTTAAATCTGATACTAAACATATTGACGGTGACTCACTCGACTTATTTTTCTGCCTTTCCTGATTATGGCTTATGGAGTACAATGATCCCTCAAATTACCGAGCTCAAGATCTGATCTTGTTTATTGCCTGCTGCTTTTCAATACCTAATTAATCAGCGGATGTTGATTCGTACTCGTTTTCGACCTTATTAAGTATGGACAATGGTGCGTTTTTAATAACAATATTTCGTAGGAGTTTTATACGCTTGACTAATTAAGAACCTCTTTTTTTTATAAGGATTCTGTTCCAAGTTTTATCAATTTAAAAAACCTCAATTTCTTCTAAATTTAACGGTGGAGTTACCTTTTTTTGAGGGGTGTCAAAAAGCTTCAAGCTTTTAATCTAGATATATATATATATATAGCTTTTATCAAACAGCTGTTCTATTAAGTATCATAAAACAAATGACAAAAAACAAACATAAGAGGAAAAATTCCAGATCTTTCTGATGATCATTTGCATTTAAAAAATGCTCTTGATAAGCAATGCAATTTGAGTTACAGTTACATTTACCCCCAGCGAGCGTTGATTTTTGGGGTCCCGAAAGGCTATCATCGTGTTTTTGTTATTTATTCGCAACTTTTACAGTCGCTTTGCTGGAAAACAACAAACAGTGCGGTACACAGAAAGAAAAACCGGTTAAAAAATTATAATATATATTTATGATTATAATTAAAATGTTTTTGGAACTTGGAAAACTTATATTTAACATTTTGAATGCACAACTGAAATCATATGGTATCATCCATTTACCCATTTATTAAAGAACCTGATTATTTTTCCTGTGTATACAAAAAAAATGCAATCATCCCACTGGAACCGCTCTTATCAGCCCCTGGAACCTGAACACAAACATAATCGCACATCGGGAGGCTATGACAAACATACACACATACTACGTATTTCCACCTAGGCCTAGTATTTTCAACTTCGATTCCAGACTTTAGTTGAAAAAGAGGCGTCGAACCGAGCGGTTTATAATCCGAAAGTCGCTTGAAGAGCCGAAACATATACAATCGCGTGTGCTCGCTCTCGCTCTTACTCTCTCTCTGGGATCGCCAAGCTCAACACGTGGGCGAGCGTTAATAAAGTAATATTATTGCTTGGAAAACGTGATTAGCGTAGTTCTTGTTGCTTTTAAAGTGCCAAAAATATGTCGCATCGCGTTCTGATAATTGGCAGCGGCGGTCGGGAGCACGCGATTTGCTGGAAACTATCGCAATCCCCGAAAGTGTCCAAAATATACGCATTGCCCGGAAGCCATGGCATTCAACAGGTGGCGAAGTGCCAGAATCTGGAGGCCCAGACATTGGATCCTAAGGATTTCGAGGTAGGTCCGATATCCCGACCTTGGATTGACCTTCGGCGGAGGCTTAAAGTTACTCAGAATGGCGAGAGTGTGTGTGTGTGGGTTAATTGGGTGGCTGCTGGTGCAGATTTAGCAAAACATCTTGTGGATTTTTCGGCATTTAATTCGTTTGGTTTCGTTTTATTGCCACACTGATTCGCTTTTATGGCTTCTGATCATGGTAAAATATGTACTGCATGCTGGCCGAGAACTTTTATGCTAAGCGGAGCCATAAATCTGTAATCGAGACTCTGGAAAAGCGCTTTATTGCATCCAATCTCTGATAGTCGCTGTGCCTTAACCCTTCGGCGGGCCATGGGGGTTGCGAGTGCAAGTGCTGCTGATAAGCGAGTCGCGTAGTGCAAATCTTCTCGTGTAATCTTGCTCAATGTTGCACGGAAATATTTAAATTAGTGCTTATTACATTTGTATAATTATGTAGATTTGGAAAATATGATTTATTACATTCTTTTCATTATTATGGCTGTGTTGTTTTATTAAGGTTCAAATAGTTTCCATTTTTTGTTATTTAATTGTGTATGATTTTTTGAAATAATGTTATCCACGTTTCTTAGGTTCTTTGATTTATCCGGATTATGAGAAACTTCGAAATAATTAGGTAGGCCATCAAATATATAGTTAATATTTACATATCATTGACAATAGCAATAAACAGTTTTTTAAATATAAACAAAAAGTGCTTTAGAAGTATAACAGAAAAACTCGACAAAAATTTGTAAAAAATTAAGATATCTCTAATTAAAACAATTTAATCTTGTTTTTTTGTAATTAGGATTTTAAAAAAAATTGTTTTTAAATGGGCAACAACTTAAGTGCGTATCAAAAATCAATAGGTACACAAGTTATAAAAAAAAATACGTTTTTAATGCTGATTATGAAGGTAAAATCGTTACCGCTGCAACCCAAAAAAAAAATTTTAAATGGTTTATTAATGGAATAGCAGAAACATTACCACAGCTGAAAGTGATCTGACATAGAAACCAGTTTAAAAGCTTTATCTAATTCATTTGGGTTAATTAATTAAAGCAAGTAGCCGCGGCAATAAGAATGAATGTTGAATGTATTCTTCAGATAATGGAAATTAATAATTAAATTGGATTTTACCATTCAAATTTGTTTTTTTAAATAAAAAGTTTTTGTCATTATACCTAAATTAACTGGATGCCTTTGATTTGCGATCTCAACGGCTAGTAATCAATTGCGCCATATATATATCAAACATTTCAAATAAATCGATCCCCATCAAATACCCAAAAATGTTTATGTCGTGATCTATGAGCTCCAGAAGACAAGTCAACAGATCGTATAACAATAGAAATCTTTTGTTGTCGTTTTACACTTTAGCTTACGTTTGCTTAGCACTTCTATTTATTGCTCGTGGCTTAATTAATTGTTTAGATCAAAAATTCACAGATTCGCCTGGTTGATTCCTAAGAGACCAGCCCCTTCCCCGCCAAAAAAACAATGCTCATCCATCGATCATCAGTGCTTCAGGGCGCCTCGTCTTTGTCGCAGAGGTCGCAACGTAGTCGTGGGCGGATGGGTGAGGTATATGGTTTTTGGAGTGGTGCTCGGTCGGGATCTTGGGGTCGTTGCTTCCTGGATATTCCTCGTGTACACGTTAAAGGCAGCCGCATCGTGTTCCACGGTCTTGAGTTCGCCCGTATAGTAATTCTTGATCTGGTACGGATGCGTTCTAATGTACTCCAGGGCGCGAAGAATGTAGTCCGGAACCTGGGGAATATGTGCGCCCACGGGATGATAGCCAAATTCATCGGCCACATAGTTAACACTAATCACATTGCCCTCGGGTGAGGTGTAACTATTGCCACCCTGGACGGAGACGCCACCCAATCCCGCTTGGGAGACGGAAATTCCATTGGAGGTCTCGTAGGCATACCGGTAATTGCCATCCCGTTCCACCTGCAGTTCGTTCTGGAGAGTCCGTGTGTTCCGATCCGAATCGGGGATATAGGAGGAGCCCGCCTGCACCTGCATTACGGCCAGCGCAATTATGAAATTCACCTGTAGAAATATGAGCGATTATAATCCATTTTCGCGAAAATCCCAGAAGAGGCTGAGCTTACAAGCAAATACATGATGTCGCGTTCGAGTTTGGTTCTAAACTGCTTGTCTGCCTCTCGGACGCTTTCGTTTTTATATCCATCCGCTCGCCAGCGGATTTTTGGCAATATTTCGCCTCGGAAACCCAGTTCCGAGCCGCCGTCTCCATCTCCGCTCGTCATGATCGTCTTCTTCATCATCTACATCATCGCTGTTGGCTGCCTTAGTCAGTCATAAATAATATGATTTTATTTCTTATAAGTATTATTTTATATAGGTATCAACGACGTTATTTGTCGTCGTCGCCGCCAGTTGCAATTCCTAAAGTGTGGGATGGTAAAATCCAGCAAAACGGAAAGAAGAGTAAAAATTAAATGCCCTACTCGAAGGTTGGGGCACTTACAATTTGATATGTATTGTGGCTGATCTTGAAAGTCCCATATTGCCTTGCTTGGCTTACATTCTCAAGGAACTCTAAATACCATGGCGATCGTTGAACTGTCGTAAAAATATTATTGCAGATGTGGTTAAGATCTGTAAATGGAATGTTACTTTTGACTGATTGATAGATCTGAACCATATAGATAGGTTTTATTGAAATTACCATTGTATTATGTAAGATATTCTATATCTGCAAGATATCTTTAATACTTTGTTTGTTTCTAAAGTTCAAATAAGTCGAAAGGAAATGACTTTCCAATTAAAGGAACGCTTTTATTACTTTACAGCTTAAAAGTCAAATTTGGCATTTTAGGTATAATGAAGCTTAATTACTTCTTAAACTTACTTGATCTGCTACATTCTTCGTTCTCTTTATTTGCATAGTTATTCTTAGAAATTGCATAGTTTGATCATTAAGCTCAGCATAGTTATTCTGATAAATGATCTTTGCAGGAGGTTTATCATCAAGCATATAATTCAATCACCTGGCAGAAACGTAGACGAAATTTCCTGCTTCATCCCAGCTATCTCCCGTCAGAAGATACTTCTTTTTTTTTTGTTTGGTGATTTCGAAAACCCGTCCGACTAATTCAGCAAAGCGTATCTAATTCCTTACTTATCCGCCAACAAATGTGGCAACATTCTTTTCCAACCTCACCGCCCCCTCGAGATCTCGAGGTCCCATTCTCCCGCACTTAATTTGCATATAATATAGTAAATCATGAGCGCACTCTGTAAAGCATAAAGACGAAAACGTTCTAACCAAATTTGGGAATAGCCAGTCGGAGAATGCGAGTTAAAACATATATATAGAATATAATAAAAAAAGTTGTTGATCTTTCTTTATTTTTCTTCGCTCTTGCTCCATCTGTCATAAGCTGTTCTCAACCTTCGGGTTACGGGAAATTAAAACCTTGGTCGGGTTCGCTAAATCGCTCTTAATTTGGAAAGCCAAATAGCTCAATAAAAACGTCATTCCGTGTGTGTCTGTGAACGTTCTTGAACCCTGGGAAACACTAACGAACCGGATGGGGAATCGGGGGTCAGGAAATCGGGATGAGTCTCCCAGGTGCTAAATGGTCTGGAACGCAGTCAAGTGCAATCTCCCGACGCGTTTCACCAATGCGGGGTAATCCGAATCTGCGTTGGCGCCAATTCGAATTAGAGCTGAGTAACGATATCACCGGACGACAACTTTGAAACCGGACCAGCGATCGAGCTGGGATTAACTTGGTTTGTTGACATGGCTCACATAGCTGGCGCCTGAGTCAGTTGATCTTCCATCCATCCGCCAAATGCGAAGACAATGCACCCGCAGACCCAGTTTAATGGCAAAACAATTAGGAAGGCATTTTGCATTTTGGCGACAAATTGACAATGGAACCGGTTGAGTACTTAGAGGAGTGTTATCTTCCACCTGGAATGTGGTTACAAAAAACCAAAACCAAAACAACCCATAAACAATGGGGAGCCCAAAAAGTGGCGGACGATCGTGACCCGGTTTGATGGGAAAGACCAATTATGATCTCAAAATTTAGATTGCATTTTATTGCTATTTTCAAGATAATGAATATAAAAATATTTTCATAACAAATTTCATCTGTGTATCAATTGTAATTGCGCTTTCGATGTCAATTAAGTAATTTGATTTTAGCTTTGCAAATTCAAACAACGGTTATTTAATTATATTTCATCACAACGGGCTGCCTTTTAATGCAATTTCCAAGATTCTTTATTTAAATCATTAAAAAAAGTTAAAATATATTTTAAAAAGCAATTTCATCAGTGTATCAATTCTAATTACGCTTTCGAAGTCAATTAAGTAATTTGATTTTAGCTTCGCAAATTTAAACAACGGTTATTTGATTATATTTCATCACAACAGGCTGGCCGGGATTTTTATTGTTATGAATGGTCTCGAATAATCTAAATGAATTTTTATTAAATTCGTTATGGAGTTATGAATCACTTAGCAAAATATATTTGGAATTTCTTGATAAATTTAATTTTATAAGATTATCTTTATTTTAATATTTTAATTTTTTGCTTTTTGTATTTTTTAGGCCATTGCCAAATGGAGTAAGGAAAACCAGATAAACCTAGTGGTCGTGGGACCCGAAGATCCCTTGGCCTTGGGACTGGGCGATGTGCTGCAGAAGGAGGGAATCGCCTGCTTTGGACCCGGCAAGCAGGGTGCCCAAATCGAGGCGGACAAAAAGTGGGCCAAGGACTTTATGCTGCGCCATGGCATTCCAACGGCGCGTTACGAGAGCTTCACGGACACGGAAAAGGCTAAAACCTTCATTAAAAGGTATAGGTTTAAATCTGCGAAAATGTTTGGGGTGAAAGTCATGTCAGTATCCATCCTACAGTGCTCCATATCCAGCTCTGGTGGTCAAGGCTGCTGGACTGGCAGCTGGTAAAGGCGTGGTGGTGGCCGCCAATGTAGAGGAAGCCTGCCAGGCGGTGGACGAGATCCTGGGACAGCTGAAGTACGGACAGGCGGGGGCCACTCTGGTGGTGGAGGAGCTGCTGGAGGGCGAAGAGGTCTCCGTGTTGGCCTTCACCGATGGCAAGAGTGTGCGGGCCATGCTGCCGGCGCAGGATCACAAGCGTTTGGGCAACGGCGATTCGGGTCCGAATACCGGAGGCATGGGCGCCTACTGCCCCTGTCCACTGATCAGCCAGCCAGCCCTGGAACTGGTCCAAAAAGCCGTGCTGGAGAGGGCAGTGCAGGGTCTGATCAAGGAGCGTATCACCTACCAGGGTGTCCTCTATGCGGGTCTCATGCTTACACGCGATGGTCCTCGCGTCCTGGAGTTCAACTGCCGCTTCGGAGATCCCGAAACCCAGGTGATACTGCCGCTGCTCGAAAGCGATCTCTTCGAGGTGATGCAGGCCTGTTGCAGCGGACAGCTGGACAAGATCGCACTGCAGTGGCGCCAGGGAGTCAGTGCCGTGGGTGTGATCCTAGCCAGCGCTGGCTATCCAGAGACCTCCACCAAGGGATGCCTCATTACGGGTATGGTTTATGGCTACTCTTATAAATTTTTCTTCATAGTTTATATATTTGCCTGCAGGACTTCCGGCTGAAAATTCACCCACTCAATTGGTTTTCCACAGCGGCCTGGCCGTGAATCAAAAAAAGGAAGCCCTCACCAACGGCGGTCGGGTGCTCATCGCAATTGCTCTGGACGTCAGCTTGAAGGAGGCCGCCGCCAAGGCCACCAAATTAGCTGGCAGCATCACTTTTTCCGGCTCGGGAGCTCAGTACAGAACGGACATCGCCCAGAAGGCATTCAAAATGTAATTACACGTGAATCATCTATCAAGACCCATTTCAAATAAAGCATGGATAGTTTGGAAGACAGAAAATATTGCAATAAAATTTATTCATTTGTAGAATTGATAAAAGTAAACCTTCTTAAATTTCTTGTCGAAATTAAGATTCAAGCTTTAACTGGTTGTTTGGCTTTAGACTCGACCTGCAAGAACTTAAGATCATAATTATTATAACGAAGATCAAAATAGCTATTTATAATACTGTGGAAAAATGTCTAAGAAAGTCTAATCAATATTATAATTGCTATGAACAGTTTTTTAAATGTTCTAGACATTGGTTAAATACAATTTTATAAAGGTTACATAGTAATTTTATAAACATAGCTAAAATACCATATTAATCTATTTTTTTTTAAATTTTGATTTTGACCAAAGCAACTCTGAATCTTTTAAATTTAGACCTATGCAGTCTATAGATGTTTTTTCCTCTTTCCAGAATTTATATCACAGTTCAGGTCCTGTTATTTCTGACTTCCTGATAAACTTGTATAATATTCTATACTTTATTACTTCAATTTAGAGCTGCATCCCCGGGGTTGAGTTACAAGGATAGTGGAGTGGATATCGATGCTGGCGATGCTCTCGTGCAGCGCATCAAGCCCTTGTCCCGTGGCACCCAGCGACCGGGCGTCCTAGGTGGTTTGGGTGGGTTCGGTGGACTGTTCCGTCTGAAGGAGCTCAACTACAAGGAGCCAGTTATTGCGGAGGCCACTCAGGGAGTGGGGGCCAAGATCCATCTCGCTTTGGAGCACGAACTGTACGAGAATGTTGGCTACGACCTCTTCGCCCTGGCGGCCAACGATCTCCTGGAACTTGGAGCCGAACCAGTGGCTTTTCTGGACTACATTGCCTGTGGCAAGTTGCACGTCCCGTTGGCCGCCCAGTTGGTCAAGGGAATGGCCGATGGCTGCCGAGATGCCCGGTGCGCTTTAGTGGGTAAGAATTCTTGGGGTATGAATTCGAATTAGAGCCCTGCATAAATTTATTTGCATTTTTTATTTGGATTTAATGAATTATTTTGAAATTTTTGTTTTATATGAATGAATTAATTAGAATTTTGGGTTTAATAGAATTGAATGAATTTGAATTTTAAGTTAAATAGAATTGAATGGCAGGAATTCCGAAATAATTCAAACGACAATTTCTTTTGAAGAAGAAAGGGCCATAATTTTGTGAATTTTATTTACTATGCAGTTAACATTGATTTCCTAAAAATTTTCCACATCTTGTTCTTTAAAAAATCTGGCAAATTCAAAAAATTCATAAAAATGATTCATTCAATTCGAAATGAATTAGAAAAACATTCAATTTATTTCACATAGAATTGGCATACTATGATAAAACAAAAATTGAATATTTCACGCAGGGCTCTAGTCCGAATCTCCTTTTAAATTTATACATTTATTTTCTTGTTTCTCAGGTGGCGAAACTGCCGAGATGCCCTCTCTATATGCACCCGGTCAACATGACATGGCTGGCTATTGCGTGGGAATCGTGGAGCAGTCTCGGCTCCTGCCCCGCTTCGATCTTTACCAGCCGGGTGATCTGCTCGTGGGTCTGCCATCGTCTGGACTCCATTGCGCCGGCTTCAATGAGATACTCACCCAGTTGGCCGCCGCCAAAGTAAATCTCAAGCAGTGTTCTCCTGTCGATGGTGGCGAGGATGGTCTGTCCTTGGCCCATGTCCTGGCCACGCCCACTCGTCTGTATGTCCAGCAGCTGCTGCCGCATCTTCAGAGGGGCGAAGAGATCAAGTCGGTGGTTCATGTTACACATGGATTGTTAAACGATGTCCGTCGCCTTCTGCCTGAAGGATTCGAGACGACGCTGGATTTCGGTGCAGTGCCAGTGCCCAAAATATTTGGCTGGCTGGCAGGAAAGCTAAAGCTGAGTGCTCAGAGTCTCCTGGAGCGGCACAACTGTGGCATTGGCATGGTGTTGATTCTTCCCCAGTCCAGTCAACTGTGGCGAACATCCCTGCCGGGTGCCAAAGTGCTGGGTGTCCTGCAGAGGAAAACGAAGGATAGTGCTTCTCCCGTCGTTCAGGTGCGCAACTTTGTGGAGCAACTGCAGAAGGTTGCCTCCCCATTCGGTGGTCTTGGTGAACGCGAGTTGCCCGAGGAGCTCAAGGAATTGCCCAACCATCTGGATTTAAAGGCTCCCCGTGAAGATTCCTTTGAAAACGCAGCTGGACGTCGGCTCACCCGCGTTCCCAGCCACTACAAGGATCCTATTCTCATCCTGGGCACCGATGGCGTGGGCACCAAGCTGAAAATAGCGCAGCAAACGAATCGCAACTCTAGCGTGGGCACCGATCTGGTGGCCATGTGCGTCAATGACATTCTCTGCAATGGAGCTGAACCTCTTAGCTTCTCCAGCTACTATGCCTGCGGCCAATGGCAGGAGGAGTTGGCCAAGGAGGTCCATTCCGGTGTCCTGGAGGGAGCACGACAGGCCAACAGCAGTTTCATTGGTAAGTAAGGTTCAAGTAAAACAATATAAAAGGATCAAACAAGAGAGAACACTATAGTCGGGTGCCCCGACTATCAGATACCCGCTACTAAGCTAAAGAGAGTGCGAAGAAATTGGAGTATAAATCTTTGATCGGGCATAACTTTTTAACGAATGGTGCGATTTGAAAAATTTCTTCTACATTTCGATAGGTATAATTAAACACAACAAAATTGCATTTAAACTTCTCCAAAATCTTTAAACATGTGGGCGCCAGACACATTTGTGGGCGATTGTGGGCGTAAGAGGGCTCGTGACGCTCGGTTAAAATAAACTTGCCTTGCGTAGGAAGCCCAAGAATATGTGTAGGTAATCCCAACATTCTAGCTTTTGTAGTTTCCAAGATCTCAGCGATCATACGGACGGACAGACAGACGGACATGGCTATATTGACTCGGTTAGTGACCCTGATCAAAAATATATATACTTTATAGGGTCGGAAACGCTTCCTTCTCCATGGTAAATACTTTTGCACGAATACAACATAACCCTTTACTTTACGAGTAACGGGTATAAAAAGTCTTAAGATGATATGATACTTTCTGAAAGAATTTTACTTACTTCATTTGACATTATCCTCTTTCTAATCCCCTCCAGCTTCGCACAGTGCTGCTCTGCCGCTGTTGTACGGTCCACAGGTCTATGATCTGGCTGGCTTCGCCTTGGGCATAGCAGAACGCTCCGGTATCCTGCCCCTCTTGGAGGAGGTACAGCCAGGAGATGTGCTCATCGGCTTACCTTCATCGGGTGTCCACAGCAATGGGTTCAGCTTGGTCCACGCCGTTCTCAAGCGAGTGGGTCTGGGCCTGCAGGACAAGGCGCCCTTCAGCGAGAAGACACTGGGCGAGGAGCTGCTGGTGCCCACCAAGATCTATGTGCAGGCATTGTCCACTTTGCTGTCCCGCGGAAATCACGGCATCAAGGCGCTGGCCCACATCACCGGCGGAGGGCTGAGTGAGAATATACCGCGAGTGTTGCGCAAGGATTTGGCCGTGCGCCTGGATGCCAACCTATTCCAGCTGCCGCCCGTTTTTGCCTGGCTGGCATCGGCCGGAAATATCAGTTCCACTGAGCTGCAGCGCACCTACAACTGTGGCTTGGGAATGATTCTGGTTGTGGCTCCCACGGAAGTCGAAAGTGTCCTCAAGGAGCTGCGTTATCCACAACGAGCTGCGGTCGTCGGCGAGGTGTTGGCCCGCAAGGATCCCAAGAAGCCGCAGGTGGTGGTTCAGAACTTTGAGGCCTCCTTAACCAGAACCCAGAAGATTCTATCCGTGCCGCGAAAGCGAGTTGCTGTCCTCATCTCGGGAACCGGCAGCAATCTGCAGGCACTGATAGATGCCACGCGGGATTCGGCGCAGGGTATTCATGCCGAGATAGTGCTGGTCATCAGCAACAAGCCGGGTGTCCTGGGTCTGGAGCGAGCCACCAAAGCTGGTGTACCTTCTTTGGTCATCTCCCACAAGGATTTCGCCAGTCGCGAGGTCTACGATGCGGAACTGAGCCGAAATTTGAAGGCTGCTCGCGTGGATTTGATTTGCCTGGCCGGCTTCATGCGAGTCCTGAGTGCTCCATTTGTCCGGGAATGGCGCGGGCGCCTCGTCAACATCCATCCATCGCTGCTGCCCAAGTATCCGGGTCTGCATGTCCAGCGGCAGGCCTTGGAGGCGGGCGAAAAGGAGTCCGGCTGCACCGTTCACTTCGTGGACGAGGGCGTGGACACGGGAGCGATCCTGGTTCAGGCCGCAGTTCCCATTTTGCCCGGTGACGATGAGGACTCGTTGACGCAACGCATCCACAAGGCGGAGCATTGGGCTTTTCCCAGGGCTTTGGGGCTTTTGGCCAGCGGAGCAGCTCGACTTGCTCCCGAAGGAAGCCAGTGAGCGGCTTATAATTGGTTTTTACAACCTTAAAGGTTTTTAAATTAATGGATATTACACGGATGAAACTATCTATACAACATACATGTGTATACTTCTCCCAATTAGAGGGCTTGCCAAGACGAATTAACTTTAATAACAACCTCGAACTTTTATATAAATTCTACTATAATAAGCTATGCTATAGTTTTTATAGGCTAAGACTGCACTTGTTTTAAATAAATAAATATTTAATACAAAATAGGTTAAACCTTTTATCTTTTAAAGAATCAGAAAAGGGCTTGAAATCTTTGAAATTATGATTGATATAATTTTCCATCAATTTTATTAAGATAACCAGTGTTTTGCTGCTGCTTCTGAAAAAGTCGGCAGTCGCAGTCAAAGAAGTCGTTGATTTACTTCCAAGAAACTGATCTTATAGTTAAATTCTCAAATTACTACAAAAACCGGTAAGCATCAAAGAATTCCAACTATTTAGTGACTTTCCTTATCATTGCCATACAGATATTAATCACACCTCTTTTTACACATTAATATTTTCCCTTATCATTGTCATATAGATTTTAGTCACACCGTTTTTTTATACATTAATCTATTTCTAATATCACAAATCGACAATCACACATTTTGCTCTACAATAGTTTGCTTATCAGGGAAAATAGACTGGTACTAGTACTCCCCTGATTTTCCACATGGCTCCTATCCTTAGCTCTCACTTCGGGTCTCACAACATTACGCTGCAATTGCGGATCCTTAAATATGGGTTCGGCCATCCTGTCAAGCTGCAGGCGAAAGAACTGATTCTCCAGAATGGGCACAATCAGATTGTACTTGTCAATGAGCTTGTTTAGCTGTTTGACATTCTCCTGTTGCTGCTGGGTAAACCTTTGCCAAGCAGTTAAATCTTCTTGCCGCTGCAGTGGCCATTCACCGTAGTATATGCGCTCCTGGCGCAACTTTATCTTTAGCTCGGCGACTGCATCGCGTATGTCCTTGCCAAGGCTGATCCATTCCGGCGTGAAGCCGTTGTCTAGCATGATTTTGTTTAGCTTGTGGGTGGTGAAGTCCAGATAGGGATTCTGCGACTGAGCTGCAGATAAGGGCTTTCCTGATCCGTTGAGATTATTAAAGTCACCCTTGGACATGGCCTCCTGGATGAGATCCTCGACCACGCGATCGATGCCGTACTTGGTCTTGATGGCGTGCTTGCGAAAGTGATTGCCGCCCTTGGACATTAAAGTCTTCTCCCCAGCAGCCGCCTTATCGATGCGGTGCTCCAAAACGCGTTCCTGCGCCTTCATGGCGCGCACCTGCTGGTATTGTTTCTGCCGCTGGAAGGGATTACCCATGCCGATGCCCTCGTTGGACAGATATTGCCGGTGCTGCGGAGCCGTGTGCTTGATGTCGAACTCCATGGCCTCCTCCTCGTCCTCCTGGATGTTGCGCCTTCCCTTGGCGAACTTCTCCTGCAGGACGCGGAAGGCCTCGTCCACCTGCTGGAAGCGCTCGGCACTGGCCTCCTCGCATCCCGAATCCGGATGAACCCGCTTCACGAGATCTAAGTAGGCGTGGCGCACTGTGTTCTGGTCGGCCGACTCGTGAACGCCCAGGATGCGAAAGCATTCCTAGTGAAAAGAGGTGTTAGATTGCATAATGGTTAATCTAGGAAAGTTTAGACTTACCAAATAAACCTCCTTGCGTTTGAGGTGCAGAAAACGAGTGAATCTGATGGCTGTGGATCCACCAAACAGATTTCCTACCAGCCACATTTTTCACCGCTTTTATTTAAATGAATTTTAGAGCGTCCTTTGAATTTGTTAGACTGACGTTCAATGCATTCCTACTATTATTAACTTTTGTTTATGTTTTCGAGCTGATCAGCTGTTCGGTGTGTACGTGTGTGCGTAATATACTGCAGTATAAGAAATATTTTGTTTTTAGTATTTTTAGAAAGATGGTAATACTCAGGGCTGCGTAAAATTGTTTAGCCGTTGTAATTCAAAAAGAATTTTATAAACTTGAAAGAGATTTCAAAAAGAGGATATATATATTTATTTCTCATTTTGACTTTTTCATGCCTGACAGTAATTACAAAATTAAACTGCAGATTTAATAAAAGAAATTGCTTACTGAATTAAGGGTCGTTTTCTTGTCCGTTTGTTAAATTTAAAGTTGAGTTAAAACCTTAAAATCGTATGAGAAAACAGTGTTTGAAATTTCCTTTAAATTTAAGAGACGGACGAGAAAACGGCCCTAAGAATATTTCTTCCCATTTACTTTATTACGGTCAAAATTATAATTTAGTTGATTTATTATTATGTTTAATTAGTTGTAAATTTTAGATAATGTATTCCATGCTGTTTTGTGGATGAAAATCAAATAAGAAAGTGAATCTGGTGACCCAATTAAACAGGAGAATGTGTAAGCTGGAAGAAACAAAAAGCAATGCAATTAAAATTAAGAACAATTTCAGTCAGGAAAACGATCTCTCAATCCAAATGCGCAGGTAATGATGAATGTGTGCTTGGCTAAATTTTGAAGCGTGATAATTTTAGTTGGTTCTTATTTGCTAAGTTTATGCGTGTTTGCTCTCAATGAATGCCTAACCCAAATCCAACGGCCAATTTCCACACTTACTAGATGCAATTAAAGTCTGGCGATGACCAAATCGGCGGGTAAGCAAAACTCATTTGCAATTCAAAACACAATTCATGCTCTACATAAACTGAACATTAAAGTTTGTTCTATGTAGGTAATATTGTCGTAATTAAAAATTATTTAAGTGTCTGACCTACACTTGAAAGATAAGAAACCATTTGAGATTTGTTCTTTAAGCCGAGGAAATGTATACATTCTACACGAACCAATCTTTAATTTATAAAAACCATGAATATTAAAAAATGTATATTTATGGGTATAAACTCGTTTGATTTTGAAGTCGATGGAATAATTATGATTTACTTGATCTTATGGACTTAGTATCCCGATTTGATTTTGGTTACCGGTCTGGTCAGTTGTTTGCGATACGTTTTCTTTGCCTAGCAGCTTCACGTTTGGCCTGTTTGATGTGGCCCATTAGCATATTTACGAACAGGATGTGCACAGGTTTGCTCCAAATTCTTTAGTTTTTCCAAGTCTTCGATCAATCTGTGCCATGGTTATTCTAATCATCATCTTCCACGATATCGGGCGCGTACAGATCGAATACTTCAAGGAACTGGGCCAACTTCTTGCCCATATAGCCGCCCAATAAAATGCCAGGTATTACAGAAACCATAATAGCAATATTTGTGTACTTTGTGCTTCTCTTCGGCATTTTACGCAGTTCTTTAAAATCACTGAAATCGTCATCGAGAGGCATTTTTGATACATCTATTTAGGTAGCTGTGTTGGGAAATCGAATACAACATTATTCTGATGGAAATGTCAAGACTTTCTCTGGCCAAAATCGGACAGGCACGCCCCAGAACCTAAACTCGGACCCAAAAACCCTCTTCGAAATATTTTGGAGTGTGCGCCCTATATGGGACTTCCGTTCTGTTGGCTCAACCGACTGATTTTGTCAACCGTCTGATTGTCCCTCTGCAATTGGCTTTCAGTCGTCTACGTTTCCGTCTAAGGAAGGGTATTGTCTTTCATTTTAATATTTGACCTGCAGAAGTGTTTTGTGTACTTGTTTGCTGATTAGCGGAGCGTAGAAAGAATGGTCGAAGGTGGACGTAATTGTGTTTTTAAAATGGGTAATTACAATATTCACTTCCTCACATTTCCCTATCTAACATTTTAAAATCAACAAAGAAGAATCCTCTCTTTATTTCACTTCCCATAAACCAAAAAGGTTTTAATCACACTCACAAAGAACCTTTTGAAGATGGATTGTTGCGACTCTAATGAAAGGTTATACCATGTAATTATTCCCTTTTTTGTTTATGTGTGGATTGCAGTTGCAGAAATCAGTTGTTTCAATGTTTTCCTTCTAATCATCTGTTTTTGTTACCTAAGGAATGGTAGTAGAAATATAATTAATCATGCTTATTGATTGGATAAAGATCTTAGCTGGCGTCAGAGCACTCGATCAAGATTAGTCGGTGATTTTCGTTCCGGAATTCCAGCATTAGTAAACTTCCGTTGCAACCGTATATTTATATCAACTTAAAAAAAGTCTCATTAAGTCATCATTGGGATGTTTTTGGGGGAAATAATTAAAAAGGATTACAATAAAATTTTTATTTATTTGGTTCCGTCTATTTTTACCGTCAGTTTAGGGTAGTCATCAAAGACCTTTATAAGCCCCTGTTGTTTTCCTCTTTCAGCAATGCCTTTAAACAGAAATCCTCGGGAAATTCCCTGCCATAAACAACACATGTTCTATGCAATTCATTATAAATGATTTAGGAAAAAGTATGCTGTTCCAAGTAGTGAACAGAAGTGACGTAATATTAAATACCCTCTTTCCACTTTGAGACCTCTAGAATGGAAAAGGACAACAAAAGATGGCATAAGAAAGTTTTCCAAAACTGCGTGCAAAAACCCTGTTTTTATGACTACTTCTTAGGGCAGGTTTCTTTGAGTCTTTCGTTAGCCATTAGTATATTCCATTTCCGTTTGGCATTTCGCACGTTTTACACAGTTTATGGCTCAATGAGGGTAGTATGGCTAAGTAATAAAAATAATGAGCAAAGAAAGGTCAGTAAACAGCAATAAAAGAACAGTAGCAGACAAGGAGTGCCAAAGGATTCCAAAGGGTATGGCCTACTACACTGACAAAAGAAACGTAGTAAATCCAAAGATTTCATATTCAATTTAAATATTTTACCTTATTGCTGTTTTTAATTATTGTAATATGCAAATATTAAATTTAGAAATAATAGTAAATTTTAAAATGTTTTAATATTTAAATATTTTTTGTATGACGGAAATATTAAAATATTTTAACTGATTTATTTTAAATATTACGTTTTTTTTTTATATAATGTAAATATATAATCGAAATCTTTAAATTCAATTTGCAGATATTTATTTTTACTACTCTTTTTCCTGTATGTGGAGTTCATACTATAAACATATATTTTGTAGGTTAACCCTTTGGTAGATAGGGAAGGAATGAAAATCATTTTATTTAATAATTTTAGGTTCTCCTGTTCCATTTAAATAATTTTTTTTTAATATTAAAAAGGCGTCTAGGAACCACAAATATAATATCTACGTTGATGGCCAAACAATAAAGGATCGAAGGATCTCAAGGGATATTTGTAACAATCCCACTTTTATTGCCCACTCTAGTTTATTGGTAAACCCTTTTAGCAAGTTCGTTGCCTGAGTCTTTCGTTCGCCTACCGCTTCCGTTGCGCGCGAATGTTTGAAAACAGTTAGCAACCCATGGATCCGATGGGCGGGTAAAACCCAGCTACTTCTCCTACAATTGCACATGTCCTGGGCAATTAAAAACAACATTTTCCCAAGAAACAAGGACGGCGAGACTAATCCTCTCGAGGCGCTGCAACCCACGCAGTTGGCCAAAAATCGGCTTTGGCTTAGGTAGCATTTCTGCGGCGAATTCGCAGTGCCGGCTAAGATTACCGAGCCGCTGTTTTTCGGCCGATTTTAACGGCGGCGAATAACGATCGGTATGCCGGCTGTTTTGTTGTTTTATTTTACCGACCGACCGATAAACTCTCATATAGAAACTGAAGAAATCGGAAGCTTTCGGGGCTTCAGTATGCCTTCGACTGTGGCGCGTTGTGGACGTTAAGAGGCTGCGGCGAACCCGAACTCTAGACTCTAGACAAGTGTATGTATCGAATCGACTGGGGTTTTCTAAGTGAGTGAGTGAGTAAGTGAGTGTGAGCGAACGAAAGCCGTTAAGAAGTCTCTATAGAGAAGGCAAGAGACCATAGGAAAATCTGTAAAACGGGCACGTTGAGCTGTTTTACTTCCCTCGACAGTCTTACATTTCTACCTATTGCCGATCGCCTCTACCTCTACCTTCTTTTCGGTTTTCTGTTTTTCTGGCCCGCTCTTCGCCTTTTTCTTACCTTTTTTGCTGTCGTGTCTTGTGGTCTTTGAGTGTGTGTGCGTGGACTGAAACTTCAGGTGCAGGCCGCGTTGATTTTGCTGAACAAGTTTCAGTCTGAGTTTGGCCTTCGTGTGGTACAGTACATGGTACAGTAAACGCTCCCCGGATTTTCTGAGATCAGATCTCTTTGTGTCCTATAACAATAAGTGCTTGTGCTGCAGCCTGTGAATGTATTTGCCTCGAAACTGGATTTTATTCGATTGTTTTGTGTTTGATCCGAGTGCCTATGTGTGTTGTTTGTTGGCTAGCGAAAAAGGATTTCTGTGCATTTTAATGGAGGCGCGTGCTTGGATCGTGTGTGCTTCATGAGCAAACTGAAAGGAATTTTAAACTAAAAAATACAGTGGAATGGATTAACTGCAACTTTGAGGACTAATCTACAAAATCTGTGAATAAATAAATAACAATTAATAAAAGAAAAACAGATATCAGCAATTAGTTAAACAATTTCTTAGCAAGTTCTACCAAATAAAAAATATGAAATATTTTTTTAATATTTTATATTAAATATTAAAAGCTAGGAAGTTTATTTGTAGTGTCTTATAACCGAGTTAGTTGAACTTCCAGTATAATTTGTTCTTCCTTTTTTCTTTGCTTCTTTTTATCGTGAGCCGTTCGGTTTTTACCAGTCCATTAACTTGTCTGTGCCTTTTGCACTTTACTTGGCTAACTGACATTAGTCTTTGACTACCTGTGTGAGTAAGTAGTCCATCCACAGGGAGTAACATACTCTGGTACTCACTTCACATGCCATCTGCGCATTTACGCTCCCATTAACCGGGTAGAAATAACAAACATACGGGAAAAAGATCCAGCAACTGGCAACAGAAACTGGCCAACAAGTGTTTTGCGCAATGGCCAAAAGAAATTACCAAAAAAATATAATAATAAGGGCTACAAAAATGCAGTTGAGGGGTTACCACCAGAAGAAGTAGCTACAAAAAGTTTCTTTCCTAAGTCACTTGTTTGACTTTTCAATCTCAGAACTCAGAATTCTTTCAGGCCTATCCCCACCAGGTTTTCACCTAATTATCATAAATATTTCTTCGAACATTTTTGGTGAGCTCAAAACCAAAATGTTCCCAACGCATTTCGAAGACGTGACGAGAATTCTCGGGTTAACTTGTTTCGGATCTCTTTCACGGCATGCATAATTAAGCAGACCCAACCCCATTAGCCAAACTATAGATAGTCCGACTAGCCGAACCGAACCATAAATTACATTTATGTGACGCGTTTTCATTTATCTTAGCTTTTATTTGTTTCAACTTTTAATCAACTTAAATATCTCCCTGCAGTGCAACACTGGCCTTGTCCATTATCCGCTAAAAAAGTATAAATAAATAAAAAGAAAAAAGCACCAAAGAGTTGCCATAAAAAAACTGACACCGCCGTTGTCGGGAAAGGGAAAAAAACGTCGTCGTTGTTGTCGCTTTTGTTGACCTCAAGGATAACCAGCTGACATGCCACATAAATTGGAATACTAAGCATTCGCGAACGATAAATATCGAACCTATATAGTGGTTATATACAAAGCTACAGCTGCATTTATAAGAGGTGAGTTGCATACTGAAATGGCGGCGAATAAGCCGGAAAAGAGTGGATAAGTAAAATAGTTTCGAATGGAAGCCAAGCTAAATGTACAATAATATCGGTTGGGTTATAATTTCTTAAAAGTTTAAGGGAGAATATATTGATGACGTTATATTCTTCTGCCTTCAAGCTGACATCATTACATTCCACACAACAAAAAAAAACTTTTAACTATCAATCAATGAGCAATAATTAAGTAAAAATCAATTTCGAAGACACGCCTCATTTTGACATCAGTCATTGCGCAAATATTCGATTATAAACAAATATCCAATCCATAAACAATGCCATGCTTTCGTTTTATCCAACGATTTGCAATTAAACATCGCTTTAATTGTATTTAAATAATTGATTGATTCCGCTGATTGAGCATAACAATCGACTGTATCGAGTGTGGTTATGCTATGGGCCATATAAAGACTTCAATATAGATTCCCACTTACCCATAAAAAGTAGCACACCCCAGCGACAACAACAATAAGAACAATTTCTTTTACTTTCTATTAAACAAAACCCAAAAAAAGCTTCGATTGTCTGTCGGCCGTGTCTGACTCCCCTTTGTTGTCACATTCATTCAATAAAGGCCAAGTCTCTCGAAATCTCCCCGGAACCCCCGAAAAACTCCATCGCAGAGACGAAAAGCGAGAGCTACCCAAACAGTTAACCTCAATTTCAAGACGCACTCGGCGCGCTGTTGTTGTTGCTTAATAAC